ATCAGCAAACAAGACAAATACATCTCCCGGGGCACATCAACAGCTGCGCAGCCATGCAAAAGAAAGACCAGGAAGGACCGGAAGGACCGAAGGTAGAAGTGGAGGAGGCAGAGACGGAGAAACATAAGCACAGGCACAAGAAAAGAAAACATAAGGACAAGGAAAGAAAAGAGAAAAAGGAAAAAGACAAGGCAAAGGAGAGGCCTGCAAAGGAGAAGGGGCAGCATGAGGCCTCTGCAAAGAAGGAGGTAAAGAAGGAAGATGAGGAGGAGGAGGAGGAGGAGGCCAAAAAGGAGGCCGCCGAGGAGAAAGCCAAAAAGAATACGGAGGCCCTCTTTTACGAAGCTCAAAAGCTGGCAGAGAAGGAGGAAGCCACAAAGAAAGAAGAAGCCAGAAAGGCGGAGTATGCCCAAAAGATGGCTGAGGAAGCCAAGAAGATGGCCGAGACGGCCGAGAAGGAGGAAGCCAGAAGGAAAGAAGAAGCCATCAGAAAGGAGGAGTATGCCAAAAAGATGGAAGACGCCAGAAAGAAAGAAGAAGCCAGAAAGAAGGCTGAAGAAGCCAGGCAGGCAGCCAGAAAGGAAGAAGAAGTCAGAAAGTTTGAGGATGCCAAAAAGAAAGCTGAGGAAGCCAGGAGAGAGAGGGAGGCAGCCAGAAAGAAGGAGGAGGATGCCAAAATGATGGCCGAGAAGGAGGAAGCCAGAAAGAAAGAAGAAGCCACCAGAAGGGAGGAGTATGCCAGAAAGATGGAAGACGCCAGAAAGAAGGAGCAGGATGCCAAAAAGAAGGCTGACGAGGCCAAGGAGGAAGCCAGACAGAAAGAAGAAGCCAGAAAGTATGAGGAGGCAAAAAAGAATACTGAGGAAGCCAGGAGGCTGGCAGAGAGGGAAGCAGCCAGAAAGCAGGAGGAAGCCAAAAGGCGGGTCGGCCCTCCACACCCGCCAGCCCACCCGCCACCACGAATCCCGGGGCCACCCCTGGCACCCCCTGCGGGACCGCCCCCGGCACCACCCCTGCCACCCCCGCAAGCACCCGCGGGAGCATGGCCGGGACCACCCGGGCCACCCTGGTCCCACCCCGACTGGGGAGCCGCCGCCGCGGCTGCAGCGAAACAGGCTGAACATGTGGAGAGGACGGCCGAATACATGTTCAGAGAAGCACATGCAGCAAGGCAAGAGAGGGACCACCGGGAACAGATGCTGCAAAGGGAGACCGAGAAGGCCGCGACCGAGGCCGAGAAGAGCGTGGCGGATCAGGTCAACAAGCTGGTCGAGGAGGCGGAGAAGGCGGAGAAGGCGGAGGAGGCGGAGAAGGCGCTTTCAGAAAAGGGCCAAGAGGACGACACAGAGGAGTCCTGGGACCCGGATGGTGCGGGTCCGGGTCCCGGTCCCGCATCAAGCAAAGGCAAAACCAAAGGCCTTCACAAGCCACGCGCCAAGTATGGAAAAGGAGCCAAGAAGAAGTACAAAGAAAAAAAGAAGGAGAAAGGTGGGCAGACATGAGGAAAAAGGAAGAGGACTGCTGCGGAGGGGGGTAGCCATCTAAAACCTTGAGACGCCGTGATGGTGTCTACAAACTTGACGCCGTGATGGTGTCTACAAACTTGACGCCGTGTCTACTAACTTGAGACGCCGTGATGGTGTCTACAAACTTGAGATGCCGTGATGGTGTCTACAAACTTGAGATGCTGTGATGGTGTCTACAAACTTGAGACGCCGTGATGGTGTCTACAAACTTGAGATGCCGTGATGGTGTCTACAAACATGATGTGCCGTTGAGACGCCGTGACGGTGTCTAAAATTGTTGAAAGAAAAACATGTTCCACGCACCCCACACCATTCGCCAGGACGCGAAGAAAAAAATCAGAGCCCTGACAGTGGTGGCCAAAGACCTCTACAAAAAGAACCAGCAGCTGGAAGAGAGCCGCGCCAAGGAGGAGAAAGAAAAAGGCTTGAAAGCCGCAGAAGTGCGCGGCCTGAAGCGCAACCTGGAGGACTGACTGGCTGTTATACGTTCTTGCGTGTCTTACGTCGTCTCGGTTGGTGCTTCAACACAGGTTCAATTTGGAGGTTTCATGATTTTCCCTACTTGACAATGTCATGATCATTCAATGTGTCATTTCTCGCTCACAGGACCTCAAAGATGCTCTCTCCATGGAGCAAGGTGAGAGACGCAAGTGGCAGCGCAAATACGACGAGAAGGTGAAGTATGAGAGGCGCTAGGCACATGTAAAACAAAACATGGACATGGAAGAACAACGCAACAGCAGAAACTTAAATCGCACACATTAATGCACACTGCAGACCGACGACTCAAGGACCATGTAAATCAGGGGTTGGTAAATGTCCTAATTGAACATCACCCAAATATTGGGGATATAATCTCCAACAGATACTTGAAAGTGATGTTCAAAATCCCCCAAATGGGACATTTACCAAACCCTGTAAATTAAAATGCAAAACGCATGGCATGGCAAGGCTCGAGTACAGAAACTGTAGCTGCCATCGGGTTTGCTTTGGAGGATTCTATTTAAGATAAGAACTAGTTTCAAACCACCACTCATTTCATCTTGGGTATGTCGCTCTCATCGGACCAGAACATTCAACAAAAAAACAATCCACTGATTCGACATTGCAAACCCGAAGCAGCTTGCACAGCACGGATCTGATCTGTGAGCAAACATGAAGGGTTTGAACAAAGCGCCACCTATAATTTGACTACAGTCTCTCTTCAGCAATTCACACTGGAAGAACATACCCATTTCGAACTATATATCTTTCAAACCCTTCAGCTGAGTTTGGGGTGAATGATAATACACTGTAGTACCATCATGCTCATGATTCTTGCTTCAGAGTCATTGTGAGGGATATCAAGTTATGTAATGTTATGTACTCAAAAAGACATGTCCATATAGCCCATATCATATCAATCATCCCTGAACTGAAATTGCTCCGTGGCCCAAGCAGATGCGGGTCGCGCCAGAGTCAAAAAAAAGAGCCGTCCAGTGTACATTTGAGTTATACGGGATCTCATTGACTCACACCATGTTATTTTCAATGAATTCCCCATCGCCATGCTGCATTCCACCGAGGAACAAAGCTCAGTCATCTTCGCGAAGTTCAGGCGGGGTCCCAGACTCAGTGCCAGTTCAAAGGTTGGAAAGATGTCGTGATGGCGTACCATTTTGTGAAGATGCCGTGATGGTGTCTCATGTAATGAGGATGCCGCGATGGTGTCCTATCTAATGAAGATGCCGTGATGGTGTCTCATTTAATGAGGATGCCGTGATGGTGTCCTAGTTGCTGAGGACGCTGTGATGGCGTCCCATTTAATGATGCTGCGATGGTGTTTGTGAAAAATGCAAAAAATATGACATGGATTTCGGATGTCATCTTGGTGGATGGATGAATGGAGATGTGTGCACTGAAACACTCTTGTAAGCTGAATTGACCCCCCTGATAATACGGTATATTTGTTTACTTTAAGGTTCCAAAAAATCTGGAAATATATTGTCTTGATCTTTCCACCAAAAATTATATCAATACATGATCGTTTGTGGAAATGCCCTCATCCTGACATCATCCCTGCGATTGAGGCCCTGGCTATGGGCAACATTGAGCACCAGCACCTTCACTGACACCATCTCGGCATCAATTTTAGGCACCATCACGGCGCCTTCACTGATACCATCTCGGCATCAATTTTAGGCACCATCACGGCGCCTTTAATGTTGTGACACCACTAGGGCATCACTTCTTTGACACCATAAAGGCATCATTGTGACACCATTGAGGCATCACTTTTTTGACACCAGTAAGGCATCATTATGACACCATTAAGGCATCACTTCTTTGACACCATAAAGGCATCATCATGACACCATTAAGGCATCATTTGACTGAGGCTGAGGCGTAGTGGTAGTCGTCGTTGTAGTCGTAGTCTCATGACACTGATAGGGCGCAATTTTTGACACCAGCAATAAAATATTTTAAGCCGGTGTTTTTCTATTAAAACACATGGGTTGGGTGTAATTTGCCAGCCCTGACCATTTTACAACAACAAAGGCTTAAAAAGGTTTGGTAATATTAGGGTTATGTAAGGGGATATCCCTCCAAAATATGGCCTTATATGGTACAGTACATCCATTTTAGGATCCTGGAATTCCCATTGAAGAAATATCGTTGCTTTTTGGGAACGCCCTGCCCCCCTCTCAGAAGATAAATGCATTTCAAGTCTAGCAAAAAAAATGCCAGCAAGTTCTTCACTGAATATGATGCCTATCAGTGTACGTTTATGTAAAAAAAAACGCATGACACGTTCTCCACAATTTCTATGTCAACTTTGTTTTCAAAACATGTTAGAAACACACAAGCGTTGCGTAACATTTTTTTTGAGTTGCATTTTTTGTTGAAAACCTTTTCTGTCACAGAACAGGCTCAAACCGTTTGAAAGTTTTTGGGCCAAAATACATCATGAATTCTGATCAATGTTGAAACATTTGAAGCAAACAGATACCCGCCACCGCTGGGTACCGTCCGGCACTCCCAAAAATGACCAGGTCCCAGGAGCTCCAAAAGCTGTTAATTAAGGAAACCCTCGTTGTTTAAGGAAACCTCGCTTAAAAACCTTTTCTTGAGGACATGTTGTTTCCCTAATTAAGGGAAAACATTGCCATTGCTTCATTACAGAAAAACTTAATTAAACGTTTTTCCTTAAATAAGGAAGGTTGTGTTATTTAAGGAACCTTTTTGTAAGGAAACATTCCTTAATTAGTTAAAGAGAAACCTTTCTTTATCTTAATCCGTCACTTTTGGAAGTGCTGGGAATTTGTTTTTTTGTCTAACTTCTTAACTCTAACTTCCGACTTTCTGAAGTCTAACTTCCGACTTATGAAGAGGCTGTAGTGAGGGAGTAGAAGCATTAGATGTGTGGGTGATCAAAATAATCAAAAAAAATAGCAGGCACAAAAGCACAAAGCTAACCACCAGCAAGTTCAAGTCCTTGAGATTTTCCAGCCGACCTCACCACCTGAAAAGCCTCTTTCTCGCAAAGCGTTTGCAAGATGGCATACAGCTGACCAGAGATCTCCTCCACATCCTCAATAGTCTGATGGGTCGGATTCACTGGTCCAAAGGCCGCTTTGATCTCCGTCGCAGTGATCTCAGTGTCGAAATCTTCTGCCCACTCCAACACTGCCTCCATCTTTGGGTGCACGCTGGTGATGAAAGCTTCCATCCTGGTCTTCCAGTACAACCAATTGGACTCTTCTCCAAGAAACCTGTCAGGCTTCGCCAAGCCCCGATTGTCCACCAAGGTCACCTTCTTGTCAGGCCGATCGCGCAACGCCTGAACCAGGTCATTCTGACTCCTTGCAAGCTCCTGGAACGCTGCCCCAACATTGGCTTGAAACGCCGCCTGCTGTTGCTGTGCTTGGGCTTGGGCTTGCTGTTGCTGTCCATTCAAGACCTGATCCAACTGTTGCCTGAGAGCTGCTTCACGCTGCTGTGCATCCGTCTGCCCAGCTGTCAGTTGCTCCACCTGTTGTCTAAGAGTCAACTCACGTTGTTGTGCCTGCTGCATGTTCGCCTGGAGTTGCTGGACCGTGTCGATGAGCTGCTGCGCGGTCATTGCTCCTTGTCCTTGAGTTGCCGCCATTGCTGCAAGTGATGTCCCAAGTTGGCCCAAACACGTCTCAACCTGCGGATCCTAATCACTTTCCTGACAAGTCTCTTCCACCTGTCAGCCACGCTCTGGTCCTCCACGACCAAAAGCCTGGACGCGCCGATCCAAAGGATCGACAGCAGTCCAATGGCTATTGCGATGATCCACCAATGGTCAATCGCCACAAGGATCAGTGCAGCCAGCTCAACCAGACGCTCCGCTACCATGCACAAATGTATGAACCCTCAAAGCAGCTGGGGCACCTTTTATCCGTCTTGAGCCAAAACATATCGTTAGGCGGATATAGGTCTACACATGTTATGTAGGAACCCATACCTAAACACAAAATGATGGGAAACATAAAAAATGTTCCAAACCACCAACCAGCATTTTGATGGGATTCAATGGGTTTAAGAGGTCTTTATGGGTTTTAATGGAATTTGTCTGGCACTGAATGGGGATATGATGGGGATATGATGGGATATCACCTACGTCAAAATGCAGTTGGGTTGTTGATGGGCATAACTGTTGCAATAACCTCAAACAGGTGGGATATAACCCTTAGTTGACAGTTAAGAGATTAGCATGTTTAGCCAAAAGTACTGCAACGTTACAACGTGTTGTAACATCTTATAACATGTTACAATCCAGTCTAAAGTACTCGGGCTCGGCCCTAGATTCCTAGATTTTGTCTTGTGAAAGGCACCTGGTTCTTTTGGAACTCCTGACACTCCTACAATGTGGTGTACCCCAGTGTTTGCTGGTTTCTAGACCCATCTAACAATAGGTATACCAATGTATGTATATATATATATACTGTATATCAAATGTTGCTAAAACAATCATAAACCATCCCAAAGTCATCACCATTTTTTGGTTGGTGGATGTTGGTGGTATAAACTTACCATTCCCAGTCATGGGTGGTAGACATGGCATTGTTTTACCCACATTACCCTCAATCGTTCAACCCGGTGATTCGCGCCTGCATGGATCGCACAGCTCACCACATTTCTGTGACAAACTGCGGATGGAAGCGCGCCTTGAAACGATAGCATTCATTGGAATTCCCCTAAATTCATGAGGCAAATGTACGGTCAATGGGAACAAAAAGAACAATCTATGGAAGAGTTATGTGTTGCTTGTATATGCCGAAGAGCTTTGTGGTGATCATTTCCCAGAACATGTGCAGGGTTGGCTCTTCATCGGTGTGCAACTCCAGTTTTGTTGCTGTCTGCGACAGAAATCCCAGCAGCCGCTGATGTTGGCAATCATAGTCGCACTTCTTCGTCTCTTCTCTAAATAGAGCTGTTGAGCCACCGGAAAAGCCACCGGAACACCAGCCTTAGACAAATCCGGATGGCACCCACAGTGTGACAGGTCTTGACTAAAGTGACTGAAGTATCTAAAGTGACCTAATTCTGTGTTTCTTTGTGAATCAAATCCATGGATCAGATCATTCCACGACGTGTCGCCGCCAACGATTTTTCAGCGCAATCTGGTCCTTCGACCGTCGAGCTGAAATGGTGAGACAGGCGCCACGCCGACAGGGATCCCGTTGCGGTTTCGCCTTTCCAGATATGGTGGGAGATGTCCCATCCCCTTCCATGACCACAACTTGATACCTGATACCTACATTGCTGCAGTTGAGCTTCCAAACCTATTGCTAGGTCCCTGAAGGAAAACCTGTAGGTCAAAATGACAGTCCCAAGACTTGAGTGGTTGAACATCCCAACCTCTATGGGTGTGTCCGAAACTCGGGGACTATCATCATCTCCCGTATTAAAGTAACAACAACTCTGGGGGTAAATCTCCCATTTTCAAACACACCCAAACCATAAATCATATTATAGTTTGTGAATGTTTGTTAGATGTCCCATGATGTCCCACTCCACCCCCATTCCCCCATTTATTTCCCCATCAAATGACGATAGGCCCCCCATGTTCACGAACAATCCCCATCAAATGGTTGTCATCCCCCCTTCGTCAAGCTACATCAACAGAGGTGAACCCAGTAGGCGAGTGGTTTCGTGTCACATCCCGCTGCTGAAGGGTTTCAACGTCTCGCGCGGCAAGACGAAACTCAAGAAATTCAGGTTGTCGCATCCTTAGCTAGAGACAAATGGGATATACCAAAAAAAATGTTGGACATTAAGGGATATACTGATATTTTCTGGTGATACAAGTGGGGTATAGTTTAATTTTGTTGGACATAATGGGATTTATTGGTATTTGCTGGTGTTATAATGGCATTTTATGGGAAGATAATAGGGTGTGATAAATAGAATAGGATGGGTTCATCATTAGATTTCGTGGTGGTATGTTGAATTTTTTTGGGGACATAATGGGATAAAATGGGAATAATGGTGATTCAATGGGATTTCGGGGAGGCATAACTGGATTTCATGATGTGATTTCATGGGAGAATGTGATATAATAAGAGGATTCCATGATACAGTATATCATTCGGTTTCTGCGGATACATTGGGATATGCTTGGATGCTATGTGGGTTATATGGAAATATAAGGGATGACAGGGGCTAGCAAAAATGACTCCCAACTGTTTGACTCTGAACTTTGCTTCTTTCAACTTGGCCTTTCAAAAGACCTTCAGACATGTGTATAACAACTTATTAAGGAAAGTTAAGGTGTCTGCACATAATCAATTTAAAACGGAACAAAATGTCTTGATGCAAGCTTTGAAATATGCTGATTACGTGCTCTGAACCACTTGCTGCGGTGATGCTGCAAATGATTTATACTAATTAATTTATATTGAATGCCGTGTTCGTGAATACTTCATTCAACTGACATCAGCTGCGCTGCTCTCATCCTTTCTATTGGGGTGCAATGTCGTGTCTCTCCACGCTGGCGCACGTTGGCAACTGGGTAGGCCCAAAAATGAGACGTCCAAAAGCTCATTGGAGAAAGTGGTCTAATGATACTGTCTGGTGCTGTGTCCCTGGCCTGGACGCTGTCGGAGCAATCTTTGAGCTAGTTACACTGCACACGATGATGATGATGCTGATGATGATGATGATGATGATGCTGATGATGATGATGATGATGATGCTGCTGATGATGATGATGATGATGCTGATGATGATGATGATGATGCTGATGATGATGATGATGATTTATGGCCTTGGATGGTGATGAAGATCATGATGATCAGGCGCGTTCCAAAGCGATGCGTTTGACCGCGTTCCGAAGTGATGCGTTTCGTCGCGTTCCAAAGCGAGGGCCTAAGCCTGCGTCGCTTTGGTAGGGAGATGTAGGGAGTGTTTAATTTTGAGGTTGGGACGGTATGCATACCTATATATAGGTCTTTTTAAAGTTCAAGTTGAAAGAAGCAAAGTTCAGAGTCAAAAAAATGGGAGTCATTTTGGCTAGCCAATTATATGGGGTGTAATTGGATTTCTGTCGGGGTATAATTATTGGGATTGTGTGCAGATATAGTAGGACATATTCAGCCAAGAACATGAGATGGGAGAATTGGTCTTGAGCTCTTGCACTGGGACAAATAGGAAAGAACCTGTGAATTCGTCGGCTTGGATTGATGAATCCATCCGCTTCGAGTGAGCGAGCGAGCGAGTGAGTGAGATGCCAATGCCAACTTCAAACCTTGTGAAGCCAAGAGACACGTTCAGTTCACTTTTCCTCCTTTGCTTCTTTCAGTTCTTTCTCCTCTTTGGGTTTCTTCTCATCTTTCTTTTCAGCCTCGCAAAATGACCAGCAAATTTATCTTATCTACGTTCGACTGTTGGCGATCATCCCACTCTGGGTTTGGTTATCCGATCCCCAAAGTTCCGATTCCATGGGAATCCATGGTCGAAATCGGTCTCAAAAACCACCTTTCTGTTGCCGAAATCATCACGTCATTGAGGCTTGGATGGAAAATCTCTGTGGCAAATGCCCCAAAAGTTTGGAAAAAAAAACAATCGCTTCAATCAACTCGATGTGAATATCTTTGATGGTCATATTCAAGCATCATGTGCCTAAACCAAGTTGCATCCCCAAACAAACCAAATGAACTATCCAATTATGATTGGTTTTGACCCCCCATATTTTGGCATATATTGGGTTTGTCTGAAAACAGGGTGCCCAAACAAATCCAATAGAATAGAGTCTTGAATAGAGCCTCATTTCTCCCAATGAAACTGTAATGTCTTTGTATGCCCCATTTTCACACGAACCCATGTTTCTGAATACATTAACAATACATTATAATTAACCTGAAATATCAATAAAGAAAACTATCTGGGGATACCCAATCCAATTCCCATCATTCCAGGGCCTTTCTCGGTTGGATGGTTTCAGTCACCTTCCTAGTTGGTGAGTTATATCCCCATGGAAGCCCCAATCATTCCCAATTTTATCACCAAAATATTAGTTCAACCCCATGTATGATGTCTAAAAAAACCCGCTTAACCCCATGAAAAACCCCATGTGCTCCCATTTAATAATCATGAAATAAGCTTAAATAACCAAAAATCAGCATAAATATAACCGTATATCATGGTTTGATGGTCGCATCAAACCCCACAACGACCTCATCCTCCTCCTTGGTCGATTTTTTGCCCTTTCGCCTCTTCTTTGGGGGCTCACCAGCCTGACAATCCGAACTCAGTTCATGGAGTCGGGGAAGTAAGGAATAGGGAGATCATAGAGAAACCCATCAGAACCCATGATCTGGTTATTCAAATGGGGTTCAATGAGCATATAACATAAGCCAACATGGGGGAAAAATAAACTAGAGGTATATTTGGGTTACCATATGACCATATTATATGGGGTATTATAATGAATATCATGTGGGAAACCCTGGCTGCCATAAACAAGTCCCATTTGGCGATGGTTAAAATCGCACCCAGAAAAAATGGTGATGACTTGGGGATGGTTTATGGCACTGGGATTGTCGCTTTACATTCATTCAATAGGGACGTATAACTTGGAAACAAGGGGAAGGAATCAAGTGTCATAGAGATATATTACCAACACTAGGGACAAATGAACATAGAAAAAATGGGATTGGAATCAAGAATGTGATTATTACCATGGGATATCATATCATGGGTTCTTCAACTGTTTATTTCCGCAAAACATATATTTGGGAACAAAGAAAATGATTTGGGCTACATAGCACATGGTGTGACAATGTTATGGGGATATAATTGACATAATGGTACACCAATAAAGAATGAAACCAACCAATTCAAAGGGAAAATGATGAGCTACACACCACCATTATTTCATTCAGCGAAGCTACCCTGCGGGGTTCGACCGTCCGAGTTGTGTGGGAATATGATGGGATTAAGGGTTGGTATGATGATGGGATATAGCGGGATATAAGGGGTTCACCAAAAATAGTGTATCTTGATACATCCTTATTTTGGATATCATGGTATATACATGGGATGCAAGCTACAAGAAAATATGGATTTGAAATGATGTACAAAAATATGTGGCACATGTGGATTGAAGGCATCTATTCGTAAATGGAACCAAACAAACGGAAGTGTAGCCGCCAACAGAAATGTTGGACCCCCAAAGGATGTAGAATCCACATTCGGAATATTCGATCCACAAAAGTGGATTATATCAAAACTAGCTAAAATGGTGTTACGACGGGGATATAACTAACAATACAATATTTGGGTTGTGTGAAAATGGATAACTAAATAACCATCAATTTATGGCAACTTTAATATGGAAATAATATGGAAAAATGATGATGAACCAACGAATAGAACAGGGTTCCCCGTTTTCAGACAAACCCTCTAGAAAACACATTCATTTTCTCAGCTTCACTTCTTCACAATCTGAGGGAGCATCTGCTGTTTCTCAGTCCTGCTTCTCGCACCTTGATGTACAAGTAGATGAAGAAAGCACCAAGGTACCTGCGAAAAGATGTGAGCACCAAGGTACCGCACCCGAATTCCCCCCCAGAAAGATGGAACTATTACTTACCCTGCGTCAGATTCGTGGTAAAAGAAAAGTCCAAGTCATCCAAGTCTCAGAAAAGTCTATCTCTTGGGGGGTTACTAAGTTACTATAGACTGAGATATTGCCTGAGTCTGAGTGATTTCAACTATGATGGTTGGATCCCCATGCCTTTCATGGCTTAAAACCCCCAACCAAACCATGGTTTTTCAAATGCTTACCCTCTGGTAAACTAACAGGTTGCTATTGAACATGGCCCAGTCGAAATAGTGGATTTTCCCATTAAACATGGTGATTTTCCATAGTTATGTTAGTTTTTTTAAATAGTTGATACAGGTGAATACTAGGACAATCATGGGAACTCATTCCACCAGATGAATCGTTCCGAGGGCACAGGGACAGGCCAATCAGCAGCTGACTTCTCCTCAATCCCCGAACTACGAAATGGAGGCGTTGTTTCGCCGTTTAGCTGGGGGAAATCCATGAGCAAAAAACATCCATGTGTGCCTTGGGTCAAGTTACATATGCAAAAATGGAATAAACATGGAATAAAAATGGATGTTGATGATTGTTTATAAACATCATCCATCCCCAAAACTGAATCCCCTAATCCCGGAAAATGCATTGATGAAACCATCGCATTGATGATAAACTCCCAACATGGGAAACGAAAATTCATGTTTTTGTTGGATGTTCTTGATGGATGTTGATACGATTAATGACATGCTCAATTCCCGAAGAAATGCTTATTATATTCGTTTATATGACATACGTATGAATTGATGTTGAGGATTGTTATCCACTTGATCAACCCTTACAGTACTGTTGCTCATCATTTTCACTAATAATAAGGAGTATCCATAGCCAAGTCATATGTTGGGGATATAACTTATATCCCCCTGGTATACCCATCAAACATCACCTGTTTGCCTACTTAAATCCCCCTTTTGTTGATGTTTAGTCCAGCTGGGGCCGCCCGCGTTTGCGGAGGGTACATGTTGCCAATCACGGAGAATCCAAACATGATGGATAGAAGGAACCTCGCGGCAGGTTTAACGCGGAAACTTAGGGAGACAACATGGGTCAACGGGGTAAAGGAAAGCAGCTGGTTCCACGATTCGGGTTTGGATCAATGCCATCTACCATTCGGTGAGTCTGGTTTTTTTGGGAGTACCCCAAATAACCGTTTTAACAGGACACATGATGATTTAACAGCCAAGTTTGGAGAAAGATGATGATTTAACAGCCAATTTTGGAGTGCCCTATTTTCAGACAACCGACTCATTGCTTGCGCACTGCAGGGCAGGGTATGGGCCTCAATCAGACCAACTTTGGGACCTCTATGGGGCGAACCATGAAACACTCGCACCAGCAGTTGCAAGACAAAAAGAAGCAAGGCCCTTCAGATGTGTTTTTTTGTATGTATATATATAATATACATAATAATAATAATAACAACAAAAATAATAATAATAATAAATATATATATATATATCAAATATAACATTTTATAATATTTTGTAATATATATATATATTGTGTGTCCCCATCAAATTCCCCATCCCAAGCAGCACTTTTCCCGTCTTTTCCTGGATGCTTCCAGGGCACACATCCGAAAAGTGCACCATGTCGTAGAACTCCTGCCGCGCATCTTGAGCGGCCTTGGACCTTCGGGCGGCTGGCCCATGAAATCGATGGGGGCCCATTGTTGGATAAAGGCCTTAAACGGGATATGTACTAATATACATATCATATAATATAATAATAAATACATGCAAATACATGATCAGTGATTAGTTATATGATATGTATTATTGCTTATATTATCTATAAGTATATATAATTATATGAATTAAAACATTAAAACCATTCAAAACATATAATCAGCAAAATGATATAAGAGTTTGTCCAGAGTCCGTAGAGGGGGGAAGTGTGTCCCTTTCTTTGCTGCAATCTGAATTTGGGAAAAATGATGGTTTAAAACATGGGATACAATGGGGCACCCTATGCTCAAAGCCTTATTTCAGGCATGACATTCGGTTACAAACCACTTCCACACATAAGCCGCTTGTCGAGCAGGTAATCCAGTTTTATCACACTCCAAGTATCAAGAGGTCAGGTAAACCCCCCAAACAGCATATTTTTGGGGTCTGCCAACATCTCCAGGATACCACAAATTGACGCTGCGTTCCATGGCCATCAATCTATGCTGGCTCTAGCATCTTGAATCGTCGATTCTCATTCAGACTCACAGAATTTCATCTGGAATTGGAATAGGTCTGTATCTGGTTAAATTACAATAATTCACTCAGTAACCTGAAGGCTATGGTATATAGATATAATATAGATAGTATATAGATAGTATATAGATAGTATATAGATAGTATATAGATAGTATATATATATATAGATAGTATATAGATAGTATATGATAGTATATAATAATCTGTAGTGGGATAATTCCCCTTATCAACCATCCAGCTGTTTACAAGGCTTCCTTTGGTGAATTGTCCTGATATGGCCATCTGGGGTTTTCCGATCAGCCTTTGCTTCATGTCCTTGTGAAGGGACCTGCAAATCAGAGGCAAATATGTCAAAGATATGATTGTCATAAGGATTCAAAAAGAATCACTGAATCACTGGATAGTTCGATTGGAAAGTTGTACAGTGATGTACAGTGCAGGAAAGTTGGAGGTATTTACATGGACAGATAGTTTTTTGGGGCTCTTGTAAATTCCTCTTCCACCAATCCATTGAATCACTAAAAAAATCTCAATCACTAACTGCCTCGCAGATGGCTGCGACATCTTCGGTTCCAACGAAATCCCGAGATTTCACGGGGGAAACGCTGACAAATAAGTTCAAATGAGTGTGTATAAGAAGTAAAATCCTCTGGTAAATGAGTTGTCTATATGTTTTTGGGTGGTTACTTGGGGTTACTATATAAGATATTATAAGATACTACAGGCGCCAATCCTGAAGGCTCTGTCGAGCATGTGTTGATCAACTCAGTGGGTCTAGGTAAATCAAAGCTTGCACCAATCTGCCACCTCCGTGGCAATACATGACACAAAAGAACAGGATCGCGGCAAGCTCATGGCTCAACAAGTTTGGGTCTTTACAAAGGTTAAACAAGTGTTTGCTACATCGGCTGCATCTGAATCTGACTGCTTTCAGCTGTCGCTTTTGAACCAGCTTAGTGGCAATCGGTTTGGGATATGATGAATGGATGGACATCTGTGGGAACGATTCTACCTAGAAATAAAATGAAATAAATAGAGTATGCACTGCACAGGTGAATCAAGTATGGACCTAACAAAGGATGAAATGATGTGAGACAGATTGGGGTCGAATCCGTCCCAGCACCTTTGTTGTACCTTCCGAAGTGATTGGTTCCACTTGATCATAGGATCCAAACTTTGACAGCATCGTATCTCATCAAGAAAGACTCTTGATCGCCAAGAAAACTCCGAGGCTTCAATGTCTTGTAAACACTCACTCCTGCAGCAACACCATCAAGCAGACTTTTGCAGTCTCGATGTTCAAGCTCTTTATGAAGGTGAAACCGCATGAATTCTGCGTCTCAAACTGCTTCAGCCGTGTTTGTAGATCATGAATCCTGCCTACCATTCGCTGGCCATTCAAAGAGGTCCCTCAAGACTTGTAGAAACGCAACACCTCTATCAAAATATATATCAAAACAGTGGGAAGAATCACTACAAAAAAAGCTCATGTCTGAATAGATCTGAATAGATGAATAGGAATCTGCATATTTGCGGCCCTGCCCTAATCTGAAGCACTGCCAAAGCCCGGCCTGGCCAATGTGGAAGTACACCAGCTTGTGGGTCTGGCAAGCTGGTTGATAATCCGACGAGTTCCGGCAGCAGTCGACACTGGTCCACGGGAATGCGGAGCACTGAATTCTTGGAATGTCAAACATGCAAATCAAAAAGGTTTCCCCATTTAGGGGTTTCCCATGGTTTCCCCAAAATAAGGGATCCATGGGGATCCCCAAGTCACCATGGCTTTCAATACTGAAACCCCAAGCCGCTGCAACGTGCTAACGTGCCGTGCCTCGTAAGTCACCCATGCGCCAAAGTGTTTTCCCACGAAGACGTGCCATGCTCCCTGGAAGGTCCTGTCATCAGAGAGATAGAATAAAAACTATCAGGTAGTTCGATGATCATCCCCTCATATGGGGGTTTCCATAAATGGGGGTACCCGGGTACCCCTAAAACATCCATTTTAAGAGGATTTTTATGGATTTTTCCTTGTAAACCATCCAGCTATTGGGGTACCCCTATGACTATGGAAACCCCTCATATTTTTCGAGGTCTCCAGCTTTTCAGCATCTTTTTGGGGGTTGCTATAGCCCTATAATATCTTAAAATCATCATTTAGCCACCCAAAATTGCCATTCAAGCAGCGATTTAATAGGCACATAAACTTTGTTATATTTTGTTATACATTGATCTTTAAACATGCGGAATTTAGCTTTGAAATTGGGTGTGTCCCAAAGATTCTGGTGTCAATAACTTGATTTTAAGGAAAGTCGACGGTTGAAGCCAAAGCGTTAGATTTTACCCCCACAATGGAGGTGTCCTGTAGACTTCAACTTTTTCTGGGAGCATGTCTCTTGCGTTTTTGAAAAGGATAAAGTACAAAAGGCGATGCTTTGGAATGCCTAAATCGTGAATACACACCACTTCACGTTGGTCCTCTCAACCGTCTCAACCTATCACTTTGAATCTAAAATATATCTAAAGTGTTCCCTTCAAATCCTTCAACTGCAGTAACTGGAGATAACTGGAGTCTTGCCTGTCTCATCAAGTTACAGCATGCCATTCTCTAATTCAGCCAGTGGCGCTTGTCGAACTCCTTCTTGATAAACTGGGCCACCTGTCATTCCGAGGCTGCGGGTAGCCGGCTAGCCGTCGATGACATCGGTAGCCACGTTGCAATGGACCAATCAAAACGGAACCGCGCCTCGCAAAATGACCGTCGCTCATTTTTGAAGAGCGAGATGATGCCTGAGGGTAAGCTTCTTCGAGAAACACAAGGAAGGCTTCAAACATCTTCAAACCCTCCAGTGCAATGGATGCAATGGCATAGTCGACAAGAACCCCAGCATCATCCAGTTCTTCTCATCAAACACTTCTCATCACACGTCATGTGGTGTGAACATTTCTTACTGTGGAGAAACATGATGAAACCTGAGCAGTGTTCACCTCTGTCATTCCATACATCATCCTGGATCAATCCCCGACACAAATTGGGTAGTAAAGTCCCCCCTCCCAAAAAAAACCTGGAAATCCCATCTGGTTGGTGATTGACCTACCCCGAAAACTATTAGTTCGTCAGTTGGGATGATGACATTCCCAGCCCGACGCTCCAGCTGGTCGGAGCGGCCTTTCTTGGCCACTTCAATGGCAAAGTCCACCTTCTCACGATGGGAAAAAAGAGATCCTCCAACCACTGTTATAGCTTGGGTTAGCTTGCGTATAATCAAGGTCTTACTGTTGGAAAAGGTAGAGATCTCCATTTTACAGTGACTAGTGCTCAAAAAATGGCCTTTAGCGATCCATATTCAGCGCAGTTAAAAAACAATGCTTTCAGCCTTTCCAGGCGCAATGATCAGGTGGCTTTGTCTGAAAATTGGCTAGCCCGAAATCGCAAAAAATCATTCAAGATCCCATGGTTTACTTGTGAAAAAGGTCGTAAAACCTCATTTCCACATGCCTTCCCCATCACTGAACAGCCATCAGGTCATCATAAATCGGAGTGTCATGGAGTATATGTATACAGTATATCCCAATGTCAGACACAGCCACATCACATTAGTTGGTCAGGATCAATCACATCAGTTTGCCATCAGCATGAACATTCCCCGAAATAAACCCCATGTGATATCTCACATGATATCTGATATGATATCCCACAGTTTTGTTGGTTTTATCATGTATACCCCCATGCAATAGTGAACGAACCATCAACTCACATCCTATGATAGATCCACATCTAAATCATCCTTTGTTTAACACTTGAGTAACTAAGTCATATATCTCCTCATTGATTTTTCATCATCAACATGAATCTCAGTATATTATATTATGGAATATTATGGGAAAGGTTGAGTAACCAAGTATTGAATCCTCATGATCAACCAACATCCAATCCACTGATCTGGATCAAAAAAACTGAGTTACCCGAAGAGAAAAAAAACACCCCAATGTTCAGTCCCACAACGAGCCGTAATATTTACCTATTTGGAAATGCGGTTCCACTTCTAAGTGGATATTATATATATATACATAACCATATAGTTATAGGGCAAATAATCCCAACTTATGGAGCTTTTAATGATCATTTCACCATGGTAAAACAGCGCTATAACTTCGTCGCCTAAGTCGCTTGTCACGGTGTCAGGCCTCAGCTTTGCTCATGTCTACGATGTGCATCTCCGGCTTCGGCAGCTCGGGGACATCCTGGTGATGATGGCCGGGGGCTTGCCATGGAAAATCACCATGGAAAATCACCATGGATTTACCGGTGAAAAGTGGTACCATCTGGTTATGACTAACAGGGCCAGCCATGGAAAATCACCATGCTATGAAAATAGGTAAACCAATGTAAACCATCTATAAATGGACGGCTATGTTAAATAACCAGAGGGTACATTTCCATAGCAAACTGTGAAATGACCGTAGATTTCTTTGAAATTAACTGGGAGATGATGATCCAGAATGAACCATGATGGTGCATTTGGATGTGAATGTGGACATATGAATGCTGTGGATGATGCCAATGAGGATAATCATGAATCCTCATCATCAATTTCTATATGTCTATGTCGTCTAGATATATCATGTCATCATATTTCTATAATTTTCCCTACTCCTATCACTCCTATCTAGCATTTTTTTCCATCATTTCCCATATATTCCCAGCTCCTTGGCATTCTGCTGCGCACCAGCCTGAGGATACGACGATCACAGTAAGAGTCGTGACTCGTAGCGTAGCTGGTCGTTAAAATGGAGCCGTTTCGACATGGCGTAAAAATGGCCGTAAACTGCAGGAAATAGTTCTGAAAACATGTAGAACTAAGTCTAGTGAACATATAGTCAACTGATGTCAGTGTCCCATTTGGGGCCCAACTTTGACCCATACCAATATGTTGCCACAAAATGTTCATGGCAACAAGGTGGAAGAAAGTGGCACTGTACTGCAGCCAGGTACCTGAATTATGCGAGGACTGCCAACTTCAACCAATTTCATAAATTTTCGAGAGTAAGTGTATGTACATGTACCCATAGGATCCATGTATGGTATATATGCTAACATTGGGGGTATATTGATGGTAAATGTTACCATATATAGCATACATGGATCCTATGGGGTATGTACAGTGAGAAAATGGATGGCTATGACAATAGCTCACATCAACAAACATGCCGCAGCCTGCGACTGGTCCGTCATGGCTGGAAGCGCAGTGTGGAACGTGCGAAACTTGTCGCTTGAAACGTTTGGGCAATGGGATTCTCATGGATTCTCTCGGGGCTCTGATCGCTGCTGCAATCTGATGCTAATCTGATAGAACATGATAGAACTATATGAAATTCTCAGGGAGGCATGGAAACATATGGAAACGACATATCATATCCTTGTTGAGCGAGTCTGTGGCCACTAATCCATCAATTCTTCTCCTTTAAGAACTGGAGCCAGCAAGGTTGGCAAAGGCATCGGCTTTGCCAGCTTCGCTGAGCGTTGTAAACCCAACAATAAACAACTATTCCCACTGTTACCAATAAATGGGTGGGATTGAAATCATCCCCTACTGGTTTATGATTTCTGTTACCACATTAGCATACAGTCGCTGGTTTTGGATGGCGAAATGTCCAGACTGTTGTTCATCATCCACCCACCCATCAGACCACCAGATCCTTTCTCGGCTGTCTCCTGGATAAGTCTATAGTGTCTATAGTCGCCACAGCACGACGCAAGACATAGGACATCATCGGACGCCAACGTTCAAAAAGAATGGTCTCACAACCAACGTCAGCTCTGCGCATTAGACGATTGAGACCAGAGACACGATGCGTCAGGTAGTTCTCCCAGTGTTTGGAACAGAATACCAAATATCTCAAAAGTTTGCGGGCTATAAAACTGATGGATTGTGAGACGTTTTTCTGTAGATAATAAATGATAATAATGGGATGACACCGTATTCAGATTTATACTAACGGATATGAATGGTTATGAATGGATGTGAATGGATATTGATGGATATGACAGATCAGTTATGAATATCATTGAATATCCATTGTATGAGTTCTGAATAGTTCTGATCTGTGAATTTTGCATCCGATGCACCTCACAACTAAGATCAGACCATTTTTTCCTCCTTTTTAGGTGGCGCCTCCAATAGCAAGTCTGATTTTTGGTCACCGGATGTTCCAAAATATGCCAAAAGAATAACACAAAAAAAGCACGAATAGCACCTACAGTAAGTATGTCTAAGTTGTGCGTTGCAGCTCTCTCTCTCTCTCTCAAGCGGTCAAGCAAAGCAAACTTCTCATTTCAATCATGTCCAATCCACCTGGCGCACGGTTCGTGAGGAAACCACTGTGCGTCTCTCGCAACAAGTTCCGCAGCTTCAAAGGATGGCTGCGCAGCGATTCGTCGCGTTTGTCTATTTAAATGATAGATGATCAATAGCAGGGTTGCACCTCTGTGCTAAGATCAGACAACACCAATAATGGCCCAAAGTTGGAATCCCCGGCTTGAAATGTGCAACCCTGAGAAGCCAAGAATTTCTTTCGCAGCTTTCAAGTTCGACTTTCATGACGAGAGACAGGCAGTTTGGGGCAAGTCTCCCAACAACTCCCGCTGAGAAAGAAACTAGGCACATTCTCGAGCCGCTAGGCTTCCAAAACAGACCAGAGGCCATCTGGCTCACAAGAGGCTCTCAAAACACCTTAGGCCAAACTCGATGGATCCCAGTCACCATCTGTCCCAGGACCCTGATTTGGACCTTACGACACTCTCAGCCATATTACAGGCCAGAATTCTGCAGAATTGCTTGAAGATGGTTGAAGAGAAAAGCTGCAAGAAAAAATAACACATATTTAAGCAGCTTTTGCAGGGGAACCACCCATGGTTTCCTGCAGAATGTCCCAAACATGAATCAACCAAGCTGCACTTCAAAGATCGCGGCCGTATTGATCCACCTGGCAACGGGTCCACGGTCAACGGGTCATATGTATAAACCATCACATGTTTTGTGTGGTCTACACGACATGTATGTGATTGTGAAAAAACACCTGTATATCAATTTACACTTCTAGCACGCAGACTCTATCACACATTCTGTATATGTCCAAATTCAAAATAAAGTTTAAAGAAACGTTTGTTAGATACATATATATATAATATGTAGGTATTTTATCTATATATCTATTATCTGGATGTATGATGGATAGATATATATTATATCCATATATATATATATCATATACACATACTATATATATATAATGTATCATGTCCCGATGTCCCACCTTGAAGGCTTCCTGGAATTGCTCGGCCTGGCGTGGGTTTTAGTTTTGTCTTTTTTTTCACGTGGGACGGGGACGGGGATCCACAGACATGGGAGATACATCTGGTTGGAGGTATACCTACCCCTCTGAAAAATATGAAAGTCAGTTGGGGTTATTATTCCCAATGTATATGGAAAAAAAAATGTTCCAAACCACCAACCATATATATAATTAATATATATATATATATATCACCAAAAAATAATCTATGGATATCTACAGATTCCGGATTACATGTGGGTATGAAAGCAACAATTTTAACATGAATAATTATATACAGTAATTTGTAATGGGATATAAGTTGCAAGCAACCAACAACATCTGTTGGGTTTGTTCAAAAAAAGGGGAAACCCCGACAGTTGTTTGAGGTTGATGTGAAAGCATATGTGCGACCGTCTAAACATGGTATTGATTCCATGGTCATCAATTTAGGGGGTATCGCTCCTGAAGGTTCCCTATCGGTTCACACAGTGGGAGCTCACTTTTGCTAAATATGATGAAGCATGACACACATGTTTAGGCCTGCCTCCACGATTCTCTGTCAAATTCTGTCAGTGAGATTCGTATAAATTACCTAGCGACTAGTTTTGTAGCCATCAGTCAGCTTGGCAACATGCAGGGCACTTGCCCCTCCAAGTGTTGGTTATGAAGCATGCGAAAGGGTAGCAACGTGACCATTGGGCAAAACCAAACATGGCTTGCCATGGAAGTTTGCCATGATCAATGGTAAGTTTGCCCACCTCAGAGGGGTAAAAACTTTTCAATGATGGCCCAATGGCAAGGTAACCTTTCCATCCAAGATCTTTAATTTACAATAGGTGTGGCTCATTCGAATTATCTTCATGTGGTTGGGGATCTCTTAGTAGTTTCTTAGTTTTTCATTTCATGGGAGGAATATCTCTGGATACACACTTAAAGACTTAGACTTAGATCCATTCAGGTATATACTGTTTCAGCCAAGGCTTCCACACGGACACCATTTAGGGAATATATGGGAATATAGATACCACTTACCCTGTGGTAATTTAACATAGCTATGGAAAATCACAATTTTTAATGGGAAAATCCACTATAAATGGCCATTTTCAATAGCTATGTTGGTTTACCAGAGGGTAAGCAAAACATAGCAAAACAGCTCCGATCACAGCTCTAACGGCCTCATCTGGCTCCCATTCGTCAAAATTCATGAGCCCTTCGAAGTCGCTATCACCGAACCTGGCGCACTCGGCCGTCCCTGGGGGATCCGCAGGGGTTTTGTCAAATAGCGATCTGAAACCAGGACTTCTTGGTGGAGTGGTACTGGGCGGACGTCGTTTCTTACCCCAGGCACCCAGAAGTTACCCCATCCCCATGGCACACAGGGTTACCCCAGGCAAACCGGAAGTTACCCCAGGGACCAAATCCTATTGGCACACTGGTACCACGCCATTGTTGGTTTGGCAAACAAAGTAGTTAAAATGTGTCCGTGCCATTGCGAAACACATATCTAATACCATCTCCTTCGGTGATAAAACCATGTTGAAAGTTGGCAACCGCCATTGGCACACACGCATTGACAGAAAAAAAACTGCTTTCCATCTAAATCAGAAAAGAAACTAATTCTGCAGCACACACCCCGTTTTCTTGTCATGACTCTGGACATGGATTCGTTTGATTTCGGTACTTTAATTATCTGTTTCCCAATGGCACACCCAGTGCCAAATAAGTCGTGCAAAGCATCTCTGACCCGAGCCGCGGCGTGATCCTACGCCATTTACTAGAACTTGCGCCAGCCGCATGGCAAAGCCTTCCCAAAACCTCTCCAGGCTGGGTTTTGACTGGCTGCAATTTTAACGAGGTCCGAACGAGGTGCAAACGAGGTCCAAACGAGGTCCGAAATCACATTTTGGGAGACTGACCCCCTAAGTCTCCTGACAAACTCTCTGGTAGCCTCATGCTTGCGCATTCTTTTCAGAACAGTAAAATTAAGAGCTTTCAGCGGTGGAGCATGGTGGAGCAGAAGAGGAAACCAAGCCAAGCAGCAGCTGCAGGCAAGATGAGGGGAGACAAAGGGACGCAGGCGGCGGTGACAAATTTGAGCGGGCATAGACTGTTTGAGACGTATTGTAGGAACCGTGATAGCCAGGTAAGCATCGTGTGCCTATGCAAAGTGCCAAAAAATACATCAGTAAGTTAAAGTCATAGGCGCTGCCCATGTGGGCCTCTCCCTATTCCCCATAGGCACACCACGATTTGAAAAAAAATCTTGTCATCGGCACTTATTACAACATCGACCCAGCTCCCAAACTTGAACCCACTAGCACCAAATGGCAGGCACACCGATGTTGGCACAAGATCTGCTGTGCTGCACAAAATCATTGAAGTACCCAGGGCCACATATTCTCTTTGACCGAGCATGCCACTGCGTTTGGATGTCACAAGTATCAAACCAATCAATAAATAAACATGTTTATGACAACCAGTGTACCCCTGCGTCGTGTGCCCTGCAATGGACAAACAAACAATAAGAAGGTTTATGACTACAAATGGTAGGTTCATGTTGGTGAAATTCAGCGTGCCTATGCGTTTTGTGGTCTTACAATAAGCAATGATCCAATGGAAAAATGATATAATTAATATCTTTTATACAAACTTCCCCACGGCACACCGACCTGAGACAACTTCAGGGGAGCCGAGACAAGAAACAACATGAACCCAGTACGTTGGTAAAACATGGTAAAACATGGTAAAGTGATATCCATGACGATAGGATGCTGATAGGCAGTAAACTTACGAACTCAGGCCAGTTTGCACATGATATTTCGTTACTGTTTTTCACTGTGGGCCTTATTTTTTGGGAGGTCCATTTTTGGCCCAAAAAAAAACATCGCAGTTTTTTTTAATCAAACTACTCTCCATGAAGTCCATGAAGTCCAGGTGATTTCTCCAGATCATCTGGGTGTGGGAACCCATTTTTCGGCTACCCCAAAAAATTCATGGTCGAAATAAAATGCACCAAAAATATTAGCTGTAGACAATGTATATATCATTATATATCCAATTAGTTACCATCAGCTAGATGCATGTTAATAAATATATATATATATACAATATCTTATGTTTTTCTAAGAAAAACTCCAATTTAGAACAGTGAATTAGCTACCCATTGCATATTATTATCTCATTATTAACAGTAAAACCCAAATCTGTGCCTTTCCTGGGACTGAACATTTTGTCAAAACAGCGCCAGTTCGACTCGTCAAAGCTCTGCGCTCCAACCTGCAGTCACCAGGTTGTGACTTTTTATTGTCTCAAGATCATTACCCTCTGGTAAACTAACAGTTTGCTATTGAACATGGCCATAGAAATAGTGGATGTACCCAGCTATAAAATGGTGATTTTCAATAGTATGTTACTTTACCAGAGGATAATAATGTTGAGAAAACTCTATCCTTCACATCAACAAGTGTGGCTTTAATATAATAGACAACACCTAGACAACACAACGCCTTTTTAAGCAAAGACAAAGATCAACAAATATATAATCATGAGCAAATTTGACCAACAAAATGCTGGGAGAGTCGTCAGTCCTGGGGATACAGTCAATGTCCCAAGATTGTCTAAGTGAATTCCTTGTACTGTAGCTGCTGGATACCGATATTGCTGACAAATGTTGACAGCAACACAGACTAAACAAAGACTTCTTCCACTTCTTAAATATCTATTGCAAAAGGAAGACCTCACTATAATATACTATAATGGTCTTTGTACATCCAAGGATATCCAAGGTCCCAAAATGGGTCACCAAGCAGGTGTGGCCAGAGTTACTGGCTGAACTTGCATGGTGGATCAATGATGTCAAGTGGCGCCCCAAATATTTGGAGGTCTGAAAAAAGGTTTCCCCATTTCGTCCCATGAATCTCATTTTCATTCATTTTCCCCATAGTTTCGAATGAATTCAAAAAAAAAAAAACGCACATCCAATGCCCATCTCCATCATCTCCCTTGGCTCAATACTCACATCCCAACCATCCATACCATCGCCATCCACACCATCCCAGCCATGCCTTTTTGCGCATGAGACGAGTCAGGTGTGAGTAGTTGTTGGTGATGTGCTCCTTCGCAAAATCATCGGCATCGGAGATGTCTGGAGGCTTTAGATCTGGTTGAGAATGGTTGCAGCTACTACTGATCATTCAATAAATATTTTTTTTAAAAAAAAAAAACAATAAATTCACTGGCATTACTTTCGAACTGGATGGTGGAAGTGGACTGGACGGTCGCGATCAGCTGGTTTATCCTTCATCCCCTACCTTTGAACAATGCATCCGATTGTCCCACAACAAAAAGGATTCACCAGGTTTGCTCGCTCTTTGCCACCCTTTTTTCACACCTTGCAGAGCTGATCACAACGGAGTCCCAAACCAAGGTCTGAAATGTGCGTGGCATGTTCACTCCCTCCAGGCTTTGCTGAAACTTGTCGCTCAGTTTCAAGTTTTTCAGGCTGCTGGGCCATGTGACTCCTTCCAGGCTTTGGTTGAACCATTGGCCAAACTGCAAATTTTCAAGGCTGTCGGGAAAGATCACTTGGTCCAAGCTGCAGTTGAAGCGACCACCAAAAGACAGACTCTGAAGGCTGCTTGGAAAGGTCACCCCTTCCAGGTACCGGTTGAACTCTTCACCAAAAGTCAAGCTTTGAAGACTGGCTGGCAAGGTCACCTGCTGAAGGCACTGGTTGAACATATAGCCAAAAGTTAAACTTTGAAGATTAGTTGGCAAGTTCACACACTCCAGGCTTTGATTGAACTGCTCACCAAACGTCAAATGTCGTAGACTTTCTGGTAAAGTCACGTGATTCATGCTCTGGTTGAAAGAGGTTTCAAATGTCAAAACTTCAAGTCTCATTGGCAGCTTGACATGTTCCAGGCTCTGATTGAAGGACAAGCCAAGTTTCAAATTTCGAAGACTCTCTGGAAGGGTCACTCGCTCAAGGCTATCATCGTCGAACCAACCCCCAAAGCTCAAACTTTGAAGAGCGCTGGGCAAGGGGCCGCCCAGCTCTTCCAGGTTGTGGCCAGAAAGGAAACCAAAGGTCAAGCTTTGAAGAGTACTCGGCAAGGTCATGCCGTTCACGCTTGTGCGGTTGCTATCGCCCAACATCAAAGATCGAAGACCGCTTGGCATTGCCACTCCTTCAAGGCTCTGGTGGAACAATTCATCAAATTCCAAATTTTGCACACCGCTTGGTATTTTCACTCGTTGAAGACTCGGGCAAGAATCATCACCCACAGTCAGACATTCAACATTGCTAATAGTCAAGCTCTTGAAGTTGCTTGGCAGGGTCACCATCTCTAGTCTCTGGACAAATGAGTTGCCAAGAGTCAAAGTTTGAAGACTGCTAGGCAAGGCCACCTGCTCCAGGCTCTGGTTGAAGAATCTCCCAAAGACCAGACTTTTGAGGCTGTTTGGTAAGGTCACTTGTTCCAGGCTCTGATTGAAATCCCGGCCAAGAGACAAATGTTGAAGACGAGTTGGCAAGGTCACATGCTCCAGGCTTTGATTGAATGTGCCACTCTCTTTGCCACCAAAGCTCAAACGTTGCAGACCTTCTGGTAAAGTCACGTGAGACAGGCTGTTGTTGAAAAAATGGCCGAGCTCCAAGCTTTGAAGGCCCATTGGCAAGTTCACTCCTTCCAGGCTCCTGTTGAACCTATAGCCAGGAGACAAACGTTGCAGACTACTTGGCAGGGTCACGTGTTCCAGACTCCTGTTGAACTCAGCACCAAGAGACAATCTTTGCAGACTACTTGGCAAGCTCACGTGCTCCAGGCTCATGTTAAAGTCAGAACCAAGAGACAAACTTTGCAGACTATTTGGCAGGTTCACCTGCTCCAGGCTTTGATTGAACTTCTGACCAAAAGTCAAACTTTGCAGACAAGTTGGCAAGGTCACCCGTTCCAGGCTTTGATTGAACTTCTTACCGAACGACAAACTTTGCAGATTAGTTGGCAAGGTCACCCGTTCCAGGCTAGCATTGAAATCATCACTGAAAGTCATGCGTTCCAGGCTGTCGTCAAGGTAGTGTAGATACTCGCCAGCTGCTGTTCCTTGCAGCTGTGTGACACCTTCCAGCGGAGATTCTTCATGAAAGGTCCTGAGGCCCTTGACAAAACAGCATGCTGCATACAAATCGATTGGCACATAGGTGCAGGACAGTGTTGCTGTTCTTCCAAGCATTCCCTGCTCTTGCAAGGTTTGATCTAGCATCAGCCTCGAATTCACATGGTACAAAGCAAGCTTTGTGCCTTGTTTAGATGGAAATTTCTCCAAGATCAAGCGTCGTACTTCCCGACCAAGCATCGAAGGAAGGACACTCAGCGAAATGCCTTCCCCGCTCAGACACAGCACCTGAAGATGAATGACATCAGGCTCAGGTTGATCTGCTTCCTGTGCTGGCAAGGTCGACTTCGCATAGCCGGCATAGCCACGTGTCGGACCAGACGGCTGACGTGACGCGGAAGCGGAGGCTTTTTGACCCATTCTGGAACAGCTGAAGTCCAAGCGGAGGGATGCGGAGGCTACATGGATAGGATGTGAGAAACTCTGAGAAACCTGGGGATGGGATACCCGACATCTTAACAAACATGCAAAAATGTGTATGGTCTATGCTGACCCCTTCTGAATGACAAGATATATTGTGTATTTACATATATGATCATAAACCATATAGTAGAATCTGGTTATTTAACATAGCCATGGAACATCCACCCAGTTTTAATAGGTAAAGCATCTATTTCTATGGGCTATCTATACCATGGCTATGTTAAATCATCATATAATATGTAATATGAACTTTTAAACAGGACATAAAATACTGGCCTTCTGAAATGGTTTAGTCTCTGTCGGATCCCGGGAATAAAAACGTCACTTGGAGGTCCAGCCCTCACTCTGAGCATTCCGAATGGAAGCCATCAGAAAGCATACTTAAAGTATACACATGATATACTCTACATATGTTTTTCCATTTGACAATACTGTATATATATATATAAATATATATATATATGACTACATATAATATAATATTACAATATGTAGACACATATAAATGTACATCACTATATATATAGTGCAATAAACCTTCAGTTCAAGATCTTGGACGGCCCTTTGTTGCGCCCAGTCCTGCCACTTCATTGGTGGCACGTCAGGATGTGGCACGGCGCTGTAGTTCACCGTCTCAATCGCAATGCTTCCATCGGCAGCCCTGGGAGCCGCTGAACCGTGATATTTCACCACCAAAAATAGACATATCGTGGGGAAAAATATGGGATTTACCGGTGATTTCATCACCAACAACAAGGGAATAGTATAGCCAACAATAGAAATTCTGTGAAAATGGGAATGATGGTTTATGTGTCATAGAAATGATATCAGTTTTCCATATTTAAGCAAAAAACAATGGTTGTATAATGGGAATATGATGGGAAATACACTGAAATAATTAATATGGAGAATAGGTGTGATATGGATAAGGGATGTCATAACCTCCACAAGTTGGGATATAAGCCCTATAATTAAGAACTGTAATATACTGTAATACGGTTTTACAACTTATGTATTTACTGTTTGGGCCCAAAGAGTCTCGGGGTTGGTGGCTTCAACTCCCCTGAAAAATGCTAGTCAGTTGGGATTAACATCCCAGGTAGGATGGGAAACAGCAATCAACTGTTTTGAAATACAGTATTAGAAACCAGAAACCACAAAAAGTTTGGAAGGTTTGGCCATGAGTTTCCCTGCCCCAATCGACTACACCATCTGGCAGATGGTTTTTGATCCTGTCTCCCACCGACTTCAGGGCCTTGTGAGCTTCAAAAAGGCCCCCTTGTTGTTTCCCGTATCCAAATAATTCGGAGCCTCAGTTGCGATGCGCTTCTCCGCACGTGATGCGCATGACATACATGACGCTACTCCAAAGCAAGAAATCCAGCGGACCAAGCAAGACTCTCTACATCAAAAGTCAAATATGCACCCTCGAATTCGAACAAATGTACCGAATTACTTTCAGCAAAACAAGTATGTATATCATTATATGGCAGTGCGTCAAAACCCTTGTACCCCTGTAGTTCACATCAAAATAGCTGGTAAATGGATGTTCATCCCACTAAAAATGTATCTATAGGTATTGACCCATACCCATATGTATCAAAGTACAAACTCCCTCGATCTCCCGGTCCTTTAAGAGTCGCAACGCTGTAGATTTGGCTTCACGTTTTTCGAGGCCCCGAAGATCTACGCAAGGAACATGTCACCCTAAATCCACTGGTCAATCATCATGTTCAAACATCGGTCATCTGCGGGGATACCAGGATACCGCATTCTGAAACTAAGCGAAACATCAAAGATCATCAAAGTGCTGGTTCTAATAACCTTAAATATAATACTGTATTACAGTATATAATAAATATAACATTATACTCCTCTAGTATCCCCATATAAAAAAAAGGTTGATCTTATGTCTGTATCATACCGAATCATACCTATTTTCAGACACAGCCCGCTAGCTTCGTCGCCTAAACTGGCTTTTCTCCGGGCGCCCAGGCGCTGAAGACGCTCAACAACTGCTTGTGATCCCACCTCAGAAAGGCGTGGTTTGGATGTGATTGGTGGGGCAAAAATGGTGACCAGTGTGGGATATTGTGGGATTGTATCTCAGAAACATTCAGAAAGCAATTCTTTTGGGAAAACATGGGTTTATATAAATACATCAGAAACACCCTGCCAGGTACATAACGCCTTTACCGACAGGTTTTTAGCATCTCAAAGTATCACCAATGAATTTGAAGATATGTCCAACCGTTCGTTGGCTTTTCATATCAAAATACTGTAGATGAAAAAATTGGATGTTCTGTGAATTGTGGTTGTCCTTGCGAAAGTCTCATGGACCACCAGTATTGGGCAGTATCGGCAATTTGGGTCCCATTTGCATAAGAACCTTAGCAGCTCCAGAAGACAGCACACGCAACGTACGCTTTTGCGGCACGCAATTTCGCAACGCATGGGGTTTTGGTATTACTAACACCTGTGGATGCATCTGCTTAAAAAAAAAAAAAATCCGCGCTACTGGTACCATCTGATACCCACCAGTAGTCAAACGTGGCAATTGAGCACCCGGCCGATAGCCATCAGCCTTCACCTAAACCGTGGGATGTTGGAGCTGTCAGGGTGTCGTGTAAGGCTTGATTCGTTTTGAAGTTGTGCAGTTGCGAATGCTGTACCCGGAACCCCCAATTCCACCAAATGATATTGCACAAAGGATCATATGTTTCCCTATTAGAATAAATACATTTTTGGCTTTAGCCCATTTTTGGACAAACACAAAAATCGGATTACAGTTGGTTAGTTATGTACCATGATCCACCTTAAATCCTCCACATTTTTCAACGGGAAAGCAGCTGGTTCCAGGCATGACAAATTGCCAATTTTCATGGTGAAAAAATAAGTGATGCTCTGGACCTTGGGATGCAACCTGGGGTACCCTGTATCTATTTTTCAGAGAAACCCCATGTAAAATATTGTAAAATCGTACAAGAGAATCCAGAGAAAATATGAGGATTTGTTGCAACACACCAAATCTAGACCCAAGGATTTGCTCAGTGTGACTCGACTGCAGGCATTCGTTTCTAAAACTCCACTGGACTCGTCGCAACGTTTCAATGGGACTCCATGGGTTTCCGGTTTCCATGGCCGGCCTCGTGGGATCGAATCACGCACTGCAAGTTGTTGTCGCGGCAGAAAGTCTCTGTGACATCAGGACCTGGGACGACGTGGTCAGCAGCTACAGAGTCCGACTGTCTGGTGGAAAAAAACATGTCCTTCTTTGGGGGAGAACTTCTGAAAGTAGGAAACGTTCTGTTGATCTTTGTTTCAAATTTGAGGAACAAAAATCTAGGCGAGAATCATGTTTTACAAGGCTTTAAACTAAATCATGGGGTAAACTCTCCGAGTAGAGCTTTACCACGGGGCGACATCTCAGATCATCTCAGGGTTCCCATGGGTTCCCAGCCGAACATGTAGACTCCCTTGCCTTTTCGGTAGGAGGGTCCATACCTCATCTGGCCATGGCTCGAAATGTGGCAGCATGTGCCAGCATGTGCCGGGATTAGATTGGAAGTTTGGGTGACACTTTGGGTCCATGCGGTCCATGTCAATGTGCTGTCCATCTTGTTGCAACCCTTTTGCCCGAATCATGTTCTCCAACCAAAGTCAAGCGCAAACTTCTGCAAACATAGATCAGAATAGTAAATCACCCAACTATGTTCAACTATCAGAATAGTAAATCACCCAACCCAACTATCAGAATAGTAGTTGACTACTAAATCTCGAATCTTCAACCATCCTTCAACCATCACTACCATGGCTTCCAGTCGATTTCCAGCCACTTCCAGTAGCACTCCCAGGGGATCCCGGCCCTCCGCCGCCACGAGGATCTCCCCAGAGGATGTCAATGAGTCTCCTCATGTCGTTCACCTAAAGGGCACAGTGCCATGACCCTGCCATGACGCCATGACCCTAGCACTTTAAGCATCAAAGATATCCAGTTTAAGCATCAACAAAAACGATGAAATTCACAACCAAACTCTTGCTAGGGGCTCCCAGCCTCCTTCTCAGAAGTCGTTGGGCCAATCGACTGTGCGTACCTATGGGGACATCCAGCTGTTCAATCTTGGGGCGGAGTCACGGGAGCAAAGTTCAACATATACCCCATGTACAACACACTTCAATCTTGAATGATAGGATAGCAATAGGACAGCGATAGGATTCAAGAGGAGGTTCTGGTTACTGAATTACAAGTATGGCCTGCCTCGTCCGCACGTTTACACCTCTTCGCAACAACAAGTGTGGAGGTTCTATTGCCAGGTCTAGATTATCACATCAACGATCATATCGTTGAGAAAGAGTTGAAGGTCTGTGTGGCGCCATCAACAAACCATCCGAAAACACTGTTCGTCCAACTCTCCAAACCACCAATTCAAACACTTTGCTTCAAATAGGTGACGTTTTTGAAACTTCTTCATCGTTTTGTGGTGTTCAAAGGAAAGAACTGTGCATTTTGATGCATTTTGAACCATGCTTCCAAGTGCCACATCCCCCGCAGTTAGGTCTTGATTGAGCATCATGCGGATCAATTCCCAGCACGGCAAGCCCCAGCCGCACGACTCGGGGGTGATTTCCAGATACCGATCCACTTGCGCCAACTCCTGAACTGAAGGAGAGTGGTACATCACCAATAACATTTAGTGGACTTAAATTGGATATAATTGGATTCAATTTAATATACCCTCTGGTGTCATCAAATATGGCTTGCTGGAAACTCACCCAGAAATGGTTCCATTCTGGTGGATTTCCCAGCACAAGAATTGGTTCGATCATCTCGAGTTGAAGCATTCAGTCGACCCGCTGGTTTTCATCATGGGTCAGAATATCTCAGAATCATATAGAATAATCCCAATAGTCTGTAGACTGGGTACTATCACTCCCTACATATAGAAACTATAAATGTAATTAATCAACCATAAAACGGCCACTTTATCAATGTTTCCCGTCTTGGATATCTTAAAACATGTTATATAAAAATCATTTAAAATCCATACATATGAATGCATTTGATGGATAAGTCCCCATGAAATCACTAGTCAACAAAGCTCAATCCCAGTTGAATCGGCACGTTGTCATCCTGCAGCGATGGCAGTGCCGTCATGGGAATCGCGTCGGTGGGGTCGTGCCTCGGTATAGAGCATCCCGAGGCTTCAGGTTGTGCGTAAACCATGAAGGGTCAGCTTTCCACCAAAAAAGCGAAAACCGAAACGTTGGATACAACATGATATATACTCTATATATACATATATATATATATACATGATATATATACATGATATATACATGAAACGAGATGATACATCAGCTATCATCAGCTCATATTTTAGTTAAATCCCCACCCATCTCAGGGGCCAAACGTCTGCCCAGGCATCCAAATGCGCGGGTCGGGGCCTGGCGCAGCGATCTGCTCATTCTGAGCACTCGGGCGCAGCAGCCTTGCGCAGCGGCCTTTTTTCAACGCCACACACGGTGTGTTGAACGGATGAGTGGCCCAGTTCAATGGATGGGCGGTCCCTTGGATAGCCAAGCCAAACATTCAGATGTGCGGGGTCCGGGTTGACTGCAGCTTGAAGAACACAGCATTCACTGATGAATTTGGTTGAATTTTGAATGATCTAGCAGTTCTAGCAGTCTCCCTGAGCCCCCAGGGTCATAATTTGCACTTGCATACGAATTGGTTGTAGACCAATTACCACTGAAACATCTTCAGGGTCTCAAAGAAACCCTGGCCCTCGGGCAATGATGGAACCTCACTTCAGTCCAACTTCCTTGCGCAAGTGCTTTGGGATGTCGATCTCATTCCCGTGCTTGCCACTGTCAATACACTGGACATAGGCCCGGAACAGTGCCTGGAGGATGGACTTGGTTAGAATTGCTGCAGCAAATTCAATGAACTGATTCCCAAGCTCCAGTACTGATCTTAAACGAGCACTCCAACCACCTACTATATATTTATGCAACTCTGCAACTTGAAACGTTGATTCACCGTGGATGTATACGGCAGGCCAGGCAAGTCGACGCAAGTATTCTTCGACGGCAAACGCTTGCCCTGAATCTTCGAATTGCGCATACAACTGGGGCTTTCATAGGTTTGGAGTTTTGAGGGAACAATCGATCATCAAATGGCTCAAAGGTCCTTTGGCGGTTCCTGGAAACACTCAATTTATCACTGGTTGCATCTCCAATTTTGGGGCTCACCATTTTATCAATGCCATCATCGAAAATCCCCCCCATTTCACCTCCAAGTCTCAGCCCCAGCCGCCTGCGCGTCAGGGTCTCGTAACCCAAGGTGGCTGCTCTTCGCGCGCTTCTCAGCAGCACGGTAGAGACGGCGGATCAAATTTCGCTGCTGCAGCACTTCCGGGTCTAGCCTTGGGTTGGGGGTATAGCAAGTCTTGTGGTGATTTCCCCAGCGGTTGGAATCTAGATAATCTATGAGAATCATTGATAAACTACCATTTGAAGAAACTATGTAATATGTGGGAACAACATATATGTTTTTGTGGCCCTTCAGCAAATCCATACAACATGGAAACATCGTGATTGGAATGGTTCTTTGAACCTTCCAACAACCACGCGGGAAACCCCTGCCACCATCTGCCAGTGATTTTGCCAGGTCTGGGAAGATGTGGCCCACCGCTGCAGTGATCCCGCCATAGTCATCATGGTCATGGATTACAACTTGATCCAGGGATGAGGCTGCCAAATGGCTCAAAGCTCAAAAATGAGGATTGTCGAAAATTTATGGTATCTTAATGTTGAAAATGATGACAATCATCATACAAATCAAGAGTCATCCAACCGGTTTCAATTTCGGACAAAACCAAAACAAACGGTTCCAAGCCGCATGTGTTGCCGCGCCAATTTCAGCCAAGCAGATCCCAACTCCGCCGACGCTCTTGGAAGTTCCGCCGTCTCTGTCCTCTCAACTTCCGGTTCCTCCTTTGCAGAAGCTACCAGAGACAGATCCCAACCTGGGCACAGTGGAGCAAGGATCACTGCTGGCCCCCAGCTATACATGTTTTTCAAAAGAAGATGTAGACTCCAAAAAATCACATTCACCATCTATCCACCATCCATTCAACATCCATATATTCACCATCATACATATACATCCCATCTATATCAAAAAAAATGGGCAATACAAGGGGGGCTGGCCTTCCTACAAGGGGGGATTGATCCCAGTCCCAATGGATTAAATCATTGGATTCCTATAGGCTTCTCGCCCCCCAGTTCGAAGTTAAAATTGGTTTACAAACCCCCATCAAAAAAATTATATATATATACACCATAACTTCTAGCAAATTTTAATAGTTACTCCGCTTGGAGGATCACTCCACTTAATAAGTGGTTAATAACCATAGTTATACCCCATACGACAACCCCACTGAATGGGGGACTTACCATCACAAGGGTTATTTATCCGTTAACATTTAGTAGGTTATTTAACATAGTCATGGAAAATGGCCCATAGAAATAGATGGTTTACCTATTAAAAATGGGTGGATCTTTCTTTCCATGGCGAAGTGTAAGTCATAACCAGATGGTACCCTCCGGTAAACTGTCCCATAACTATGGAAAATCACCATGTTTAATGGGAAATTCCACTATAAATTGCCATTTTCAATAGTTATTTTGACATAACCAGAGGGTAACCACAAACCTTACGATCCCCGGGATGATCCCAGTCACAGACCCAGTACAAATCGCCATCCAGGTCCCCCTCCGCAATCCGCTCCGGCAGGGCGTGCGCGCTGCCGCGGGGGAAGATCAAGTCGCCAAGGGGTCGTTGGTTCAGCGCCTGCCAGTCCTGGGGCAGAAGCTGGGTCAACATGTTTTGTGTACTAGCATAATAGATCATAATAGTATATGAGTCTCATATGGATATTTCTCATATGGACATAATATACAAATACTGATGATGATGATGATGATGATGAGGAGGAGGATGAGGATGAGGATGATTGTGGGATTCCTCTACTTCACACAAATAGTCGCTGGCTACGTTTGGGTGATTAGGGATGACCAACAGTGGGATGACAGGTGAAGCCCAAATGAGGCAGGGATACAGTACAGCTAAGCGCTTGGTAGTGTCAAAATGCCGCACAAATCTTCCGAAAAATCAAATTTGCGTTTCATCAGTGAGATGTCGATCCAGCTACATCGATCAATGGAACATCAACAACTCAATATAACTCAACCATATTGACTCTACGTAAGTCCGCATGGTTCCCCAACAGACTGTGCAATGTGAGATGAGACACCAAAGTCTATGATCAAACTGGCAGGATACCTTCGCAGCTAGGATAAATCATTGAAATCGTGAATACATCTCAGGGTACCCGCCCCAAAGTCCCCCAACAATCATCAAGGGAATTGACATTATTAACCACCATCAACACCCAAATATCGGTGTTTCCAACTCATCTATGCTCCTGATTACAGTACATTGGCGTATCTTCCCCGATTTTTGATGCTGATATTCCAATGTGTTGGTTGATCAAATGTCCCTTTATGGTTGGTTGACCAATTGTTTACAATATTTCCAACCAACCATAAAATATATTACAATATGGGACTAAACATAGAATAATATAGCCCATAGATTGGTTCGTCCAAAATAGAAGAACAGAACAAGTTCACGTGTTTTTTTTTTTTTATGTTGGACTCCAGTGATCTTCCAATTGCTTCATAGAATTGGATTATGGGAAAATTTACAGGAAAGCCCTATATTTGATGGTAAAAACCATGGTTTCCTGTAGATTTTCCCTTAAACCAATCCAGTGATTGCTGTCATTCAAAAACCAGGAACCCCATCACCCCGCACCACCGCCAGGGCACCACTGGAGACATTGCCACTGGGCGCTCTGTCACCACCCGGAGGCGCTTGCCGTCGCTGGGTTGGACACAGGGACAACGGGTCACCAAGACTTCAGTGATGCCTTTCAGTGGATTGGGTGAATTTTACTGGCAAAACATGTGGGTGTGGGTCAAATTAGAATATTATAGATATATATATATACATAATTATTATATATAGTATAATATATATAATATAATATAATATAATATAATATAATATAATATAATATAATATATATAGTATATAGTATATAATATATAATATATAATATATAATATATAATATATAATATATAATATACAATATAAAATAATATCATATATATATATACACAATATCATAGATCTCTCAAATTCGATGCTTAATACTAAACATGACCAGAACCTGCGGTCCCCTGGGCCTTGAATGTTGATCCATATCCACGTGGGAGTTCCATCGATTTAACCAGCAGAAATTGTGAGTGAACCAGCCATTTTATAGGGATTTCATCAAGGTTTTTGAAGGACACCAGAAGATTTTCACCTGGGATTTAATCTGATTTAATTGGAGAGTATGGTAATAATATGGTAATAATGCAATGGAACACCCTGTGGAACACCCTGACCCTGTGGTGGAAAGTCATCCAGTGGACATCACTGGGAATCTGATGAATTCCGATGAGGAAAAGAAACAAAAAATGTCCTGTCGAAAAGAAACTGTTCTCTAGTGTTGATTGGGGCCAGATGTGTTTTCCTGCTTTCCTGAGTGGTGGAGTGACGCTCGGAGTGTGGTTTTGTTGAACATATGTTGAACATCTATAATGCTCCCCAATGGTAAAATTGGTTAAATTGAGGATTGTTATAGACAATGCTCCCCAATGGTAAAATTGGTTAAATTGAGGATTGTTATAGGTGTGCAATGCTTTTACCACAATCCATCACAATCCAAGAACTTTTTGGGGGCCTTCGCATGCAGTGAGATGCTCCTGCAAGCCAGGTAGAAAGATTGAATCCTCTGGCAGGCCGCCCGTGGGGTCCGCCACACCCACCAAGAACGCCTCCTTTCGAATCGGTTCCTGCCATGGCTGCCATGGCCATTCTGTCACGTGTTTCATGGGTTTTTCGTCATGGGAATTCAAGCAGCTACCACTACTTTATCGGTGATCTTTTTCTGGGTTGGTTGGTTCCCCATGATTGTGAGACTGCTCCCCCCATCTTCAGCCCGACCCTCCACTTGAAAAAAAGAAAGTGGAACTGAACTGACTGAACTGAAGCACCCACAGAACACCTCCACTGCGTTCCAACTCCCAAGGGGGAACTGCACACGAGGTAAGCCAAAGTCAGCCGCGAACATCCACAGGATCCAGATGGATCCAGGATAGTTTTTACTTCTCGTTGCATTTCTCACTATTATGAAAACAATATGAAAACATTTGACATGGCTGCTGCAACTCCAGCTTTTCATCTAACCTGCGACTGCAACCTTCCCAAGCAATCAAAATAATCCCGAGTATATAAATCATATAGTAAATCAGTTTCCCATTTAACACACATATCAAACACCCATCAACCACCAGAAAACCAACAAAAACAAGTGATGCACCGGGCCCACTTTTCCCCACTTTGTCGTCTCCTTGGTGTAGCGCATCAACTCCTCCGCTGGCACCTCCAAACTCTTCAGCAACTGCTCCAGCATCGACGACAGCTTCTTCCACGGCAGTCCCTCGCAGGGTGAAGTGTGGCTGATGACCATGGCCGATCCTACAGAACTCATGGTAAATAGCATAGGGAAAAAGTGGTAAGAATAGTAAAAGAATAGTAAATCCTTAGATATCTTAGACAATCTTAATAGGGGAAGATTAAGAACTAATATAAAATATTATAAAATATGTAACGGTAAATAACGGTACAATACCATCATAAATGTATATAAACGTAAAATCCGGACACCGCTCCTTGGGGCGCACTCCAGTCTTCAGCATCGTGGCGATCCTGATGGATTGCCGCAATAAGGATCCGCAGGGAGCAAGCCACGAACTGAACTTTCTTTCCCCATGGTTGGCAGTTAGAAACTGCCTGAATTCAGTTGGTTGGCATGAGATCTTATTGAAATCAATACACATCTAGTAATTTCTAGTACAAAATCATACCATGTTACTCCCAATGGTCAGATCATGTCAGATCAGAAAGAATCGCCCCACAGAAATGCTGCCCGAGCTGCTTGAAACTTGGCTCGGAGGGAAAGACTTTGCAAACCACCACGGTGATCCAATCCGCCGGAGATCGGCTGGGGCCCACCGGGCCCACCTTCTCCATCGATGCCTTGGTCCAAAGTTGGAGGACCAATGGTCATAGTTGATGGAATTTGGTCATTTCGATGTCATTTTGATGTCATGTCTGGTATTGAACTATCATGAACTATCCACATCTATCCACTGACACCAAGATTTGACACCAACATCACCAACTGCTCATCTCCCAAGTCATCCCAGGTGCTGGGTACTGGATGGTCTGGATCCCATGCTTCAAGGTCAGCACGCCCTTCAGCACCCCGACGCGTGGCCCAAAGATCCGCACCTGCAGCGAGGTCGTCTGCTGCCGCCGTTGCCGTGGCAGCTGGGTCAGCTGTGCCGTCAGCCGCTGCAGCAACTCCGGGCCGATGAAGCCGCAGCCGCCCGAGTCTTTGGACAAGGGCTCCGGAATCTTCTCCAAGTCAGCCTGGTCATAGGTGATCCATAGGTGATCCAGTCATCATATCATCCATATCTGGGGTGATCCATATCATATATATATATATATATAATTATATATCACATCATTCCTATCTGGGGATGTAGACTCCTGAAATCAGGGAGAGGTCTATGGCCTGTTGGGATCCAGAAGTGGCTGTCCAGATCAACCTGTCCAGGGGGCACATCTGCCTGAACTACCATAATCCCATCCCGATATCAAACTCCCCCCATTCTATGGTCCCAAATGTGTCTAGTTCCACTGGTATTTGATAGTAGGGGGAAGGGATTATACAAAAAATATATATATATATAAATTGGTTTGTAAATGGTGCAAGGGATATATTGGGACGCTGGGTATTGAATCTCAGATCGACCCCCCTCAGAGACCTTGACATAGTCTAAAATTTGCCGACCCATATCCTTTTTACCAAAATCATGCTTTGTTTCATGCAATAAAACAGCATATATATAATTCTCAGTTAATCACATAGATGAACCGTTTGTCAAACCAAAAAAAAGAACATGATTCCCTTAAGATGTCACACCTTTTCCCAGTTCCATGAATCCAAGCAGCTGCCCTGAAGCCTTCCAGCACGGTGCCGGGAGATTGGAGGAGCTGCATGCGCGAAGCCACCTTCCGGGCGCTCTTCCTGAAACTGATGACGTGCGTAAAAAGGTAATTGAAACATATTGAAACAATGACAAACTAGGGTAGATTCGAATTCGGACTTTAGGCTAAATATATCTAAATGTGTCTTCTTCTCTGTTTGCTGCTGTTTTTTGTTGATACCTTTGTGGGTGAGGAAGAAAACTGGGAGCAACAAAATAACCACGGCCGTGCGGAGGGTAGCCAAGGGCCGATAGGAGTCTTTTCACCTCACTTTCTGAGGAGCTTGAGTCGGTCAGCGTGGTACACGGAATGGGATGTTTTGATCATCGGAGATAAAACAACATGACGGAATTGACAAGGACCCTGTGACAGCAAATTCGTTCCTACGGACGAAGAAGACCTCCGGATAAGCTATACTTGACCTTTCACCCAAACACCTTGAGTCAAGATGCTCGTGGACGGTATTAGGTCTTTCAGAAAACCGAGATTTGGTTTGCCACATGCCAATCCTATAGCCAAGTATGGCCAGTATGAGACCATACACTTGGTTTTGACACGCCCACTACGTTCAACCAAATTTCCAATGGGCCATTGTCGTGCAGTGGAGAATTCCTTGCTATGCCACCAACAAGACAAGCCGAGGCTCAACGCGGCAAAGTTCGCAATCTCCTCCAGTTCTTCTGTCAACTCTCTTCCGGGAAGCTCCGCTACATAGGCTCCCCGCAGGCATTGCTTTTGGCCACCCCAAAAGTGATAGCCATCGTTCCTGACGGTGATCCGTTGCATCGTTCCAACAGAACTCCACTATCACTGTACTGCCTTCATGGAAAGTCTCCTGAAAAGGCCATATATATAATGTATATATTTTTTTTTCCTCAAAATTTTAAGGTGTATCATCATCTTCCTCACACAAATTCAAGTTTTTGGAGGGTACCACGGTACCACCGGATGTTCAACACACCCATACAATATATCATGTTGCTGGCTGTATATCCCATCTTATATCCCCAGGATATACCCATTATGGTTGATTCAAGACCCTCATTGCACCTATTGTTGTCAGTTGTATTGTACCAGCTTTTGGTGACATATGTTCCCAATATATCTATATCATATCCCACTAATTCAGATCCCCATTAAGTTCCCATATTGTACCCTGGCTTTTTGTCTAACTAACCCCATCATACCCCGACAATATGATCATAACCAGAGGTTGGTAAATGTCGCTTGTTGGTATATACATCACCTTCAAAAGATTTCAAAAGTATCTGTGTTGGAGATGATATCACCTTTTTACTTGGATGATGCGAACAAGTTTTGGACATGTTACCCACCCCTGATAAGCCATTCATAAGCCATATCATATTGATAAGCCTCTAATTGATATTATATTCATACTAATTTTACCAACAATATCATACTCATATTGATGAGCCACGGTGGCTAAAGCTCCATGCTCCAAGTCCCAGCATCTCCACTTTCACCGAGACCAAGGTGAAGCGTTGACCGTGTTGACCCTCGCCGTGCTCGTAGTGGGCCTTAATGGACGATGTCTTCGCCAAGGGTTCCTCCAGGCAAAGAGCACGGCCTTTGAAGTGGCTGGTGAGGAAGCACTCCTTGGCAGGTGGGACACAGGGGTATTATATGACAAGTGGTATGATTATGAGTATGATTATGAGTATGATTATGATTATCAATCATGAATTATGAGTAAGAGTAGGATTATTGGGATACAACCCCATCCCCAATTCCGCTGCGGATGATAGGGTCGATCAATTCACCAGATCCGCAACGAACGGATTTCTTTGCGGGAAACTCTAGAAGGATTTTCCTGCAAACCTTGAAAAAAGCAGTGCTAACAGCTTTTTGGATGGTATTCGCCAAAGGAAAATTAGCAGCTGTACAATGAAGAACAAAAATGCATGCTGGGGAGAGTATCTCAATTCCTGAATGTTTGATATAGGAGAAAACCTGCAGTTCTGAACATTGTCGATCACCCAGTAGAGCGCCAGCTCAACTAATTCAAACGACCAGGCAACATATACAACATACATACCAACATGAATAAGAATTATAGTAAATTATAGTAATTCACCAACATATATATACCATATTCCTGGGCAAATTATAGAAATTCACCAACATGAAATATGGTCATTTGGGGATTTGTAGCCTTACCAAACCCTCTTTTTTATGTGACGTCGCAGCCAAAGTATGCGAACGTCAGCTTCAGACTCTTCTGATATAGTCTAGAATGGAATATTCCATCTTGAGATATATCCACCCAATATTACTATTAAAGCCACAGTGATAGATCAAAACTCTGCAGCGAAACCCTGGTGAGCCCCAGGACCCAGCGGCTGGTAAGTGGACCAAGTTTGATTCATCCCAACAACAAACCAACCACCAATATCCACCAAGGATCTTGAGGTTTCTTATCCTGCAGAATGATCTTCTTCACCTTTGACTTGCGGAGCCAAAAACCGATTCCATAGGTCAAAACCATTCAAACCCTGTATAAAACAGTATTGTTTTGGATGAACATCCATAATATCCATAAATCCCAGCTATTTTGACGTTAGGAGGCTACTCCAAAACCCATAGCCATAGGAAAAATATGGAGAAATAGGAAAAAAAACACCAGTAGGTCAAACAAATCCAAGTCACCCCTTGAACTATGGAGAGAATTCCCCATCCATCGCCACGATCCTCCATTTCCTCCTCCTCCAACTCCTCCATAGGCGTCTGCGGCACCGTGGTGGCCACGGAAGCGGTGGAACTGCCCAGGGAGAGCTGGTGGTAGCTGATCGGCACCTGGGAAATTATGGGAGACTGCAAAACTGACCTTAGATATGGATAAATGATAAGATGGTAGTAGATACAGTGTAGACAGTCTAGATATTATGTCAAAAACGGAAAGAACAAACGTTTTTGACTTAAGCAATCAATTGTAGTTTTTTCTCCCCTAACCCACACATTTACCAAACCAAAATTCACCTAGCACCGCCAGTGTCAAACAAATTAAACCATATGGCATTAAAAGACAATAAAAGATATGTGAGCGGTTGCGCAAACCTCTGGTAGATTTGTTTTCCATAATGGCTGGTTCTTTCGCAATACTTCCGCAGAGACTTCACGAAAATGATTCGCCACAAATCTTTTGCAACTGTGATTTCATCTTTCGCGAAGGGATGTTACTTGAACTTCATATGGTCTCTTTGGGGGTTTTGAAAGTTGCTCATGTGAAAACAAAACAAAACATTCACACTATCAAACAAATGGGTATGGGTCAAAATTAGGTACCCCAAAATTATGGATGGTTAATACTAAACTAGACTTACAACACCGGAATCCCTCTAGGATGCTGAATTCAGGAAATATTTTTTTTACGATTTTAATATGGTTTTGGATACGATTTGACGATATGAATTTGATATGCTTTGAATTTGGGGTTATGATTTCGATATGATTTTGATTTGGTTTTGATACGATTTTGATACGATTTTGATACGATTTTGATATGATTTTGATACGGTTTTGATATGGTTCCAGCGAGTTGGCTTCAAAAAAAGAAACAGAAACAGCGCAGGGATAGGTTTTTGGTCGATGTTTCGAGGATTTTTATGGTTTTGGTATGATTTTGATATGGTTTTGATGCGATTTTGATACGATTTTGATACGCTTTTGATACGATTTTGATACGGTTTTGGTATGATTTTGATCCGGTTTTTATATGGTTCCAGTGAGTTGGCTTCAAAAAAAGAAACAGAAACAGCCCAGGGACATGTTTTTGGTCGAATTTTCAATGGTTTTTAGGGTTTTGGTATGATTTTGATATGGTTTTGATACGATTTTGATACGATTTTGATATGATTTTGATATGGTTCCAGTGAGTTGGCTTCAAAAAAAGAAACAGAAACAGCCCAGGGACAGGTTTTTGGTCAATTTGTCGAAGGTTTTTGTGGTTTTGATATGATTTTGATACGATTTTGATACGCTTTTGATACGATTTTGATACGGTTTTGATACGATTTTGATATGGTTTTGATACGATTTTGCAATATTTTGGATATTGTTCCGATGGGTTGGCTTCAAATCACAAGTTTGACCCACATCAAGAATCATAACTGAAACCATATCAAAATCATAACTGAAACCATATCAAAATCATAACAGCAAAACCAAGCCATAAACAAATCATAACAACAAATCATATCTGAAACGTATCAAAATCATAAAAAAAAATATTTTCAAAAACCTTCATCCTAGAGACTTCGGATGTGGTAAAACTAGACTAACATCTGTGGTCCCCTAGGTCTTCTATTTTGACCCACATCCAGATGTCTATCGATGGGCCTGATGGGTCCAAATGACTTCCCATTATGCCAATCAGCGGGATGAGCGCCAGGTGAAATCAGTGGAATCCATCATCCAAACAAAAATAGGTCGTTTAAGATGATCAAAAATAACATTGGAAAAACCATGAAAAATGATCATCATCAAACACCCATAGGATCCATGGTGCTGGTATATATGCTAACATTGGGGGTATATTGATGGTAAATGTTACCATATATAGCATACATGGATCCTATGGGATATGATCAACATTGGAAAAAACCTGAAAAAAACCAGGTGGCCAGGTGACTTTCTGATCCTTGCCATGAAGCCGGATCGTCGCCTTGCAGGGATTGAGCTTCTCGACAGTGCCTGTCTCTCCTGGCGAGTCGTAAACTGCTTGGGTTTGATCCACTTATTGTATATATATATATACATAGAGATACGTATACATTATATTATATTATATTATATTATATTTTTATGGGGGTTTCCCTAAAACTCGGATACCCCAAATCATCCAAAATTAGACCATTTGAGTATTGAAACCCATGGTTTTGGGGTACCCGCATTCTAGGAAACCTCCATATCTATACCTGGAATCCAAATGACCTATCTTTTGGATGGTTAAGCCTCCATTTTGCGGATCAAAACTTCAAAACCAGGTTCATTTGGGTCTCAGGTATGTGTAATAATCATACAAGTAGGATGATCCTCCAAAGGAAGAATCCAGTGGCTCTTTCCACTGATCTCTCCTTCTTTCAGATCCCGTTGCGAAACGCAAATATTTAGGTGTGAGTGAATCAAGATGAAGTACTAATAAGTCCACTAAATAAATTGTGAATATATAATTATAATTATATATATATATTAATAAGTAGTGTATAGATGTGTATAGCTTGTGGTAATTTTGAATATTAGCCTGTATTGAACTAACATGAACTAACCCATTTTTGCAGTCGCCCACAGGCTCTCCTTTGTATGCGCCGCTGTTGATTGTCACCGTGTCCCCCACCTGTGTTTTTTTCCATGTCTCCAAAAATGGGTGAACCATGGTGAACCCCATCCACAGATATCCCAAAGATGGTCTATTTCGGAAGGGCACACAGAGTTCTCCATTCTTGGACAGACCTGTTTGATTTCAGAGCAACTCAAATGACATCAGACCGTTCAATATTTGTTGTCGAACCAACTCCAAGCATTACAGACAGATCCGTCCCCATTCAGATCATTCAGCCTGGATACCGTTCCTGGCACCCTGTGAGTTTGAGGGGGGCTTCATAAGCAAATTGGGTTCTTGGAGCTTCGCGAACCATGAGCAACAAACGTCATGCTTCAAGGAACGAAAATTGACCGATTGGTCCCTAGACTCACCTCACCAACACCTCTCACCATCCGAGTCCAGCCTTTAATGGCGACTCAGCACTTTGAGGCACAGGCATTGCTGGAACCTCGCAATTGGGTGGGTGCAAAAATCGTCGTTCACCACTTTAATACTGGTAAGTTGCAATCTTCGATTTTGGGTTGATGATGGTAGGCTATGATAGGATCCCCATGTTTTTCGATTGATGACATTCGTGTCAAAATGCTCAGATGCATTGGATCAAAGATATTCTCCTTAGGTCAACACTGTTGGTGCAGAAAATTCTGCCAGGTGAGCTATCTCCATTGTCTTCTATTCTGCAAAAGTTTAAAATCAAAATAGGCATGGGCCAAATCCAGAAATGGGCATGTAAGAATGGGATGGTTGCAACAACACACTGAAAATGACAAGACAACTTGTGGTTTGAGGCAAACCAATACAACGTGATCAATCTTACATGTTCGCAAGTATCATGAAACCATTCGATATCCATGACTTACCCATGAGTTCTACACCACACTTGCTGGTTAGTTTCCATCTCATTTTTCAGGGTATGCCATCCTTTTATTATTACGTACCCTCTGATAACTTTAACATAACCATGAAATTTGACCCCCTTGTAGATGATTTACCTAGCAAACATTGCCAACACTTTCTCGCATTGACAAATGTGGCAAACCCATTAAAAAACCGTAATCTTTGAAGCTGTGTAGACATTGCTAATTTCCATCATTATCATGGCTATCTTAGATTACCAGGAGGCAATTTTGACACATTCTGGAAGTTGGAAGCTCAGCCACAGGTGCCGGCGGTGTCGCTGCTACCAGCAGTGTGGCCACCACCGGTGCTGCGACCGTTGCCACCGCTCGAACGCTGCTCTGCATGATGCTCACCTGCCAGTTGGACATTGCGCCCAGAGGATCCAAGTAGTCTCTCCACGCAAACACGGAATCCTTTCCTAAATCCAATGTGTAACACTGGGTCCATTGATGAGGGACTCATTTAAGGGAATTGCATCGAGATGGGAGATGGGAACAGAAGAAGTTGAAACTTGGACCGTCTCCCAACAAACAACTCGTTAAGAAAGTGGAGGTCGGTCAAAATGTTTCAGGATTTTGCTGCCCTGAGTTTTTGCCACGGTATATCCCAAAAAATGCTCTGGTTGGCATCGTATTTTTGGTTTGGCACTCTTCCAAGTTGGGTCAATTCTATCCCCGAATCGTCGTTTGGTACAATTGGCGACCTCAAAAAGATGTCGTTTGATATTCAAAAAATATAGGATTTTCGGTCAATTGTCCCTTGAACAAATTGGTGGGATTCCACCACAAGTGAGTCCATAAGCCAATCTCAACCACTCTGCAACCGGCCGACCTGTTGGTCTGAATCTGCCAACCGCACTTTCAGCATCTTTGGTGTGATGCCTTCAATCACGCCGGCCTGCTGACGCCAGGGAAACACTAATGGATTTCATTGATGTGGTTTGATGTGGTTTCGTGTGGATTGGCTCTATTCTGGTGGGTTGATGCCATTTTGTGCATTTTAATTCCGGGACTTCCTATGAAACCAGGTAGAACTGTGGAACCCCATAGATAGTTACAACATGTTACAACATGTTACAACCCCTATTAACTATGGGTAAATTAGGATTTTGGCCGCTGCTCACATAACCGGCGGCCAATGTGCCTCAAACATTGGTCAGGCCCCTCTTTGGTCTGTTCTCTTCTAAGTTTTCACGGAAAGACATCTGCAAAGGGTCAAAGAAGGCGAACTGGGGCCCTCAAACCAAGTGCCACAAACTGAATCCAGAAATGCAACAAGGAAACTGACGGAAACTGACAATGCCGTGCTCTTAACAGTGACGTCAATCTAAGGATTGGCCAACGCTCACTGTTAAGACCACCTTGCCGGCGTATTTCCCAGCAGTGATGCTGACGCTCTGCCCCAGTTCCATGGCGGCAAAGTGTTGCGTGCTTACAAAAAACACGACAAGTGAACCATGACCACAACATCCAAAAACTCTTGTGCCGATTGTTTCGACTCTCGCCTGCTTTACCTTGGCCAATTTGCGAACCGTGTGGAATCATTGCTGTTGTTGTTTGCTAATATAACGAACATTGTTGCAACCAGTCGGTAATCATCCATAAGATTGCACAAGCAGTACCATGTGGCAGCCTCACAAGGTGTATAATCCTTGATCATGGGAGCAAGGTCGTCTGGCATATGACTGGTCGCCTGTTCTAGGACTATGGCAGCCCTCCAAGAAGGAAGAGGTTGTCTTCCTCGTGGATCATTCAGAAGGTGTATGTATATATATATATACTGTATATCCTAATCATTCTAGGTTGTATCCCCCGCGACTGTTGGTTGTTAATACGGAGGCCACTGGCAAAAATCACTCATGGTTGATCTCCTTTATTTTGGCCATAAACATGGTTTCGGGTGGTGTATCCACATATTTGTGAGCAAATGGTTGAGTGAGAATTGGGGCGAAGATTAGGGTAAGACTGAGCATTCACCATCATACATTCCATCTATATCCAAAGAACTAGGCAATACAAGGGGGTTCCTGAAATGGATTGCAAAATCATCCAAAATTGATCATGCTTGATAGGCTATCAAGGTAAAGCCATATTTCACGGTCTTCAATTTTGAGAAACCCCGAAACCCTATTCCAAGTTGGTTTATCAAAACCATCTGCCATAACCCCTAGATATACTACATCACCAACTTAATTAGCCAACATCTTCGTTAAATCCAATTCCCAATGGTCACAATCTATTTTTACAAACCACCCATAACAGTCTCCCACCAAGTCTAAGTTGAAACTGGTTTATAAACCCCATTCATCATACATAGCATAATTTCTAGCAAAATATAAGTTTTAAAACAAAATGTTGCCCCAATCACCTACCATTGTCCCAAAAATGTGCCAGTCACAGAGCAAAGTCACAGACCCAGCACTCAAGCTTTGCAGACTGCTTGGCAAAGTCGTTCGGTCCAAGCTTTGGTTAAATCCATAGCAAAGGTCAAGCTTTGCAGATTGCTGGGCAAGGTCGCTCTGTCCACGCTCTGGTTTAAGTCACAGCACAAGGTCAAGCTTTGAAGACTGCTTGGCAAGGTCACTCCGAACAAGATTTGGTTGAAGTGAATGCCAAAGGTAAAGCTTTGCACAATGCTGGGCAAGGTCACTTGGTCCAATTCCTGGTTGAAGTGAGTACCAAAGGTCAAGCTTTGCAGACTGCTTGGCAAAGTCGTTCGGTCCAAGCTTTGGTTAAATCCATAGCAAAGGTCAAGCTTTGCAGATTGCTGGGCAAGGTCGCTCTGTCCACGCTTTGGTTTAAGTCACAGCACAAGGTCAAGCTTTGAAGACTGCTTGGCAAGGTCACTCCGAACAAGATTTGGTTGAAGTGAATGCCAAAGGTAAAGCTTTGCACAATGCTGGGCAAGGTCACTTGGTCCAATTCCTGGTTGAAGTGAGTACCAAAGGTCAAGCTTTGCAGACTGCTTGGCAAAGTCGTTCGGTCCAAGCTTTGGTTAAATCCATAGCAAAGGTCAAGCTTTGCAGATTGCTGGGCAAGGTCGCTCTGTCCACGCTTTGGTTTAAGTCACAGCACAAGGTCAAGCTTTGAAGACTGCTTGGCAAGGTCACTCCGAACAAGATTTGGTTGAAGTGAATGCCAAAGGTAAAGCTTTGCACAATGCTGGGCAAGGTCACTTGGTATAATTCCTGGTTGAAGTGAGTACCAAAGGTCAAGCTTTGCAGACTGCTTGGCAAAGTCGTTCGGTCCAAGCTTTGGTTAAATCCATAGCAAAGGTCAAGCTTTGCAGATTGCTGGGCAAGGTCGCTCTGTCCACGCTTTGGTTTAAGTCACAGCACAAGGTCAAGCTTTGAAGACTGCTTGGCAAGGTCACTCCGAACAAGATTTGGTTGAAGTGAATGCCAAAGGTAAAGCTTTGCACAATGCTGGGCAAGGTCACTTGGTCCAATTCCTGGTTGAAGTGAGTACCAAAGGTCAAGCTTTGCAGACTGCTTGGCAAAGTCGTTCGGTCCAAGCTTTGGTTAAATCCATAGCAAAGGTCAAGCTTTGCAGATTGCTGGGCAAGGTCGCTCTGTCCACGCTTTGGTTAAGTCACAGCACAAGGTCAAGCTTTGAAGACTGCTTGGCAAGGTCACTCCGAACAAGATTTGGTTGAAGTGAATGCCAAAGGTAAAGCTTTGCACAATGCTGGGCAAGGTCACTTGGTCCAATTCCTGGTTGAAGTGAGTACCAAAGGTCAAGCTTTGCAGACTGCTTGGCAAGGTCACTCCGAACAAGATTTGGTTAAATCCATGCAAGGTCAAGCTTTGCAGATTGCTGGGCAAGGTCGCTCTGTCCACGCTTTGGTTTAAGTCACAGCACAAGGTCAAGCTTTGAAGACTGCTTGGCAAGGTCACTCCGAACAAGATTTGGTTGAAGTGAATGCCAAAGGTAAAGCTTTGCACAATGCTGGGCAAGGTCACTTGGTCCAATTCCTGGTTGAAGTGAGTACCAAAGGTCAAGCTTTGCAGACTGCTTGGCAAAGTCGTTCGGTCCAAGCTTTGGTTAAATCCATAGCAAAGGTCAAGCTTTGCAGATTGCTGGGCAAGGTCGCTCTGTCCACGCTTTGGTTTAAGTCACAGCACAAGGTCAAGCTTTGAAGACTGCTTGGCAAGGTCACTCCGAACAAGATTTGGTTGAAGTGAATGCCAAAGGTAAAGCTTTGCACAATGCTGGGCAAGGTCACTTGGTCCAATTCCTGGTTGAAGTGAGTACCAAAGGTCAAGCTTTGCAGACTGCTTGGCAAAGTCGTTCGGTCCAAGCTTTGGTTAAATCCATAGCAAAGGTCAAGCTTTGCAGATTGCTGGGCAAGGTCGCTCTGTCCACGCTTTGGTTTAAGTCACAGCACAAGGTCAAGCTTTGAAGACTGCTTGGCAAGGTCACTCCGAACAAGATTTGGTTGAAGTGAATGCCAAAGGTAAAGCTTTGCACAATGCTGGGCAAGGTCACTTGGTCCAATTCCTGGTTGAAGTGAGTACCAAAGGTCAAGCTTTGCAGACTGCTTGGCAAAGTCGTTCGGTCCAAGCTTTGGTTAAATCCATAGCAAAGGTCAAGCTTTGCAGATTGCTGGGCACGCTTTGGTTTAAGTCACAGCACAAGGTCAAGCTTTGAAGACTGCTTGGCAAGGTCACTCCGAACAAGATTTGGTTGAAGTGAATGCCAAAGGTAAAGCTTTGCACAATGCTGGGCAAGGTCACTTGGTCCAATTCCTGGTTGAAGTGAGTACCAAAGGTCAAGCTTTGCAGACTGCTTGGCAAAGTCGTTCGGTCCAAGCTTTGGTTAAATCCATAGCAAAGGTCAAGCTTTGCAGATTGCTGGGCAAGGTCGCTCTGTCCACGCTTTGGTTTAAGTCACAGCACAAGGTCAAGCTTTGAAGACTGCTTGGCAAGGTCACTCCGAACAAGATTTGGTTGAAGTGAATGCCAAAGGTAAAGCTTTGCACAATGCTGGGCAAGGTCACTTGGTCCAATTCCTGGTTGAAGTGAGTACCAAAGGTCAAGCTTTGCAGACTGCTTGGCAAAGTCGTTCGGTCCAAGCTTTGGTTAAATCCATAGCAAAGGTCAAGCTTTGCAGATTGCTGGGCACGCTTTGGTTTAAGTCACAGCACAAGGTCAAGCTTTGAAGACTGCTTGGCAAGGTCACTCCGAACAAGATTTGGTTGAAGTGAATGCCAAAGGTAAAGCTTTGCACAATGCTGGGCAAGGTCACTTGGTCCAATTCCTGGTTGAAGTGAGTACCAAAGGTCAAGCTTTGCAGACTGCTTGGCAAAGTCGTTCGGTCCAAGCTTTGGTTAAATCCATAGCAAAGGTCAAGCTTTGCAGATTGCTGGGCAAGGTCGCTCTGTCCACGCTTTGGTTTAAGTCACAGCACAAGGTCAAGCTTTGAAGTCTGCTTGGAAAGGTCAATCCGAACAAGATTTGGTTGAAGTGAATGCCAAAGGTAAAGCTTTGCACAATGCTGGGCAAGGTCACTTGGTCCAATTCCTGGTTGAAGTGAGTACCAAAGGTCAAGCTTTGCAGACTGCTTGGCAAGGTCGCTCTGTCCACGCTTTGGTTTGGTTTTTTGCAGATTGCTACCCTCCGCAATCCGCTCCGGCAGGGCGCGCTGCCGCGGAGGAAGATCAGCTGGCCGAGGGGTCGTTGGTTCAGCGCCTGCCAGTCCTGGGCCGGGCAGAAGCTGGATCAACATGTTTTGTGTACTAGCATAATGTATACGAGTCTCATGTGGATATTTCTCATATGGGCATAATATGCAAATATTGTTGATGATGATGGTGATGGTGATGGTGATGATGATGATGATGGTGGAGTCGGAGGAGCACGACTACTGAATTGCAACAGTTCATCAGCTGGGATCCCTATACTTCACCCAAACGGATGGTAGCTGGTCACGTTTGGGTGATTAGAAAAAAATGAGGCAGGGATACAGTACAGCTAAGCGCTTGGTAGTGTCAAAATACCGCAAACATCTTCCATAATCTTCCGAAACATGATTGCAAATTAGGGTTTCATCAGTGAGATGTCGATCCAGCTACATCGATCAATGGAACATCAACAACTCAATATAGCTCAATCATATTGATTCTACGGAGTCCGCATGGTTCCCCAACAGACTGTGCAATGTGAGATTGGGAGATTGAACCCGTTCCAAGATGGTCTTGTCTTCACAGCCGCCCCAAAGTCCCCCAACAATCATCAAGGGAATTGAGATTAAGTATTATTTACATTTATTTACCACCAATTAAGATTATTAACCACATGGAAAACCACCATCAACACAAAAAAATAAAGAGAGGCGATTTCAACTCATCCAGTGCTCCAAAAATTGGGGATCATCACGTCACATCCCCGGCATTCTTGGTGATACACCCAGAAATCCCAGTCATGTGGGAAAAGCAACAATAAACCAGCCATGGCTGGGAATGGTAACCATACCACCTATAAAAATGGTGATGACTGGGGGATGGTATGAATGGCATTGTTTTACCCACATTAGTGTTGATTATACCACCTATTTTTTGGTTAGAGATGTAAAACCTGTCCAAACATTTGCAGTGCATTGGCGTATCTTCCACTGTGTTTGCTGCTGATATTCTCATGCGTTTGTTGATGTTAAACAAATGTCCATTTATGGTGGGCTAACCAATTTTTACAATATTTGTAACCAACCATAAAGCATATTATATGGGAATGTGGGAACCAAAATATAATCCATCAATTGGTTAGTTAAACTATGTTAAACCCATAAAATTATAAAATATGATATAACAAGTTATATGGCCGTATTTTCTAAATGTTGGAGTCCAAGATCTTCCAATTTCTGTCAATTTTGAAACAAGAATCTAACGAGAAACCCAAGGAACCGCCTCCAACATGGCCACTGAGATGCCGCCTCGTAGAGATTATTTGAATTCACTGAGACTGGCAAAACATGGTTTGATGTAATATGCATTGAACAGTTTTTTGGGAATTTCAGCCACAAAACTTGGAAGTTCACCATTTAACCAGCAAAACGTGGAGTTCTTAAACCACAGTTGTGTTTTGATTTAAGCAGCAGAAATGGTTACTGAAGCAGCTATTTTATGGCGATTTCATCAACGGATAATTGGAGGTAATGCAAGGGGAAACCTTCACCAGAAGGATGGAAAGTCATCCAGAAGTGGATATATTTGGGTATTTTGCATTGCCATGAGTACGAGTGAGTCAAATACTCACTTTGTTTTTGGTTTGTTTGGTGTATACAGTGTATGTTTGTTGATTTCTGGTGAAACCTGATGGGGAAAACAAGGTCACGTTATAGTTACGGCCCCGCTGTTTTTGCGAGTTCTCAACATGGTCCATGCATGAAATCGACAACCCTTACAGGATTTCTGTTTTCTCTTTGAAAAGCAATCATCCATTTTCGATGGTATTTGCATGACTTTGAAGCTATGAATTCGCAGCTCTACCCATGTTTAGCATCCATGTGCAACACAAGTGTTTGAAAAAAAACGGATTTTTTTGTCTCAGCACGTGGAGGCCAAGTCAGCCAGCTTCTTCAACGTGTTTGCGTTGCCCCAGTTTGTACGACAAACAAACGCAAACAAGTAGTCTCGGATGGATCCATTCACATCTCGAGTGAGCTTATGCTTGTTGCACAGCTCCTTGGGTGTACCATCTACCATCATTTACCTAGGGACCAAGGAAAAAAAATAAATCAACCAACCCATGGGAACAGGACATCTATGTGCGTAACATCATCAGCGTAACATCAACATTGACATCCCACCCCACCCCACCCCAACCTCCACGAGCAGCGTAACATCATCAGCGTAACATGAACGTTAACATCCCACCCCCCCCAACCCCACCCCAACCCCCACGACAAGCGTAACATCATCAGCGTAACATGAACGTTAACATCCCACCCCACCCCACCCCAACCCATGTTTGCTTAAAAAAAACATATTCCACGGGGCCGTACCTTGGGCGTGAGCAAAAACAAACATGTCCTGTTTTAAAAACTGTTCTCTAGTGTTGATTGGGCCAGATCTGTTTTCCTGTTCTCGTGAATGGTGGGGTGACGCTCAAAATGTTCAAAGTGAGGTCTTGAACTTCGCTTCATCGACGGTAAACGCAAAAATCTTTTTTTTTGGAGTATGGTATGGTCTGGTTATGGTTTATCAAATTTTATAATGCTCCTGTTGGTACGATTGGTTAAATTGAGGATTGTCAAGGGAATGCAACCAGCAACCAGCAGAGATGTTTTATTCACTATCTAGTATTGGGGTGGTCACTTTTCCTGGGTTGGTTGATTCCCCATGATTGTGAGACTGTTTCCCCCATCTTCAGCCCAACCCTCCACTTGAAAAAAAGTGAAACTGAACTGAAGCACCCACGCAACACCTCCATTGTGTTCCAACTCCCAGGGTCTACACACGAGGTAAGCCAAACTCAGGTGCCAGCATGGGACGATCATTCACCACATTTGACACGGTTTCAGCTCCACCTTGTCATCCAACATGCGCCCTTCTCAGGTAATCAAACTATCCTCAGTAAATCATACAGTACTACGCCTGCTTGACCTGCGCGGCTTGTATGGAATCATTGTTCCATGGCACTATTCTCACATGCATGCGTGTGCTCCTTGGCAAGATTTGGCAAGGCTAGAAATATCATGAAATATGGCAATCACATTGTTGCAATCATTTTTTGTGGCATAACTTAGTTGGTTGCTATCATTTCCGTGTTTTTGTTGGGAACTTGCTGGAAGGGCGCGCTTTCTTGCCTGACGATAAACATGGTCATGTGATGTCACTGGATGTGTTCTTTTCTATTCCGAAGCTATTCGTTTCTGGCTGTTTTACCCCGACAAGCCGCACCTTCCCCCAGCGCTGCCAGATCGAATCAGGGAGGTCGTCTTGCAGTGCAAAGCCAGCTTTCCTGTAGCACCGGGCTGCCTGGTCCTGGGTTTCGACACCACGACACCCAACATACCCAAGGGTCGATCGTTGGGGGCCAAGGCGAAATCGAAGATTTCAAAACACGAATAGAGATGGGTAGAATAGAATATAAAATCGAACCACCCCCATGATTTGCTACACCATCCTGATTGAGCCTATCATCAAGGCTAACAGTGTTTTGAGCGCCCCAGGTTTCTGCAAACAGATTCGGCTTATTCAGAGAACCTCACAAGAGCAGAACAGGTTTATTCTGAAACCTACTCGAACTGAATATGCGGTGTGTGGCAAAGCTGGTCCTTAGAAAACCTCCCATTTTGAAAATGAATGTTGATGCAGACTTATCCTGTCTTGTGGTGTTACTTTCATGCCCAACCTCAAAATAAGCTGCCGTTTAATGTTGGTAATGTTGACACGGTTGGGGGTAGTGTTGAGAGGGATGGTGTTGCAATTCACGATAGGATGCTTGTTGTACCAGGTATACCAACAAAATGGTGAGTCTATAAACTGGTTCTAGTAGTGGTGTTCACCCATCTCGCTAGGCACAATCAATCTGGACCAAGATGAAATATGATCTATCCACAAGGGAAGGATGTTAAAAATCACAACACTTTCGAAGGGTCAACCAAAAGCCCAGCCAAAACAATGAAACATGGCGAACTGCAATTCCTCTACTTGTCGCTTCAAGCCGCGTCACATTGACCTTCAATACACTTAGGCAGGTTTTGCGGCAGCTCCAGCCGATGCCTATCAAAGTATTTAGACGAAATTGACGAAATCAACAATCGTTTTTGATAGAAAGACTATGGTTCAAACAGGTATTGGAGTTTCAGGGTTCGGAGATATATACTCATTGCTTTCCCCACAGTCCACCTTGGGCGTGCCCACATGACCCAAGATACCCAGATACCCGGGGTATATCAGTGATGAATTGGTTGCCCACCAAGGTTGACGCAGATCACTGTGGGCAGGGTTTAGGAGGGCTTCTCAGTGATGCGGCGGAGGACCACTCCAGCAGCGGCTTGGCTGCGACGTGTAGATGGCAATGAGCTGGGCATATCCCATTCAGGTGGGCCCCGGAAGTGGTTCTTAAAAAGGTGTCCATGAGCTGAGAACACTTGGCCCAATCTGTATGGCTTCAGATATTTGGACGATCCAGCTAAAGTTTGTCAGTGGCAAGCAAATAGGCATATGTGATTTTAGTTTATATAATGTGAAGACCTGCTCATGTGCATGCATCACATCATTGAGAAGAGCTCCGTTTTGGAAACCCTTTCAAAAGGGGTCACCCATGAGGTTCATAGATCTCAGAAAGTTTTCTTTGCACCAATCACACCTGCGTCACCCTACTGATGCCTTCTTTTAATTGGAAATTGGAGATTGTGTTGGGATGATGTTCGGAGGTTCGGTTGTTCATTCAGGAGTCTCTGCCGCAAGCGGCCAATCCACCTTCCCCCAACCAAACTTGCAAGATTGCTGAACAATATATACATCGCAAAAGAGTACAAACTGTCCAAAAGATTACCAAAATCTGCTCCATCATCAATCACATCTACATCACTTTGCAGCAATACAGAATGAGCTGACGCTGTGCTGATTTTGAAGCGCTATTCACATGGATGCTCACAGTCAAAGATGGCCACGAAAATCTCACGGTGTTTCACTTTTTTCACGGGCGCGCTCAGGGGTGCAATGTGTTTTTGTTTTCTGTGAGTACGCCAGTACGCAATGCCGTTGCTCACCGGCCCGCAAACCATCATCGAAATATCTAGCAACCCAATCACCTGCGCATATCAAAGTGAACACATTTGTCAATACCTGCATCGCCACAGGCCTTCAAACGTATGGGCGCAATGCTCCAGTAATGCCAGCATAAACTGAGATTTGCCACGGTTTATGCGCGGTATCTTTGAAACATAGAAGCCTCCTTGACAACCTTCTCTGTCTACAATACTGAGCCAAAAATCAAGCTACAATAGCTCAGTGACCTATGTCGGCCAAAAAGAGCCTCTCTGGAAAGAATATTCTAAATTTGTCATTGACACCCAGGGTGAATACTTGAAACCAGCAACCAGTGTCGGAAAGTCCAAGCAACCTTCAGATGCACCACCTTCAACTTCTCATCTTCCTGTGCGCCCTTAGAGATGAGAATTAGCAGATTCGAGAGGCCAAAGCGACAAGCATACTGCTAGAGCGAGCCTTCCCAAGCCACAGTTCAGGGGTTTGCAAGTTTGTCTCATTTCGTTGAGGGGTCTGTGGCTTTGCTTACTGGGAGAGCGCAAGACGCAAACATGCGGATTCTTGCAGCAAGCGCTGCATGGATCATATCATAATCATATGAATAAAACATGAGAAAACAACATCAGCACAGGGCGCGTCCAAGCGGCATGCACATATCCAGCTACGCCACCCGTAGCAGTCTCCACTCACTAGTGGCAAGGTGAAGTGCTTTGCGCTCTGTTGAGCGAGCACAGTCTGAGGCCGAAAAAAATCTTACCAGGAAAACAATCGTTGGGGGCTTGAAGGGCATCCGACCACCAATGGCATGAACAGCATTGTCTGGGGAAGTGCTGGAATTGCCTCACACGTGTTGCTTTGAAAAGGAGTTAAATGTTCAATCCATTCAGCCATGGCAGAACCTTGATGAACCTTGCAAATCTGCCAGGGTTTTAACTATGTTTCACCCTTCAATATTTTCACATATAGCCCATTATGACCCCTCCATTGTCTGCCAGGTCAAGTCCCATGTTTACTCGCTTTAATCAAGCAATCAGTCATCTAACCTCCCCGGGCCTTGATCGCATTTGTTGCGATGCCACTTTCGTCTGTGACCACACTCACTCTTTCGCACCACTCCTGGCAAGCCCAGAGCCGTTCGGGCTACCTTGGTCACCATATGTGTCACCATGCTGAGACATGTGGATATCTTGAATTGGTTTAGGGGAAGGGCTACAGTACAAAAAAGATGAGAATTCAAAGGATTTGCGATACCCAAGATGATCAAATCATTTGTTTCTTTGAACTTTGCCCCGTATTGATTCAATGTCTTGTTTCTTTTAGGACCTGTTCATGGCAAAAGTTGGTCAAGATGCAGGCTGGATGCCAACCATTCCCTGAATTGGTTTCGTGCAAGATTCACAGGAATCCTTTTTTGGAAATCAATAAACAACAACTAGTTAACTAGTTTCCAATGACTTAGTCAACCTTCCATGTTTGCTGGTGAAATATTTATTCTCTGAAATTATTGATGGCCAGCGGAAGGTTTACCAGATCACCGACGTACTTCATGAGATTTTGGGGCTTCACATTCCATTCCTATTGGCGAACCCATCCCATCTTCAGTTGGTCCAGCAACTCCCAGGGTTGCTGAAAACAATGTTTTGAATATGTTTGACGGGCACACACTGCCTTCCAACACCGCGTCCTTGGCCGTCAGATCTTTGAAACGTGGCTCCTTTTGGAGTAGCCTTGGGTTTCTTGCCATCAGCACCATGCCAAATATTCCAGTGATCCTGCATTCTGACGACTAGCAAGTTGCAGCCACTCCAATGCTTTTTCTAATTTCTGGTCAAATTTATCCTATTCTTCTGTTGATTCGTCCTCTGCCCGGAGTGTGACCCATACCCAAATTAATAGGGTCATAGTGGGAGGGGGTCTGTGGACCGGGGGCAACTGTCGAGTTCCGTTTGAGTAGGATCTGAGTTGCTAATGTTGCTATTGTAATAGTAAGTATAAATAAGCTAGATCTTGTAGACACACAATTCAGCCAGATTGAGAGAGATTGAGGGAATTTAAGGTTCGTTTGAGGTTCGCTTGAGGAAATTCATCTTTGAACTTAAAAATATTGGATTGAGTTGAGTTTGAGGGAATTTGAATATGAATTGAATATGAATTGAGTTTATTGCTCTTCAAGCTGCTGATCAAACGTAACCTTATGACGCTGGAAACGTTAGGTCAATTTGAGGGCAAACGAATTCTTCAAAACTCTTCAAAATTCCTTAATACATTGAAATCAACAGAATTCAATTCAACATGCATGCGAATTTAATCAAATCTATGGAAATCGATAGAACCATATTTATTTCCCTATTTATTTCCCTATTTGTTTCCATATTTATGCCCTCATTTATTTCCCTATTTATGTCGCTGTTTATTTCCCTATCTATTTCCCTATTTATTCCCGTATTTATTTCCCTATGTATTTCCCTATTTAGTTACCTATTTATTTTCCTATTTCTTTCCCTATTAATTTCCCGAATTTATTTCCCTATTTATTTCCCCTTGTTTTTCCCGTATTTATTTCCTTATTTATTTCCCTATTTATATTCCAATTTATATTCCAATTTATTTCCCTATTTATTTCCCTATTTATTCCCCTATTTATTGCCCTATTTATTTCCCGTATTTATTTCCCCATTTATTTCCCTATATTTTTCCCTATTTATTCCCCTATTTATTTCCCTATGTGTTTCCCTATTTATTTCCCTTTTTATTTCCCTATTTATTTCCCCTTTTTATTTTCCTTTTTATTTTCCTATTTTTTTCCTTTTTATTTTCCTCTTTATTTTCCTCTTTATTTCCCTATTTATTTCCCTATTTATTCCCCGATTTATCCATTTATTCCCCTATTTATTTCCCTATTTATTCCCCTATTTATTCCCTTATTTATTTCCCCTATTTTTTTCCCTATTTATTCCCCTATTTATTTCCCTATGTGTTTCCCTATTTATTTCCCTATTTATTTCCCTTTTTTTTCCATTTTTATTTCCCTATTTATTTCCCTATTTATTTCCTCACTTAGTCCCCCTTTTATTCCCCTATTTATTCCCCTATTTATTTCCTTTTTTATGTCCCTATTTATTTTCCTGTTTATCCCCCTATTTATTTCCCTATTTATTACGCTTTTTATGTCCCTATTTATTTCCCGTATTCATTCCCCTATTTATTTCCCTATTTATTTCCCTATTTATTTCCATGTTTATTTAAGTTTATTTCCCTATTTATTTCCCGTTTTTATTCCCCTATTTATTTCCCAATTTATTCCCCTATTTCTTCCCCGATTTATTTCCCTTGTTTATTTCCCTTTTCATTTCCCCATTTATTCCCGTATTTATTTCCCGTATTTATTCCCCTTTTTTTCCCCTGTTTATTTCCCTATTTTTTCCCTATTTATTTCCCTATTTATTTCCTCATTTATTCCCCTATTTATTTCCCTGTTTATTTCCCTATTGATTTCCCTATTTATTTCCCTATTTATTACCCTTTTTAATTCCCTATTTATTCCCCTATTTATTTCCCTATTTATTTCCCTATTTATTCCCGTATTTATTTCCCTATGTATTTCCCTCTCTATTTCCCTTTTTTTTCCCTATTTATGTCCCCTTTTTACTTCCATTTTTATTTTCCTATTTTTTCCCCGATTTGTGCATTTACCCCGTATTTATTTCCCTATTTATTCCCTTTTATATTTCCCCTATTTATTTCTCGATTTATTCCCCTATTTTTTCGCCTATTTACTCCCCTATTTATGTCCCTATTTATTTCCCTATGTTTTCCCCTATTCATTTCCGTATTTATTTCCCTTGTTATTTCCCTATTTATTTCCTCATTTATTCCCTTATTTATTTCCCGGTTTATTTCCTTATAGATTTCCCTATTCATTTCCCCATTTATTCCCGCATATATTTCCCTATTTATTTTCCTATCTATTTCCCTATTTATTTCCCTATTTATTCCCCTATTTATTTCCCTGTTTATTTCCTTATTTATTTCCACATTTATTTCCCTATTTATTTCCCTATTTGTTTCCATATTTATGCCCTCATTTATTTCCCTATTTATGTCGCTGTTTATTTCCCTATCTATTTCCCAATTTATTCCCGTATTTATTTCCCTATGTATTTCCCTACCTATATCTACCTATTTCCCTTTTTATTTCCCTATTTATGTCCCCTTTTTATTTCCTTATTTATTTCCACATTTATTCCCGTATTTATTTCCCTATTTATGTCCCTATTTATTTCCCTATTTATTTCCCTATTTATTTCCCTTTTTATTTCCCTATTTATTTCCCTATTTATTTCCTCATTTATTCCCCTTTTTATTTCCCTTTTTTTTCCCTTTTTATTTCCCTATTTATTTCCCTATTTATTTCCTCACTTAGTCCCCCTTTTATTCCCCTATTTATTCCCCTATTTATTTCCCTATTTATATTCCAATTTATTTCCCTATTTATTTCCCTATTTATTACCCTTTTTAATTCCCTATTTATTCCCCTATTTATTTCCCCTATTTATTTCTCCATTTATTCCCGTATTTATTTCCGTAATTATTTCCCTATTTATTTCCCTTTTTATTTCCCTATTTATTTCTCATATTTATTTCCTCATTTATTCCCTTCTCTATTTCCGTATTTATTTCCCTATTTATTTCCAGTTCCATTTCCCTATTTATTCCCCCATTTATTCCCCTATTTATTCCCCTTTTTATTCCCCTGTTTATGTCCCTATTTATTTCCCTATTTATTCCCCTATTTGTTTCCCTATGTGTTTCCCTATTTATTTCCCTTTTTATTTCCCTATTTATTTCCCCTTTTTATTTTCCTTTTTATTTTCCTATTTATTTCCCTATGCATGTCCCTATCTTTTCCCCTTTTTATTTCCCTATTTGGTTACCTATTTATTTTCCTAGTTCTTTCCCTATTTATTTCCCGAATTTATTTCCCTATTTATTTCCCCTTGTTTTTCCCGTATTTATTTCCTTATTTATCTCCTATTTATATTCCAATTTATATTCCAATTTATTCCCCTATTTATTTCCCTATTTATTTCCTCACTTAGTCCCCTTTTTATTCCCCCCTATTTCTTCCCCTATTTATTTCCCTATTTATTTCCCTATTTATTTCCCTATTTATGTCCCTATTTATTTCCCTATTTATTTCCCTATTTATTTCCCTTTTTATTTCCCTATTTATTTCCCTATTTATTTCCTCATTTATTCCCTTTTTATTTCCCTATGTATTTCCCTATTTATTTCCCTATGTATTTCCTCATTTATTCCCCTTTTTATTTCCCTATTTATTTCCCTATGTATTTCCTCATTTTTTCCCCTTTTTATTTCCCTATTTATTCGCCGATTTATTTCTCTTTTTATTTCCTTATTTATTTCCCAATTTATTTCCCTATTTATTTCCCGTTTTTATTCCCCTATTTATTTCCCTATTTATTCCCCTATTTATTCCCCTATTTATCTCCCCTATTTATTTCCCTATTTATTTCCCTGTTTATTTCCCTATTTATTTCCCTATTTATTTCCCTATTTATTTCCATATTTATGTCGCTGTTTATTTCCCTATCTATTTCCATATTTATTTTCCTATCTATTTCCCTATTTATTCCCGTATTTATTTCCTCATTCATTCCCTGATTTATTTCGGCATTTTTTCCCCTATTTATTTCCCTATTTATTTCCGTATTAATTTCCGCTTTTATTCCCCTATTTATTCCCCTTGTTTTTCCCTATTTATTCCCCTATTTATTTCCGTATTTATTTCCCGTATTTATTTTCCCATTTATTTCCCATTTATTTCCCGATTTATTTCCCTATTTGTTTCCCTATTTATTTCCCATTTATTTCCCTATTTATTTCCTTATTGATTTTCGCATTTTTTCCTTTATTTATTTCCCTTTTTATGTCCCTATTTATTTCCCGTATTTATTTCCTCATTTATTACCCTTTTTATTTCCCTATTTATTTCCCTATTTATGTCCCTATTTATTTCCTCATTCACTGCCTTATTTATTTCGGCATTTATTCCCCTATTTATTCCCCTATTTATTTCCGTATTGATTTCCTTTTTTATTCCCCTATTATTCCCCTATTTTTTTCCTTATTTATTCCCCTATTTATGCCACCCTGTATTTCCCTATTTATTTCCCTATTTATTTTCCTTTTTATTTCCCTATTATTTTCCTTTTTTAATCCCCCTTTTATTTCCTTATTTATTCCCCTATTTATTCCCCTAATTATTTCCCATTTATTTCCCCGTTCATTTCCGTATTTATTTCCTTTTTTATTTCCCTATTCATTTCTCTTTTTATTTCCTTATTTATTTCCCTGTTTATTTCCCTATGTATTTCCCCTTTTATTTCCTTTTTTATTTCCCCATTTATTCCCCTATTTATTCCCCGATTTATTTCTCTATTTATTCCCCAATTTATTCCCCGATTTATTTCCCTATTTATTTCTCTATTTATTTCCCCTTTTTATTTCCCTATTTATTTCCCTATTTCCCCTATTTATTTCCCTTTTTATTTCCCTATTTAGTTCCCTATTTATTCCCCCTTTTATTTCCCTATTTATTCCCCTATTTATTTCTCTCTTTATTCCCCTCTTTATTTCTCTATTTATTTCCCATTTATGTCCCTATTTATTCCCCTATTTATTTCCCTATTTATTTCCTGATTTATGCCCTTATTTATTTCCCTATTTATTTCCCTATTTATTTCCCCTCTTTATTTCCCTTTTTATTTCCCCATTTTTTCCTCACCTGCCAGGTGAGGGTTGTTAGATTTTATCAGAGCTGTTCTCCTCCTCCTCCGCCTCCGCATCCTCCTCCTCCATCTCCTCCGCCTCCTCCTCCTCGCAGTCCAGATCCCAGTGGGCACAGCCGGATCTCCACCGCGAGCGCCAGATCCCAGTGGGCACTGCCGGACCTCCACCGCGAGCTCAAGATCCCAGTGGGCACTGCAGGACCTCAACCGCGACTTCCAGGTCGCAGTGGGCAATGGCTTAGGCTTCTCCTGGCAATCCCGATCTTTGAAGTGGTTACTCAGGAAACACTTGGTGGGGGTGCAGTTGGTTTGTAAATGCACTGGCATAAAATGCACAGTTTCAATCAAATTCAGTTATAACCGCCATACGTTGTGATATAAACCCTGCAACTATGGCTCCAACTCCAAGCTCTCCTCAGCGATGAATCGATGAAATTCAAAGAATTGGCTTGCGAGACATTTTGCGGAATCCCTGGCAGCTGCCGGCAAAAACATGGTGTCGGGCAAATGCCCTTCAAGTCAACCCAGTGAGTGATTCTGTTTGATGCGTTCGGCAGGGGAAGCTGCAGCTGAGAAAGAATTCCGCAAATTCTGATGATGCCGGGAGGAATATCTCAACTCCTGCATGCGGGAGTAACCTCCACCTATGCTCACGATGCTCGATTTTGAAGCTTCAGAGCCTGTGTAGTCTTCAGCTGCAAAGAGTGCCTGCTGATGGCAACCTTGGAGAAAGGCACATGGCTTCATGAACGACCCCTTTCCAACTTGGATGAGAGTACTAAATCATTGGGTGCTCTGCAAAAAAACACTGATTTTTTAGAAGGGAATAATGAGTCTATAGGATATTCCGTTCAATATTGTAAAACTGACCCACGAACTTGCCAAGCAAGGTTGTCCTATCACTCCCAACGTAAAAGAACTAATAGAAGGTCTTAAACGAGCACATGTGAAACACATGAAATGTCTGGGAAAAAACGACAACGGGCCAATGGATGCGCGAATCATCATCTATGAAAAAAATGGAGATGGATCAAAATTCAAGACAGCACACCCCTCAGGACTTGCCATCGAAACAAACAATTACAGTAATCCCTTGTGGATGTGTTGACATTTTTTGGGGTCACCATGTTTGACCCATCCCAAAACATTGCCAAATGAAAGGGTTTGTCTGAAAATATTTTGCCTCAATAATTAGATGGTGATGGTTTGTCTTTATGTTCGCTATTGAAAATGCATCAAACTGCTATATACCCGTTATATACCCTCCATTTTCACACACACACACAAAAAGCAAGCTGAGCAAATGCCAGGTGGCGGCTCTCTTCAGAACCCGCCCGTGGATCCGGATGATGGGCTTGCACGGATTTAGCTTCTCGACTGTGCCTGTCTCTCCTGGTCACAGTCTCTCGGTGTGCGAACAAAATGTTGGGTTCACGATGGGCGAAAGGCCGCAACAAATGAGGCGGCTAGACCTGTGACCTGTGAAAAATCCACTTGCAGCTTCAGCATTTTGATCCATATTATACTGCTAAGTGAAGATCCTTCTTTCAGGCCCCGTTGCGACACGCAGATCCCAGGTTGTTCCCATGGCCCTGTGCCTGACCCTGATGTGTGGCTGTAACTCAAACATGATGAAGGCGAAGGACTAACAAGTCCACGAGATTGGTCTAATTTGGGGTCATCGTGAGCATTGGACTTTATTGAACTACAGTAACCAATTTTTGCTTCCCTTTCCCCAAAAATGTGAAATACCCCCCTACAGGATGGTGCCACATAGTTGGCCAACTTGTTTTAGCTGACGCCCAAGGTACGGCCCCGTGGAATATGCTTGTTTTTAGCAAACATGGGTTGCGGTGGGTGGGGTGGGGCCAAGTGACGGAAAATTGCCCTGCTTATGGGGGGGTTGTTCCATCGGTCCCCCGCCGATCTTAAAAATCCCCTCTTATGGGGGATGACATGCAACTTTGTTTGAGCTCAGCTTTGGGCGGAGCAAGCCTCCACGCTCATAGCTGAGCTCAAACAAGAAATCTCCCTCCGGCAGTTGCAGCTGCCCACGCAGCAGCTGCAACTGCCGGAGGGCAGCGCCACGAGGAAACAATTGCACCTGGAACCTGCGCCCCGCGCGCAGGAACCGGCGCACAAAAACTTCCGCCGCAGCAAAGCGCCCCAACCGCGTCTCTGAATGGAACTCGACCCATGCCGCTTGCCGCTCCAACCAAATTGCACCGTAAACGGTGCAAATTTTGACCTCAGAATCGCTATGCTTTAAAAAAGCCGTAATCTAAAATAACACCCCCAAAAAATAGGACCAATCTTATGGAAACATTTTCATCACCAATGATTATGCATAGTAGCGTCTTGGAATCGAAATCAAAAAAAACAAAAGACACCAACCAAAACGAAACCAAACAAAAAAGCATATGCGGCACGTCGAAGACCCCGAGGCGGGACAAAAACCGAAAGGGCCCCGGTAGTGAGCGATGCCCAAGGACAACCTGAGACAGAGTTGGAGGCACAACCAAAACCCCCAAAACGTTTCTGAAACTAACTTTAAAGCGTTGTCCTGTAAACAACAACTTTAAAAAAACTTTTCGACCCCTTTAAAGTTCACCCTGGCCTGTAAACACCAAAGGGCCCTTGGGTCGAGAAATTGCAGCAAGGTGATGCTGTTGCAAAGCACAACCGCAAAGTTCTCCATGCTGAAAACAGAGACCGAAGAAAAAGGGTGCAAACGAATTAGATAGCCAAAAGCTGCGGTGTGCTTCATGTGGTGACATGCCGTGAACCCGCTGGATTGGACCAAACCCCGGAAGCTGGAAGTAACACAAAGGGTAACATTACAAAGCCCTTTGAATCCATTATTTTCGGAGGATACCAGCACAGTTGCAAGGCCAACAAATTCAAAAGGGGATCCAAACATCAACTCATTGAAACACAAAGGGCCCAAAGTCACTGAAATCCCGTTACCCTTTTCAGATGATTTTTACTTCATAATCATTTCCTTTTGTTGTTGGTGACCCCATACAGTAACCGAACCCATCGCACCATTCTACGTTAGCAACAAACTATAACCCTGGGGTGTATGCGGCCCCCTGGCCCCTATCCTGCCCAAAAACGTCCCCGTCTGGGGCACTAAAATTCGCCCGCAGAGGGCGTGCCCCGAAGGGCCCCCCCCAAAGGAAACTTGAAGGCAAAGTGTCTTTGTCAGACTTTTTGTCAAGGCCCCGCAAGGAGCCTCTTGCGGTCTCAGCCCCTGCAGGGCCTCGGACAAGCAAAGTGCCAACGCCATTGGCACCGATGGTGTTTATCGTGGTTATCCATCGACCACCCCAAACAGAAAGATACAGAAAGCAAGCATAAGCATGCAAAGGCCCGAAAGCCCCAATGGTGTTTATCGTGGTTATCCATCGACCACCCCAAACAGAAAACAAGCATCAGATCATCAGCATCACCCTACAGGGATCGAAACCCTCATGCTCTTTAGCGTCGTTTAACCACGTACCGTCTCGACTGCAAGCACGAATGACCTTGCAGCGCCCAAAGCCCTCATGGTGTTTACGGTGGTTATCCATGTACCACCCCAGCCGCAAACACACATTAGGCTAAACTCAATCATTTGGAAAGATGGTGTTTACCGTGGTTGCCCATCCACCACCCTGGCCCGCTCAGCCAGACGCAAGCATCATCTTCCAGCAATCAATGCCCTCATGATGCCTGTCGAACTTTATTCTCGATCGACCAGAAATCATTTGGCAAGATGATGTCAATGTTTATTTATGCTGGTTATCCATCTACCACCCGGCCAAAGGCAACCATCATCTTGCAACGGCCGAAGCCCCCATGGTGTTTATCGTGGTTATCCATGTACCACCCAAGCTGCAGGCAAGGAAAATTGTGCACCGCTCACAGCCTTCAAGGTGCTGATCGTTATTATCCACGTACCGCCCCAGCTGCAGGCAAAGATCATCTTGGATCATTTTGCAGCACTCCAAGCCCTCATGGTGTAGCTATCCAGAAAGACAACGCCAAAGCGCTGACCTCCGTCGAAATACACATCTTCGAACCTCGAAAAGAAAATCAAGCATAAAAAATATAAGCGGCAGGAACAACAAATCACACAGTAACCAAACCACAATCTTCCAGCTGGCGCGAATGAGAACAGCGTGGCGCAACAACAGCAAAAATCGACGACGCCAGAAAAACAAAAATGAAAAGTATCGCTGCAGCTGAAGAACACACCAAGGAAACACCAAAGGCCAAAAAGCTAAACTGATATCAGACATTGCGGAAACTTCCCTTACATGAATCTTCACGTGATGAAGGAATTTCCTGTGAATACCCCTCCCAGACAACAAAGACACATTGATTGATGCCACCAACAGCTAGTGCCTGCACAACTAACGCACAGCTCCACCAGCATCCTTTACAAATTCTTGTTCTCAAGAAAGCTTCAGAGCTTTCCCCACCTAATGCCCTGCTAACTCGCAAAAGGAACGCCATGTTTCGCACGGCTTATTCTTCTCTGCACACTCTGTCAACCGCCTCAGGCCGCGGTTTTGCATGACATGTTAACGTTCATGTTACGCTGATGATGTTACGCTGCTCCTGGGGGTTGGGGTGGGGTGGGGTTGGGGTGGGGTGGGGATGTTAACGTGTTACGTGATGATGACGCTGCCGTGGCGGGGGTGGGTGGGGTGGGATGTTAACGTTCATGTTACGCTGATGATGTTACGCTGCTCGTGGGGTTGGGGTGGGGTGGGTGGGATGTTAACGTTCATGTTACGCTGATGATGTTACGCTGCTCGTGGGGGTGGGGTGGGGTGGGGTGGGATGTTAACGTTCACGTTTGCTGATGATGTTACGCTGCTCGTGGGGGTTAGGGTGGGGTGGTGTGGGATGCTAACGTTCACGTTACGCTGATGATGTTACGCTGCTCGTGGAGGTTGGGGTGGGGTGGGGTGGGATGTTAACGTTCATGTTACGCTGATGATGTTACGCACATAGATGTCCTGTTCCCATTGGTTGGTTGTTTATATTTGAAATTGTTTTTTTCCTTGGTCCTTAGGTAAATGATGGTAGATGGTACACCCAAGGAGCTGTGCAACAAGCATAAGCTCACTCGAGATGTGAATGGATCCATCCGAGACTACGTGTTTGCGTTTGTTTGTCGCACAAACTGGAGCAACGCAAACACGTTGAACAAGCTGGCTGACTTGGCCTCCACGTGCTGAGACAAAAAAGTCTGTTTTTTTTCAAACACGTGTGTTGCATATGGATGCTAAACATGGGTAGAACTGCGAATTCATAGCCTCAAAGTCATGCAAATACCATCGAAAATGGATGATGGTTTTTCAAAGAGAAAACAGAAACCCTGTAAGGGTTGTCGATTTTATGCATGGACCATGTTGAGAACTCGCAAAAACAGCGGGACCGTAACTGTGACGTGACCTTGTTTTACAACTAGTAAAACTACGTATGTATAAGTAGGGTCTGCAGTGGGCGCATCTATAGTTAAAATTGGGTTTATAAGCCAACTTGTAACTTGGGGGCACCACATTATACACTTGGAAACCTTTAAAAATTGGATCTCTTCCTTTGGGCGCCCTTTCTAAAGGGCCGGTATTTCATATGCTCTCCTTTGTGCTGCTGTTGATTGTCACGACGTCCCCCACCTGAGTCGGTATCAAACATGGCTTGGAAGTCTCCCTATTGTTAATTTTCTAATATGACATTCATCAACTATAAATAAACGTTCAATGTCCAACCAACGCCAAGCATGACGGATCCGTCCCCATGCAGACCATTCAGTTTAGTTGCCATTCTTGGTATTCTCAAGGCTTCAAGGGACTTGACAACCAATACAACCAAATTGGGCTCGTTGAACTGCTTGAAGAGCCAAAATAAAGAGTCACAAAGAGTCATGATTCAAGGGAATGAAATCGAAGTAATGATGTGTCAATTACTTTCTTGATTCAACCCATCATTGTCCATAGACCTATGGGATCCGGCATGGGCCCTTAATGGCCCATAACGGCTCACCTGCAATGGTGGCTCGGTAGGATCCCAATGTTTTCGCTTGATGACTTGATGACTTGATGACAGTCTGAAAAAATGGTTGTTGAATATGGTGAAATGATGAGTACATCCGAGATTTGCCAGGATTTACCGATCACATATACTGAGATCGTATATGTTCTGACCTCGTTTGTTTAGATTCCATGTCGCTTTTCAAAATGGTTGCATCCTTTTATTGCATAATTTTATCGCCATAACTCTAAAAATTGGAGCTCAGTCACGGCAGCCACTGCTGCGACTGTTGTGACCGCTCGAACGCTGCTCTTCATGATGTTCACCTGGCAAAGCAACGCACCCAAGGGATTCCCTTCCCCAAAAAACTGTCGTTTAACAGTTGAGTAATCTATTGACTGGGGGTCCCATGTAAACATGTAAACAAATTTCATGTTCGGGTGATGGGGGTGCTTCCGGGGTGCGTGGAATATGAAATTGGACCATCACGCAATAGACAACTTGTCAAACAACTGGATGTCCGGAAAATGCTACGGGGAACATTGCGTCAAACACAATTCCCTACATTGAATTCCGCATTCCACCATGTTTTAAAGTCACGCCAACATTTTAGGCCCATGGAAGGCCAATGATTTGTTGTTTAAATTTGTAGAATGGAAAATCCAGAGCATGCAAAACACAATGGAACGCAAGTTGCGCCATACTCCAAAACAATGAATGAGAATGCTTTAGAATTCAGAATTGCTCTCAAGTTTCCAAGTATGAAATTATGTGACATTGCACATGGAAACGCCGAATCCACGCAAACCAAACGCCACATGCAAGCAGACCTTTTAAAAGCATCTGCACTCCGTGTATTTTTTTCTGGGACTTTACTGCCCTGATTTTGCCAGAGATACCCATTTGCTCAGTGGCATCGCATGTTTTGGGGGGACTCGAAATTCCGTCAGTTTTATTCCCAAAAAATTGCACAGTTTTGTGCCAAGGCACAGTTGGTCACCTCAAAATGATGTCGCTACACATTCCCACTGTTTGTTGCTTCCCCTGGTCGGGACGATCCCCAGGTGAGGGAAGTTCCCCAGATGTTCCTCCATCATTTGGATCAAGAAAAAAGCGACGGATAACAGAGGATCAGCGTTTACCAGCCAAATGTGAAATAATTTGCAAGTTTTCCCTTGAACGAATTCTAGGATTCCACCACAAGTGGGTCCATGAACCATTCTCAACATATCTCAACCACTTTCCAACCGGCCGACCTTTTGGTTTGGAAAATACAATCGCACGCTCAGCATCCTTGGTGTGATGCCTTCAATCACGCCAGCCTGCTAACGCCAGGAAAGCAAGGGAATTCTGATGAAACCAGGTAGAACTGTGGAACCCCATAGATAGTTACAACATGTTACAACATGTTACAACCCCTATTAACTATGGGTAAACCAAGATTTTGGCCGCTGCTCACATGACCGGTGGCCAATGTGCCCACAGAAGCCATCAAACATTGGTCAGGCCCCTCTTTGGTCTGTTCTCTTCTAAGTTTTCACGGAAAGACATCTGCAAAGGGTCAAAGAAGGCGAACTGGTGCCCTCAAACCAAGTGCCACAAACTGAATCCAGAAATGCAACAAGGAAACTGACGGAAACTTACAATAATGCCGTGCTCTTAACAGTGACGTTTCTTAGGATTGGCCGCTCTACTGAGACCACCTTGCCGGCGTATTTCCCAGCGATGCTGACGCTCTGCCCCAGTTCCATGGCGGCAAAGTGTTGGGTGCTTGCAAAAAACACGACAAAACACGACAAAACACGACAAGTGAACCATGACCACAACATCCAAAAATCCTTGTGCCGATTGTTTCGACTCTCGCCTGCTTTACCTTGGCCACTTTGCGACCCCTGTGGAATCATTGCTGCTGTTTGACCAAAATGTGACAAAATCTTTGCAACCAGTGGGTAGTCGTGCATAAGATTGCATGAGCATTTGATTCGCCGCTGATCTGAGCCTTTTTCACAGTACCTTGTGGCAGCCTCCCAAGGTCTGTAATCTTTGATCATGCATCAGAGCGAGGTCGGCAGACGACTGGTCTACAGTTCTAGGATTCTGGGTTGTATCCCCCACGACTGTTGGTCAATATTTAAGCAATTTTTTCGCAAAAATCACTGATGTTTGATCTCCTGTTGTTTGGCCATAAACATGGTTTCCTGTGGTGTATCCACATATGACTGAATGACTGGATGAAAAAAATGTGGCGTATAGATGAGGTTTTCTGACTTTTTGCAATAACCAGACCGTTTTCATATAGAAGAATATGGGTAAAACAATTTCAAACCATCCCCAGTTTCACCATATATATATATATATATTTATAGATGCTATAAACATCAACCATTCCCAGCTATGGGTGGTTTATGGCATTGTTTTAGCCACATTAACTTAATGGTTATATGGGGATGGGTCAAAACTCATTATTACCATATTCTTACCATATTACCGACAATTACAGACGAAACATTATCTATATTATCAAATTACATCAAATTACCATATTGATTGCCATATTGCCATATTAATGTGTTGTTACCCATGATTGCCAAAACATGCCAAAACACATTATAGACCTTCATTGTATCTCTGAGTCTCGTCCGTCACATCCGACGCCGGCCACTTCTCCGTCTCGCCTGGAAGGCCACCATGCAACACCAAGACCTGGGGACCGACGTGGCGTGGCCGAGGTTGGATGATGATACTATGGTTGTAGTGTATATGATGTGTTTATATGTACATTATGTCCAATCCAATCTTGTAATCACATTCACGCGGCAACAAAGGTTGACTATGGGGGGTTGTCTAAAAATAGGGTGCCCCAGGGCCCCAAAAGCCATCAAAAACCAATGGTTGAGAAAATTATAATTATTATGGTCCCCATCAAAATGCTTTTGTAAAATTGGGGGGTTCTTTTTTTGGGTAGATTTCTACCCCATTTTTGTGAGCAAATCTTGAATTCTTCCAGTATGGTTCATCCCCATGCCGGTCGCGGCCTTATTGTCCACGAGATGTGCCAAGGGCAGATTTCGGAATGCCTCTGAGAAGAGGTTGAAGAGTTCCATGTCCTCGGAGAGTAGCTTCCAAGCATTGGACAAAAACAACGAACTGATTGGACTCGGGACATCTTCTCTTTCAACTTGGCTGACAGAGATGAATCTGGAACATCTGCGTTTCATTTCAAGTTTGTTTACAAAATATATGAATCAGTTGGGGGCTAATCATGGCAGATCTGGATACATTAGGCATTCCAGAGATGACAGATACGGCAAAGGGAAAGGGCGCAAAATCATCAAACGCTGGATCTGGGATGGTTGAATCAACCGTCGAAATCACCGATATTTTTTAGGGCCAACCAAGCTTTTGACTCATCCCCAAAGTGATATCTTCAATATCCTCTGTGTCGTGGAAAACTGTCGGTATATGATGTCACCCAAGCATGGCGTCACTTCGATCAGTGTCAGAAATTCAGGTGTCGGAACATCTACGAAAAATCGAAGACTGCAAAATCTTGGCATCCTACACTTGAGCCCTCAAAAAATACCCCTATCCCATCTGATTATACTGGTTGGTTAATAGTTTTCCCTACTATATACTAGTATAGGTTCTCACAATCCCGAATAAATCAGGAAGTATTAGTATAGGTCCCTATGTATCTGGGTAAATTATAATATTGCACTAACCTGAATCAAAGCCATTTGGGGATGATTTCCCTTACCAACCATGATTCCAGGGCTCGGTCGCAGTGATGTCGTTATAATTTACCCAGTATGTATGTCTGTCTGTCTGTCTGTCCGTCTGTCTGTCTGTCTGTCTGTCTTTGTCTTTCTGTCTGTGTCTTTCTGTCTGTCTTTCCGTCTGTATGTACGTATGCATGCATGCATGTATGTGTATATATATATATTATAATTATATATTATCAACCAATCAGCCATGTTATTTCTTATGTTTCATTCTAATGAAATGAACATGAACAGGCATGGCTCACATGACTGGCGAACTGAGCCCAGCGACATACTTGGCCCCACATTCACCGCAGAAGCCGTACCTGTCCCCAACCACCTACCATGGACGCTACCATGGCCATCTAAGGCCATCCACCATATCAACCTCATTTGTTTTCAAAGACTCCAGCAGTTATGAAAAACATGTGGAAAACTTGTTCGAAAAACGATGGAAAAATACCGTGGGTTTTTCAACCAGCTTGAAAAGCCAGATCCATTCATAACCCATAGGATCCATGTATGCTATATATGGTAACATTTACCATCAATATACCCCCAATGTTAGCATATATACCATACATGGATCCTATGGGTAAAGGCGTCTTCCACGTGTTTTGCGGATTTTTTTTCAGCTGGGCACAGGATGTTGGTCTCCAACATCTCGTGATTGCCGCGGTTCAAGAAGACCGCGCCAGGGTCCTGCGAAACGTCGGGACATCGGATGAAATCAATGGGGAAATGATGATTAAAATGATGATTCAGACTAATAAATATGGATGATTATGGATGATTTAGGCTAAATCCATCTAAATCCTATTCTCAGAGGGAAAAGAACAGGGTGGAAGGTGGAATTTTGCACAAGGCACCTCTTTTATCCTTTCTGCCACGACATTATGAATCCAATCAAGGAAGAGATGCTGGGTTGCAACGAGGAGGGGATCCCTCCAACAGGAAATCATGTTGTTGCAAGGGTTCGACTTGCCAGTGATCGAAATGTCTCACTATCTCCATCTATATCCCCCAGCAAAGGGTAGATTACCCCAATATATGTAGTATCATGACAGTATTACCATTAATCATGACCCATATGGGTCCATCTACAGTAATCTACAACATATCCCATAGGATCCATGTATAGTATATATGCTAACATAAAGGGGGTATATTGATGGGATCCATGTTACCATATATAGCAGCACCATCGATCCGTCATGGGTATGTAGCATCATGACCCCAATTCCCAACCATCGATCATCCCAGCCTTCAATTTCAGCGCAAAAATGGTCATGATCACCTTACTGCGGGCCAGTCCCATTCGGAAGAATGGAAATGGAAAAGCCACAACAGGGTCAAAAGGTCATGAGTCATGAGTCATAAATAGTCATAACATGTTCTGAATATGTATAATATAATATATATATATATTATATATACATACATTGTATATATATAATTTATAATATATATTATATATGTATGACATATTTTGAAACCATCAACTGGTCACTCCATTCATGACCACCAAGTGTTTTTTGTGCATCCCAATGGCCTGGCCTCAATGGACCAGGAGCCTCGATCCACGAAGTCGCCGTTGAAGATAAAGGGCGTGCTGGGTGAAGGCTTCCCCGACTCGGCAGACCCCGACTCGTTGGCAGGTGACATCTGGGGAACCCCAAAGTCAGAACCGACCAGGAGAGAATGACATCATACCACTGCGTGTTCGATTTTGAATTCTGGGTCTTTCCAAAATTCTTGAAAGCCCAAAAAATTTAGTGGTACAATTTCAAAGACCTACCCCAAGTGTATGAATTTGATTTCCAGGAAACATCCAAACATCAGCTGCCCAAATGTCTGAGGCGGCCCCACCATGCTGAGGACGTTCATGAAGTCCCAGTACTGGCCATGGAGGTCGCCCACCTGAGATCTGATGATTCTGATGGGTGACCCACCCTGGGAACTACCTGGACCTATTTTTGGGGACATTTTGGCTGGGAGAGCACCGATCTTTGGCCCAAATTGTGAGGCATCTTTGGGAGTCATATGGAATTTATATGAATTTATTAGATTGCAGAAAGGAAAAAAAACATAAGAGGGTCTCAAAAACTTTCATTGTCATGACATCGCAGCAATTTTGTAAGACTTGAGCTGCAATCAGAATGGTTTTCTCTCGACTGACTATCAACTACGGTGGATTTCGGTGTCCCAAATTTGGACATACCCACACCAGTGTCAGCCGACACAAACAAGAAGATGAACACACCCCATACGCAAAATGTTTGGTTTATCCAAAAGAAATCAAAAGGAAACGAAAAGATTCGAAAAGCATCGAAGACTTGTCCAGGTGGCTCAAAAAGCCACCAAGATTCAGTACTGTAAGATTCCAGTGTTCAGCATGATTAGGACTTTTGCATCTGATATGCAATCTAGCTGCTCTTTGAATCGATCGCATTGATGTTGTGCAGCCACTTTGCAACCAAGACTTCAGAGTAAAGATCCCAATCTCATGAGGTTGTGAGACTACAGTACAGTAATTACATGAACATATCTTAACAAGTTTTAACATGTCAAAGACGCTTCGAAATGTCCAATTTCCATGCAAAAAAATCGCCGTTCAGCTACCACTTCCTTTCCAAACACCTCCTGGGCGTCCGCGCAATGGTCAAATGCCCACCTTGAGGAATGGACACCTGATGGTACCCCAAAATCCAATGGTTTAGCAGCGCAGCTTTTAGTCGATGATGGGGGTATCAGATCGAATGCAATGCACAGCAAAAATGTGGTTCTGCCCATATTTACCAAACCCAACAATATGATCTAGTATCAAGCTTGACAACAATCAATGTGTGCCAAAGTAATTTCAAAAGAATAAGGAAAAGGATGCAAAATTACAGCATCCCAATCTCATTCCATCTTCATGTCTTTTCGCCAATTTTTGCAGCCACCTGTCCCATCGTCTGTTCTGCCCGCAACAGGTCGATGATGTCGAGTACAATGAGATAGGCGTCCTGGATGTCTCGAGGGTCCCAATGGAGGAGGAGGATATGACAGTGCAGCCCTGCGGTCCTTTTTGGGGAGCAACTGACCCTGCTCTTGCGCAGAAATGAGGCCCTGCAAAGTGCAGGCAGTCCGAGAATCCGAATAGGGCAATCGTTCATTCAAACTACCACTGTTCATTTTTCAAAAACTGTTGTAACATGTTGTAACATGTTGTAACTATCTTCTGATTGATTTCGCTACCACAGAATCTGACGTAATTTGTTACAGTGTTGGAGCCACCTCCAAATTGACTTTCACATACGCTTTCGATCCTGATAGAGCATTCGTGGGGTATCACGATACAAAATGTAATCCCTTCCCCCAAATATCATCAAATATCTAGCTATACTTACCGAAAAGCTTGGGTTTGGATAGGATTACTGTACATTTTTATTGGCCAAAGATGCGAACTATGGAGACCAGCCGGGCTGCACCCGGGCTGCCCCAAAGTCTCCAGGCTGCCAGGCATCGATAAAGGCATCAGTGATACTGGCTGCACCAGTATAGCGGGGCCTGACAAACAAGTTCCATATGTCCTTGCCCAGTGGTTGTCAATCCAGATTTCAAGCCTTCAAATATTGAGGAAAGTGACAAAAATGTGGGGGTTTCCGAAATATGGGCTTCGGAAACCCCTAATATTTCATAATGCTTCCCTCCACATGTTTCCCCATTTTTTCTGATTGATGATATTGATGCGATCATCTCTTGCTGGTATAATTCCCATGATCCATATCCTTTGGTTCGAAATCTAATATGCTAAAGTTGATGCTTACTTCCATCGTTTTGAAACTTCCCATAATCAAACTGATAAGACATTAGTATTATAGTATGATTATTTCTGACTGAGATATGATATAAACAAAAAAAACATATTTGTCTGAAGAATTGTGATGAATGTGATGAATTACTGCGCCTTTTGGAACTCTTCCGCATCAAATACAGCACACTCCCAGCGATCCCAAGACGAAAAGTGCGCACCCGCTGTAGCCCGGTGTGTCTGGCATGGACATGGCGCGCTGCCTTTCGCCCTGGGCGAAGTGACGCTGTGCAGAAATGGCAACCCCTTAAATAAAAGAAGGATATAAAATCCTATTGAAATATATTCTTTTTCAGTACTTGGGGGTGGGTCAAAACCTATTATTATCAATTCTAATGGGATGAACATCCATAAATTCCAGCTATGACTTGGGCTTCACTAGGTGCCAGGGTCCAAACCTCCAGATCTTGTGGCGTCCAGCCTGTGAGGCGCCTGGCAAGGCCGGCGAAAAAACATAGGGTCAATGGTAGAACCCAACTTCAAATTATATGGATACAAATATATTTTATATAATAAATATATATATATTCTATAGTATCATTATTTACTATTGTTATCATTATATATATATGTATAATATGTATATATATATATATATACATACACATAATCATGTATAATATAGATAATATAGATGAATACAATACTCGAAACGACCAACAACGGACCCCCAGGGCTGAGTTTTGACCCCCCGAATTTGTCACAACATCGGAAACAGGCCAGGCAGACGGCTGCCATAGACCGTCCTGACGACCCAGGAATTCTGTTTGGAATACTAATCCGACATAATCCGACTAATCCTAAGGATTTATCTGGAGGAATGGAGGGAAAACACGGTAATATCTCGGAATTGATATATCTTCCGGATTTCTTGGATCAACCTGAGTACTGCTTCAACACCGGTCTCAACCGACGCCTCCGCCAAACGCTGAACCCGCGGTTTGCGCGCGGGACGCGACGCTGGGGCGCTGCGACGGCCATGGAGCAAGGGCGCACCACACCTGATTTGGACCCCCAAACCTGGAACCGTTGGTTTCCCCCATTTTTAGAAAACAATGTGCTGTTTTATGTGCCATGTAAAGCAACAGTTTGGCAGCATATTCTGTTTTTTTCAGATGACGCTTTCGGCCTTACATCGATTTCCTCTACATATTCACATCATCTACTCTAAACCAAAGTAATAAACCCGTTTTACTGTGCCAGTGACCAAGAAAAGATGCCCAAGATTTTTGTTGAACACCTTCTTAATCTGAAGCTATATATACCTTTACCCTCCCTTACCCAATTGCTTAGCTTCTCACGCCAAAAGACCAGCAAAGGCAGCAGCTGAGACACGTGCATGACCTACAGCTTGGGACGATGTGGGATGACGGAGTCTGTAATGAAATGGAGGAGTTAGGCAACTAAGCATGGGGATGATCATGGGGGTGACAATGGAGATATAATGGGATGCATTCCCAGACTTGAATGATGCGGAAATTTGCAAGGAAATATCCATGTTTTACGGGAGAAAACATGCTTCCTGTTTGGATCTTCCTTCAACTCATTCCAAAGATTTACGCCTGAACCTGGATCCAATTCTCTGGCGACCTGCGATGGGTTGAATTTAAACTGACTTTTTAAGACATCATTTTTTGAGTTTCAGGTATGACGTGAGGTGTCCCCATATCAATGCTCCAACCTCCTCACTTCGAGTGATCCCACATAGACATTAGAGCATTCTCAAACTATCGGATGTCCTCCATGCTGAAGTAGAGATCTTGAGGCATCCAAAGATCGAGTCTGTTCTAAGTTCTGGACCGGAAATGGAATTCTCCAATATTAAGGTCATCCCACAATGGTAAGTCCATGTAAGTCCCTCATTACCATCCGCCAATCAATGGCTTAAGAGGATAATGACCATGGATTAGATAAGCCATTGATTAGATAATGGTTGGATAATGGCTATTAGTCTAATCCAGCTAACTTGACCATAGATGACTAATCCAACCAATGCATAGGTCTCACTGGGCCTCCAGAGGCAGAGGCAGTGAGCGCGGGTCCTGTCAAGTGTGACGCGAGGAGTTGGGAAGGTCTGAAAATAAAGATTTTTATAATGATTTTAGCACTATGTTCAAACATTGGAATTGAATTTCAAAGCAATATACCCCCATGTTCAACATACCATACTATACTATACCCTCCCAAAGCGGCAATTTGAATTGAAATTGACGATTGGGCATTGGTTTTTGGATGTTTTTGGCGTATTTGGGGTCGCCTATTTCCAAACAAAGCCAGTTACCATTACATGGACACCTGCTAAAGTTGAAACACATTCACTTGCAGCGAAATACTCAGAAGTAGAAGTCAAGTTAAGAATCTCTATCACCATCCGAAATAAAATGGGGATAGATCAGAACCTTCAATCCCATATTTCAAATGGATGACAACAGAAAGGGAAAAACGTTACATAGTATTGCCATTCACCAAGAAACCATCGTTCCCCAAAAAATATATGTTTATTATCGTGTTGTTATATCCCAATATACAAATTATAATAATAGTAATAATAACTATTATTCATAAATAATAATTAATAATAATAACAATAATAATAATAGTAATAATAATAATATATTTATATGTCTGTATATATATAAATAATATATGGTAATATGGTGGTTTCCTAAACTGCGGGGTGAAACCCATGGTGGAGATCCTCTGATCCCACCTCGAAGCTGTGTTCCCCTCAGGCTCGACGGCCTGCCATGGACTCCCCAGGTGTTCTTGGGCCCATCAGAATACACACCTTTGGGATCTGGAAAAGCAGTAAATTCATGTAAATTCTAAGTTCTAAGATGTTCTAAGTCACTACTCCAGACATTTTCATCTGCCTGTTCAGTCATCTAGAAAAAAAGATTATAAAATTCAACGCCTCAAGGACGTGGCTGTGGGCTCCCGCTGAGCCACAAACCTCAATGATGAGCCGCTCAGTGGCCGGCAAGAAACCGATGGAATTTTACCATCAAAGATCCGTGGTAAAGGGAAAACCGCAATTTGTTTTATGATCTTTGCAGGTTGTTTTTCCTGTAAATGGATTGCTTGAAGGGAAACTCCAAAGAAACTGGTATCTTTTGACCATCAAATCATATAAAGGTGCTAAATTTTAAACTGTAAATTTTCCATCCAATTCGAGGTTTCTCACGGGTTATGGACATGGCACACTGGAGTCATTGGGGATCACCATGAATACTTATCAACATGTTTGTTCTCATAAACCAAAAAAAACAGACCAAAATCATTGAATTCTTGAACAGTTTGAACATCTGGGACAATATGGCGATTATATGGCGATCTATTACAAATCCATACAAATCCCAACGGTGCTTTCCCGCTCAGGCGCTCACGCATGGCCCACGCAGGCCGAGGCTGCAGCCTCAGAATTTCAGTGTCTCCGAGATTTCACCAAGAAACATGGTTCTCAGATGGAGGAAACATGAGGAAACTACGGCATTTTTACATATTTTTACTGGATTCAGCCGATTCAGCCAAGTCAGCCAAGAAATATATGAAGTTTTTTTTATGGATTGGTTTAAGGCAAAATGTTTCAAGGATTCCTGCAGATTTTCCCTTCAATGAACTGGGACAGCAAGGATCGTTACACAAGAAATATACGGATTTTGACCGGTGACCAGTGCAATTGGGGCTTCAGCAATCAAACATTGTCAAATAGAGTATCCATTGTTTTTACCAGTAGCCCCAAATAACAATATGGTAAATTGAAAAAAACAAAATGGGAATTATATATTATATACATGTGGATTGAACCAGCCAAGAAGGCGAGTTTAAACATGAAACATCTGGATGTTTGCCAATCTGTCAAAACGAGAAAATGGAATGTAACCACAAACAATGTTTAACATGAAACGGGAAACCTCTTGCCACCCTCAGGGTGCTTTCAACCAACAAAATGGCAATGTCAAACCAAGAGGGGGATTGCAACCATCAAACATGCAAAATGCTAAGCAACAGTATCACAATTTTAACCAACATTGAAGGATTGGGATCTAAGGAGTCAACGTTTGGGTCACCAACCATCACCAATAAACCAGGAAGATTGGGGCCCCCGGACCAAGCCCGCAGCAATGAGCCGCTCCCTCGGCGGCTTCGCCTGTCGTAGATTGTCCTATTTTCCACCCGACTTCCGTGGCGAGTTTGGATTCAATTGGTACCATCCCACTTTGTGGTTATTGATCCACAAAATTGCTCATGTCTAGTACCATAGAAATTTTGCCCCCTGCCACAGGAGCCATGGAAGAGGTGCCTGCGCCATGGTTGCTGGGAGATGCCCGCACTGTTCCAAGCTGAAAACGAAACAACGGCCGCGAGGATGCGGATTTTTCAGGGGCAGCTGGGGGTCACAACAGGGGGCAACAACTGCCATAAACCATTTTTTTTGTTTGCTTTAATGTGCAAATGAGCTGTGTCCAAAAGGTCCTGTTCTTCTGAAGGCGATAAGGATATGCTTACGCGTCCGCTTGCGCCTTGCTTACGCCACCACAGTTTTGGCTTACGCGAAGGATTTTGTTGAATTTGCACTTACGCGGAGCTTACGCTTACAGGTTTTTGCACCCCACCACAGCGCCAGCTTACGCGCAGCAATTTTTACAAGCAGAATGCCATGGTCTTGGAATCTCCGTCAGGCATCAGATGCGGTGGAAGTAGATGAAGATGAGGAAGTCCAGAAGGAGGGTCGCATCAGCCATAGAAGGACAATGTCGTTGCAAAAGGTCAGACATTGTTTGCGCAATTTCCCGTTGGCGGCGCGGCATTACTTCAGAGAAGCCTCTTTCTTTGGGAGGCATTGTGGACTCAGAAAAGGAATGTGGGCTTACGCGGACCTTACGCGCGGCTTACGCGGAGCTTACGCGGATTTCCGGGGTCAACCTCTGTCCAATTTTAACTTATAATAAGAATCGTAATTATGTGGTGGGCACTCCGGCTCTTTGGCCATGATTGATCAAGAAAATGGCTCGAGACGCCACGATGTTTCAAAAAAGGTAGTCCAACATGTATGCATGGATTTCACATAGCTGCAAATTGAAAAAAGTCTTGTTGGAACTCTGCAAGTATGACCTTACGCCAGGAGCTTACGCACTGAAATGCTTCACAAAAGCTTACGCGGGCTTACGCCCACCACATTTTGGCTTACGCCAGAGGCACTTACTGCCACCCTCTTACTAAAGATGAATAGGGGGGTTTTGGACGTGGCTCAAATGTGGGTCACCGTTGGGCACCCTGATATTAAAAGGCTTAATACGAACTGTTGTCAGAATGTGTGGAGTGCTCATAAGCAAGTTTGGGGAATGAACCAGCCAATTTGGGGTGGGCCAAATGGAGGCAAATGATTTTGAGCATTTTGGGCTTCATGTGGGTCTGGGTCAAAACCAATATCCTCTAGACTCCAATATACGGGTAGCTAATATGGGTCTGGGTCTGGGTCAAAACCAAAACCTGGGTCAAGATCTCCCAAAATTTGGGTTTCTCACGGTTTGTCTAAAAATAATGAGATATGATATAGTAAGGTTGTCATCATTTTACCCAGTAAATTCACCATTTTTCGGGTATCCCCCATTTTCAGACAAAATCATATTAGGCTGCGAATGGCCTGAAATTGGGTAGCTTTCAAGAAGGCTGTGAATTTTCCTGTGTCCTGACCCATGGTCAACAAATCCACAGGTCCGACCCTGAGCAGGAGCCGTCTGCTGTGCAGACCTTTTTGTTGAAACACTACTTCTCAACGTTGACGTCGATGCTAAGAAAACCCTTTCCAGGTCCAAAGGCTCCAGACTTGCGGCGTTCTGAAAGACTCAAAACAATTGGCTCAAAACAGCACGTGCTTTTTCCGATCTGCAAATGGGCGGAGTTTCAGGGCTTTACTCTTTGTTGCACAGGACCGAATCTGAAATCATCCGACCATGTTCATGATGTCATGTTCTAAGTCCACACAAACGTCAAGTATCACTTGGAGCCTGCGGAAATTCGAAGCACGAACACTAGCTAGAAGGCTCACAACGCTGGCCAGGGGCAGTTGACTAGCTTCCATTTCTGAGGATTGGTAGGGCAAGGACCAATCATAATCACCAATGACTTGGTTTTGGGAGAGGGGCCGGTACCAGCTACCCTTTACCGTCAACCATCATTGACTGAACATAAACGTTGTTTCAACTGGGGTACGCCTCTGTTGATGAACCAACCAGGAAGACCAGGATAGCCATACTGACTGCACCCGCAAGTTGTGAGCTGATTCCCCACATCAACTGAGCAGCCACCCTGTGGCGCTCAGCAGAGTCCCAATTGGGAAGTGGTCCCAGTGCTTTCAACAGCTTGGATGGCGAATATCCTAAGAATTATCAGGTTGCCCTCTTTGGGCAAATGATATCAAATATATTCAAATATGATCTCAAATGATCTCATAAATATGATGTTGTGAGTAGCTCAATTTCCTCCCCTCCCCTTGAGGTTTTCCCTGACCGAACTCTGGGCCAAATCCTCATAGTTTCTCCGAATTTCCAGCCTGAACTATGGGCGTTTCAACTCACAACCGAGGATGCAAACGGCCTGAGGCATGGCAGGGGAATAATATATCCCAAGTATGCCGTGGAAATTGGATGAATTTGGCCAGTTTTGCATGGAGGAACATAGCTGTCTAATGCCTTTGTTCATGGAAATGTGATGAAATTTGGCCATTTTTGATGGAGGAACATAGTTTTATCCATTATAAATTATATAAATGGTATGTTTTTCCAAACCGATTTCGATGGAGGAATCTCTTTGCTATCTATGGAATGGGATGAGTTTTACCCTATTGGATGTTCATGGAGAAATGATTGCAAATCATGGCACAGTCATGGTACAGTCAATACTTGCTGTAGAAAAGGGTTTTAATCTTCAAGCACCACGAACCTCGGGACCTGTGAACGAGAATGGAACGCCCCACCGTACCCCGTACATCAGAAGCTTCCCACACAACGGGAGAATCTTGCAGCATCTTGCAGCCAAGATTACCCTGACTACTTTCTCGATGCTCTTTTGGAGAAAAAACACGCTAACTCCAAAAATTACAGGGTCCGCCTCTATCATTGTACCCTCTGGTAATCAGCTCGATGGTTTGGAACATCCACCATTTCGATGAATTTCCCAGCTATAAACCTCCGTTTCTAATGGATGTTCATGGATGTTCCCATATGTTCCTGTGATTTTCCCATAAAAACCTCAGTTTCTCACTAGGGAAATCCCTCGCCTGCTCGGCTTCCAGATCCTCGTTCGGTGCCTGCTTGACAGATCCTGGAGGAGACCTGCATGGCCATTGGAAGATGGAAAAACTTGAGGGGAAAAAGTAGGAAATTTGTCCCATTTTCATGGACAAGAATGGTTGTTTGGAGATCATGAGATTGAGAAAACGGGTTGATTTTCAGCCATGTTGCAAGGATTGTTGATGATTCTTTATGATTGGTAGCTATTTTTATGAGGGAATACGTGCTTATACATAGTGGTAAATAGTGGTAAGTGATTGCACACATGTACTGCACTGATAAGTAGTGGTATGATAGATAAATATGGAATGGTTCATCACCGTTTTCAAATAATGGTAGACACTTGTAAGGATGTTAAACCATGGCAAGGCATCGTAAAAATAATGGTAATCATTGGATGCCAAGGTATTTATTTCTGTTTCACTTGTTTGGCTGTGTCTGAAAACGGTGGGAACACATCCCCAAAGAGAAAAAGAACAAGGTTTAGAAATTTTAGAACATGTTGAAACTATTACTATGAATCATGATTACTATAACTATGAATTATCAATATAACTATCATATACTATCAACTCCACCATGATCTGCCATGGCTGGGAATATGGAGGGCGCTCCAATGCTCCACGGCTCCGTTTCCAGGCCACCGCGCTCAAGGACCAGGGCCAGCCTATCGCCCTCCATCACCTCCACCTGCTCAACTGTTCTAATGTTGGTAAAGCCATAGGATCCACCGATCCACCATCCCCAAATGTACCATAAATGAGTGGTAACATGTGGTAACCATCAAAATGATGGGAGGCTTACAGTATGACATTGGCATTGGCTTGGGACCATCTACACGATGCACTTAGATATATAGCTACCCCAAAATAGAGAGAAACGTTGGAAACCTGGAAATACGATTTGTCAAAAATGCTAAACCATCCCTGGAAACACTGGTCTATTTTAGGGATTATTGTATAAATAGTGTATCAGTGTATCATCATTATCCTTTGTCGGTATCAGGCGGCGTCTCCAGCGTGTGAATCCTGTATTGGTCTTGGTCGCTGGAGCCGGAAACCTCAACCCAGTCAAACGTGGTTGGGACATCCAATCGCCATGGAGGTTTATAAGAAAAAAAACATGGAACTATTCCTGGATAATTTTCCAGCATAATGCCTGGATTTGGTTGCATGACATCATCTTTCACAATATCACACCCACATTCAGACTCTTTGCTCCCGAAGAATCATCACCCTGACGGTGGAAAATCCTGCAGCCAATGTTCAAACCATGTTCCTCAATTTCGCACTCAAGTGAAATGAACTTAGTAAAAACAAAAAACTTCTGGACAACGCACTAGAAAAGGACATCAAAATAAGAACATCAATGGCCATTTGTATCATTTTGTATCCATGTGTCATGATTTATCCACTAACCCAAACCCAGCTTTACCTTCTCGTGGCGCGCATTGAAACGCCACCTGGCCCATTAAGATCATCTCTGGAGACATCCCAGACATCCCAGAGTCTGGGTCAGCAGAATTTCACCAGACTTTGGAACACAAATCTTCCAAATCACCAGCATTTTCGTATCTGTGGACTCTCCAAGTTTTTTGAGGATCCAAGTGATGTGAGGCCAGGCTGCCGCGGCTTCGGCTCGCCTGGTTTCGCCCTTGCGTCGGATGTGCACTCCCAAGTTGCCCAGACCAGATACGTGTGCCAGACTGCTGCTCCTCGGCTGGTGAAGGGGGATCTCAGATGTTCCAGATAATGATGATGATGATGATGATGATGAGCAGGATGAGCAGGATGAGGAGGATAACTATTATACTGATGAATAATGAGGATAATGAGGATAATGATGAATAATAAGGATAATGAGGATAATGATGATGAGGATAATGAGGATAACGATGATGAGGATAAAGAGGATGAGGAGGGTGAGGATGAGGAGGATGATGAGGAGGAGGAGGACAACGAGGATGATGATGATGATGATGATGATGAGGAGGAGGAGGAGGATGCGAATGAAGCCTTCAAAACCTCAGAAGGTTTTCCCCCCCCTTTTTTCACGTTTGAGATTTTTGTGCACATGTTCATTGTTGAAGTTTCCATGGCATGCATACACGTTTGCAGCATTTTGGGCTGCCAATCCCGGAAAGAGTCCCGAAACAGGACGAAAGCTTGGACAAGTAGTTTAGGTCAGTTCCAGAAAAAAGCTGCGTTGTGCTTTGACCTGTTTGAGCGACCTCGTTCAAAGTTTGTATGAAAAAACTCAGGTCCCAACTCAACGGTCTCCTGAAAGCGGGCCGGCTTTGCGAGGCAGGAAAGTTGCACAGCAACATGAAACATGTACAACGTTGCAAAGAATAGAAAGTCAAATCCTAGCATGTGTACATGTGATATGTACATAAAAACGTAGACTGTCTGTTTAACATCCAATATGTGTATTAATCTTTGTACACAATCATTACATTATATGTATGTAAATGTATATGTATGTACAATATGTACATATATATATATTCAATTTTACATGTGACCTGTTTATCATACCATCTATTAAATCATTTTTCATGTACAGTAAATGATAGGACATTGTTTGGAATAGTTGATATAGGGTTCATTGAAAGTAGATGTTTGTACGGATGGCACATTCAAAGGAAAAATGATGATAAGCCATTCAATTTGGGGGTTAACCTATTTTCAGACCCATATGATATTGTTTATATAGTTAATATCATATGATATCATCAATATCAACTATCGTGATGCACATATCAATGACACATGACTTGTTAATTTAGATAAGCTAGATCATCTATTTTACATCTCTAACATGAGTTTGTCTCGAAAATGTGAGATCCCTTCAAAACATTGCCATTTGGAGGTTTTCGAAAATGGTGGATCCCCAAAACCATGGGATGATTTGGGGTACCCTTTTTTTACGAAAGCCCCATTTAAGAACAGCGACACATGTCTAAGTTGCTTAGTGAAGCCCATTAACTATAGTTGAACTATAGTTATATACCTATAGTTATAAGTATCATTCAAACATTCAGTCACACCATATGAAACAAGTATCATACAGTATATATAACTATAGTTATATATATATACCATATAGTTATATACCATACAACCCAACCAGTTCTTGGAGAAACTGGGCACCAACAGTTCTTCGCTCTCCTGCGAATCGTCCCAATAGTCCAAGGCTAGGGTGGCCATATCCACCGTGCCCTGCGTGCCCTGTGCCATTCGCATGGCATGGTGGTCGCATGGTGGGGAAATCATGGGAAAAACATGGGAAGATATGTGGAAGCTCTGGGGGAAAACTACAATTGTCCCATGATTTTCCCCCAGTTTCCCATGATTTTCCAACATCCAACATATGAATTGAACTGCAATTTATGTTGGATGTTGGCGAAGGATGGTAAAATTATGTTGGCAAAACTATATGGAAAACATTGCCAACATGCACCAACGAGCAAAATAATGATGATGCCATGGAAAAATCAGAGCATCAAGGATATTCACAAACAATGAGCAAAGATACAAGCGCTGTATTTCATCCAGCTTCAATGAGATTTTTTCACGGAAAAAAAACAAACCAACCATGTTTTTTGTGCCTACATCCACAGATTCCACATGGCCGCAGGGGACTGCGATCACTCCGGTGATGTCATCTCCACAGCTATCCATGGCCGCCTGAGTAGGTCCTGGAACATCAGGCACATCCATCTGCATGAAATCCCGGCCTGGCCGGTGACGGACCCTTTCTGGCTGCATCAGCACCGTCAGCACCACAAATTGAATCAGTTTTAAATAGTTTTAATAGATTTTAATAGTAATTGACTATGGTTGATTATTGATTATTGACTATGGTTTAATAGTAGTTGATGGTTAAATAGATTATTAACATAAAATGATCCGATATGATGGTCCCAGCCCAAAAAGGCTGGTCCAAAAATGAGGTATCTCCGCATTTCTTGCTTTGCCGCTAATGAAGACCCTCATTTCTTGTGGATCTCGATGCATCTCTTCTTGTGTCCCCACTGGATTGGACCTAGCACAAAAAATCATTTCTTGATCGCATGTGAATCCCCAGTCAAATCTATCTATTATCACATCCCTAGTCATCTTAATCCCCAACAAACTTGGCACCAGGCCTGGCATCTATCAGTTGATTGGTGGTGCCACTGCCAATCCCACCGTCAAGGCACTGATGAATCGAGAAATGGACGTCGGTTTGCCCGGAGTGGGGACCTCGAAGCTCACCTGCTTTACGTGCCGGCTTGGAGTTCAATTTTTTTTAATGAGGTACTAGTATAACAACATGGTACTGCGGTAATAACCCCATCCCAAGGTTTGGGGGTTGCAACTGGAATCCCTATGGTTTTCTTTTGGACGGTGAGATGCTGGAACCTCTCCCAATCGTTGGGGCCTTCTTGTTGTGCAGCTCAATGCGACCCATCACCAGCCTGTGGCCATCTGTGGCCCCACAGGCTGCCATGAAATCATGGGAAAGTCATGAGACAACCCCAAATGCGACCGTGTACTGAAACAAGACCTAGGACCTAAGACATCCCAAGACCTCAGGTGATGTTAAGGTATCTGTTAAGGTTGTGAACTTAAGCACATTTGATTGTTGACTCCGACTGTTCCGCTACGGAATCAGTGACGAGGTGATGATCTGGTCGAAGGCATTGGCCTGCAAACACGATCACCTGGCGGCCAGTCACATGTTGAAGCTTCGAAAAAACCACCCTTCCAGAGACATGCAACTGTATCGGTTTTTGTCAACTTCAGATCATGATTCCTGATGGACAGAACGTGTCCTTAGTGTCCTTTCTATTCTTGAAGAGAAAACACAAGAAATGGCCAAGCATCATGTCCAAACCTGTCCCGAAATCACCCCACTTGGCAATGATATTCTTGATCATCTTCCAAACGACAAAGAACCCAACTCGGCAGGAGACTTTGAAATGCAAACCAAAAGGCAGCTACATAGGCGAAATCAATGAGAAGGGCTATTTTTAACGGCCAAGGGCAGTAGCTAAAGACTTGAAAATCCCCCAGTTTGAAGCTTCCACGAATTGATGTTGCAATCCCCCTCAGTGGAGATCACAATCAGCTTCAGCTGCTTAATTTGATCTGGTTGAGGAGAAGTTGTCCTGGATTTGGCTTCAGTACCAACGATTTCCATGATTTCCTCTATATGAGGGTCCAAAAAAGAATGTCCAAAACCGCATATCCCATATGACTTTGTCACTCCAAACTTGGACAGTGGCAACTTTCGGGAAAACTGGGATGGTAAGGCACGACATAAAATTTGGTTGTACTCCATTTCTAGACAAACCATTATCATGTTGCTGGTTTATATCATATCCCGTTGCTTTGTTTTGTACAATCTCTCTGGTCATTTAACAGTTTGCTATGGAAATTGCAATGTTTCATAGGTCAATCATCGAACTAACTGGGCCGTCTATACCATAGCAAATCATAGCAGACTGCAACAAATTACTGGACGGGAGGTTACTATTCCGATATTATCCCACTATTATCCCATTATTATTATCCCATTATCCCCATATAGCCATTACGTAGCCATGTCTGTTGGTACTAAATCCCTATGAAAATTATGAAAATTACCATTAAATATAAATCCCATCAAATCCCCATGAAATCACCATTGAATCACCATCAAATCACCATTCAACCACCATTTCTCCCCTGGCACCACCTCCCTTGCCTGGTGAAGAGTCACTCTCCAGGGAGGTGGAGGATAAGGCCGCGGTGGTGCGCAGGTCCTCGAGGGAGTTCCCTTGCCATCTGGTGATTTCATGGGGATTTCCCTGGGGATTTTCATAGGTTTACCATCTGGTTATTCAACATAGCCATGGAAAATCACCATTTTTAATAGGCAAACCATCTATAAATGGGCCATTTACCATGGCTATGTTAAATAACCATAGGGTAAATGGGATGTTTTCATGGGATTTTCATCGAAAGTCAATGGTGATTTATTGGTGATTTCATGGGATTGAGCGGGGATTCAATGGTGATGTTCATAGGGATTTGGCATGATTAAACCAACCTGGGGATGTGGCCATGGGAGTTACCATCTGGTCTCATTTGTTACTATGGCCCATGGCTATGGTATAGATGGCCCAATTAGTTCGATATTTGTACCGATCAAAAATCTGATTTTCCATAGCACCCATAGCACACTGTTAAACTAGGTCACGCCGCCGTTAGCGGCGCTGGACGTTTTGGCAGCTGGCTTGCAGCAATCTCTGTCTCAGTGAAACAGAGCTGGCATGGCTGCCCACACATCTCCTTTACAGTTGCGGCGCCACATCCAGCTGTAAATCCAATCCCACAACGCAGGATTCACCTTTTTGCTGGTTGCATCCTTTGCTGTGATCTCGGAAGGAACATACTTTTTCAAATCCTGCCATGCTCTGTCCAAGGTTTGAGTGCCAGCGATTCAAACCCACGTAGCAGCAACGTAGCATCCACGTGGTGTGCAAGTGCAAATGAACGTTAACATCCCACCCCACCCCAACCCATGCCCCACGTAGCAGCAACGCAGCATCCACGTGGTGTGCAAGTGCAAATGAACGTTAACATCCCACCCCACCCCAACCCATGCCCCACGTAGCAGCAACGTAGCATCCACGTGGTGTGCAAGTGCAAATGAACGTTAACATCCCACCCCACCCCAACCCATGCCCCACGTAGCAGCAACGTAGCATCCACGTGGTGTGCACGTGCAAATGAACGTTAACATCCCACCCCACTCCAACCCATGCCCCACGTAGCAGCAACGTAGCATCCACGTGGTGTGCACGTGCAAATGAACGTTAACATCCCACCCCACCCCCCATCCCACCCCTGGCCGTATATGCTGAAAAGTAGTAAACTCCTCTGATATGTTAAAAAGTAGTAAATTCCTCAGTGCCGCTAACGGCGGCGTGAGCTTAAACTACCAAAGGGATCCAAAGGGTACCCATTGGGGGTGGTGTTGTTGGAGGGGAAAAAAACACGTCCGCAAAATATGGAAGCTTGGTTTGTCAAACTGTAGTTTATCCCACATGAATTGAAATGTTGAAGGCTATCGAAACAACATGATCAACATGGAGAGGTTGTCACTATATTGGTCTAGATGCGTAGATTTCATATCGCCGCATACTGCAAAAGAAATACTCAACATGCCTTGACATAATATCTGCAACATGCAAAGAAAATGTTGGCAACGGCCAAACTCAAGAGGACTCTATGTGAACCAAGCACCACAACTGGGGAGAGAACCATGTTTTGAGAATAAGCATGGTGAGGTGTACCCAACAGCATCACCCCACGAGCAGCACAGTTTCCTGACCAAACGCAAAGTTTGAGTGACTTGTGCTACTGTCCTAGATATCCGGAAAAAACAAACCCCAACTTCTTGAGTCATCTAGATTCATCTAGATCTGAAATGAATTGGACAGGATACCATCTCAAAGTTGCCCCAAGAAATGGGATGTCTCAGCCGCAGCCCAGGCTCCATCGTGGTGATGCGAGGGAAATCCATGTCTTGTGCATAGGTCGCGTCACTGACCAATTTCAACTCCAGCAGTGGTCGCTTGACCTGAAACTGAATACACTGAATCACCAATTCTATCCAATTCTGGGATCCGCCAATGGCAATGCAAACTGCAACAGGACCATCCCTTAATTGCCGTAGCACGGCTGCGGGTGATCAGTATCCCACTGGAACTCGAAATCTTGCTGACGGTCACGTCCATAATTGTCTATACTATATACATATCTGGTATCAAAACCAGAATTTAAGTTATTATACCCGAAAACTTGACAGCAATGGGTATGTCTGAAAAGTGGCGGCAACAGGTTTCCATGAAAATCCAGTGAAGTTGTATCATCTTTTATCCTGATGTTTCCCATTGAAATGAGATTGATATCCATAGTTTATCCATAGTTTATCCATGGTTTATCCATAGTTTATCCATAGTTTATCCATGGTTTATCCATGGTTTATCCATAGTTTATCCATAGTTTATCCATGGTTTCCCAATGGTATTTCATAATGAATGCTATAAAAAAGTGGGCCATTTTTGGATATGCCAGCCTCGCTTTGCAGCGGTAAGGCTTGGCCTGCTTGACCTGCTTGAGCTGCTTGACCTGAGCTATTGATGGCCCAGTCGAAATGGTGGATTTACCCCATGAAAAAATGGTGATTTTCCATAGCTATGTAAAAGTTTACCAGAGGCTATCTTATATTATATCTGGTATATAAGATATATATATATACTAGGTACAATATAATCACTAGTATATTTGTATATTATACGAAACTCATCAAAATAGTCATGGTGATTATTATCATCGTTACTATTGCAAAGCATTGCAAATCATTGCTAGCACATTGCTATTACAGCTATCATCAGCATCATCATCATCATCATCATCATCCTCACGCATATCCACAAGATTCCAGAAACAGAGTCCTACAAGTTGCGTGAGTCACTTCCCAGCTTTTGTCCACGCTTCCATAATCGCTGCGTGCCACCTGAGACTTCTCCGTCTGCCAAGGTCCGTAAACGCTTATCCTCCAGCGGCAGCTTTGGAGCAGTTGGATTTCTCCAGACCATTTGGGAAGACCACTTTGTTCAACATATATTGAACTAGAGTAGGGGGGAACGGAACTAATTGGTATATCCAACGCTTATTCTTGAAGTATCCCCAAATGGTGGGGGGTTAAAATGTTAAAACCTAATTTGTCCTTGTTAAAAGATAAACTTATATAAGTATACCCCATGTTTGGATGCCCACATGGTGGGCTGGATATTTTCATGTTTTCATTGGTTTGATGGGATACCGGTGTTACTTCCACTGTGTTCGATCGAGGAAATTTGCTGGAGCTGTGTGTGTTTTTGTTCCTTGGTGTCCTTTCCGAAGAAGCAACGTTCCCTTCAAACGAAACGTTGAAGGAAGCAAAAATGTAACCATACCCGGCATGGATCTCAACATTACCCGCTCACCCTCGGAAATCCGCACCAGATTTTCACCGTTTCTGCATGAATCTCATCAGCAACTCACCACAACACCGTGCAGAACCAGTTTTTGAAGGCTAGAGGGCAAAACCACAGACTCCAAGTTGTATCCAAATGATTCTGGAAGGCTCAAGCTTTGAAGATTGCTTAGCAAGTTCACATACTCCAGACCTTGGCTGGATGCCTCACCAAACTGCAGGCACTGGAGGCTGCTTGGCAACTGCACACAGCGGAGGCTTTGGTTGGACCCATCACCCAAACGCAGGTCTAGGAGGCCGCTTGGCCAAATCACACGGTCCAGGCAGTGGTTGAAGGTGGGGCCCAAAGTCAAACTTCGCAAATCGGAAGGTAAGGATACCCCTTCAAGGCTCATATTGCACGTCAAGTTTCCATTCAGTCTCTGATTAAATTGAATTCCAAAGGTCAACATTTCAAGGCATGCTGGAATGGCCACGCGGTCCAAGGGCTGGTTGAAATTGTCAGGGCTTCTGAGGCTGCTCGGCAAGGCCACACCCTCCAGCTTCAATGCTTCTTGGCAGCATCAGGCCGACCAAGCCCTGATTGAACTGCTGGCCCAAAGTCAGGCTTCGAAGATTGCTTCTGGCGGAAGCAAGCACCAAAAGTCAAGTTCCCAAGGTTTTGTGGCAAAATCACACGGTCCAAAGGTTGATTGAAATGATCACCAAATGTGAGGCTTCGAAGATGGGTTGGCAAACACAACATGTGCTGATTGAAGTGCGCGCCAAGCGTCAAACTTTGGAGGCTGCTTGGGCAACGTCACTCCATCCAGGCTCTGATTGAAATTAGCCCCAAAGATCAAACTTTCGAGGGTGCTTGGCAAGGTCACGTGCTCCAAGGGCTGGCTAAACCGATCTCCAAAGGCTAGGTTTCGAAGATTGCCTGGCAACGTTACGCCCTCCAGGCCCTGGTTGAACTGCTCGCCAAAAACCAAATTTATCCAAATTTTGAATGCTGCTTGGCAAGGTCACAACCACCAAGCCCTGATTGAATTGCTCAACAAATATCCAGCTTCTGAGGCTGCCCGGCAACGTCACCCCAAACAGAATCTGATGTTGCAACATCCTGTCAAGCCGCAACGGTTCAGTCCCCTTATGGAGGACAAGCTGTGATCCTCTCTCAAAGGCGATGAAGCTGAAGACCAAGACAAAGTGAGCCCGTCTGAAAGCATAGAGAAGGGCCAAGGGCATGTCAGGACAGCAGCTGCTAGCAAGGACAAGAAAACTAATCCTTGCCAGCAGCTGCTGTCCTTCTCTATGCTTTCAGACTGGCTCACTTATGGCAATTTTATCTATGGACAAAATGGAAGGTTCCAGCTCCCAAATGCTGCAACTGGCACGCAAAATGCTCAACGTCAATCCTTCGCCTGTCAAGCACAGCACCTGAAGATTGATCCTTTCAGCAGGTGCTTTAGGTGATTGGCCCACCTTCAGCAGAAGCCGAAGATGATTCACCCAGCCCTCGGCCAGTTCCCTGCAAGCCATGGCCGACGTGCACGCGACCCGGTCACACGTCGCTTTCATGGCGTTGCAATCAAATGTGCACTCGGGGGATCATAGATGTCACATCCCCAACTTTTTGGCCCTCTAATGGATGCCCGCTGCACTGAGTCAACGAAGAATGATTACAGTAGCAATTGGGCTACTTAGCCAAGATATGTTCATGTTGACATTGCAATCAAGAGTCAAGATGAACCCTTCCCAAATGAAGCACAGGGGGCTGTTGACTTGTGTAGTCACCGCTCAGCCGCGATGTGTTTTGTAGGTGTTGTTCACAAGTTGGGACTTCCCTAGTCCACCCTATCAATCCTAACATCATAAAATGTTCATAGTTGTTCTAATCAAAGATAGAATAAACTAATTATATATGGTTTTTTTTAGCATATACAGTATATGGCTTCATATATATATATTGTATATAGAGAGATCGATGGATCCCATCAATTCCATCGATCCTTAAATCCATCGCTTCCGCCACCTGGTCCGACTCCAGGGCGGTCTCCGCAGGTCTCTTGGTGCCGGTCAGGGAGCCTGTCAGCGGTCGCCATGGGGGACTGGAGAGAAGTGTCCCCTGTGGAAATGACCATCCATATTAGGAATTCTATATATAGTATTACATATATACTAATATCATAAATGCATGGCAAAAAAATCGTGGATGGATATATTATTATAGATTATTCTATATTATTGTACATATAGGTATAGTATGGATAAATTAGCATGAATCTGGATAGAATTATAGGAATAATCCGGATATAACTATGATCTATCACATAATCATCATTAATTATCAATATATCATTCAGCATGTATATATCTGGATAAATGTCACCATATGTCACCATAAGAATTCAGCAAACTGGAATGAGGCCCACATGACCAGGTCTTCAAACCCCACAAATTCATCGACCGACAGGGGGATGGTGACTATCGTGACTACGATTGGCAAAACAAAAGTGGCTATTGGCAATTCTCATGACTAAAGCAATTTCAGGTACATGGCTACGAATACTATCCCATCCCTCTGTACCCAACAATGAAACCACCAAATAAAGTGGTTATATAAAGTGGATCCCAGGAGAAAATCTTACTACTTACCCAACTATAAACCACAGTGATTGTAGCAAGCCCCAAAAGCTAGAACCTGGTAAGATCCTACCAAACTAGTGATAAATCTAATCTGTTTTGTAAATATTTGGGGGAAAAATGTTTCATCCTCATGTTTAATAGGCAAATACACTAATCTCATCTAGAATTGGGCCATTCACCATAGCGGTATTTGGCAATGAACCAGAAGCCTGGGGATGTTATCATGGGATTCATCCATGATTGTTGGTTGTTACCCATCATTAGCCTATGGTATAGATGGCCCAATTAGTTCGATATTTGTACCGATCAAAAATCTGATTTTCCATGGCACCCATAGCACACTGTTAAACTAGGTCACGCCGCCGCTAGCGGCGCTGGATGTTTTGGCAGCTGGCTTGCAGCAATTTCTGTCTCATGAAACAGAGCTGGCATGGCTCCCCACACATCTCCTTTACAGTTGCGGCGCCACATCCAGCTGTAAATCCAATCCCACAACGCAGGATTCACCTTTTTGCTGGTTGCATCCTTTGCTGTGATCTCGGAAGGAACATACTGGCTTCAAATCCTGCCATGCTCTGTTCCAAGGTTTGAGTGCCAGCGATTAAACCCACGTAGCAGCAACGTAGCATCCACGTGGTGTGCAAGTGCAAATGAACGTTAACATCCCACCCCACCCCAACCCATTTTCCAAAGCAGCAACGTGCATCCACGTGCCATGGGATTGCAAATGAACGTTAACATCCCACCCCACCCCAACCCATGCCCCACGTAGCAGCAACATAGCATCCCCGTGGTGTGCAAGTGCAAATGAACGTTAACATCCCACCCCACCCCAACCCATGCCCCACGTAGCAGCAACGTAGCATCCACGTGGTGTGCACGTGCAAATGAACGTTAACATCCCACCCCACTCCAACCCATGCCCCACGTAGCAGCAACGTAGCATCCACGTGGTGTGCACGTGCAAATGAACGTTAACATCCCACCCCACCCCCCATCCCACCCCTGGCCGTATATGCTGAAAAGTAGTAAACTCCTCTGATATGTTAAAAAGTAGTAAATTCCTCAGTGCCGCTAACGGCGGCGTGAGCTTAAACTACCAAAGGGATCCAAAGGGTACCCATTGGGGGTGGTGTTGTTGGAGGGGAAAAAAACACGTCCGCAAAATATGGAAGCTTGGTTTGTCAAACTGTAGTTTATCCCACATGAATTGAAATGTTGAAGGCTATCGAAACAACATGATCAACATGGAGAGGTTGTCACTATATTGGTCTAGATGCGTAGATTTCATATCGCCGCATACTGCAAAAGAAATACTCAACATGCCTTGACATAATATCTGCAACATGCAAAGAAAATGTTGGCAACGGCCAAACTCAAGAGGACTCTATGTGAACCAAGCACCACAACTGGGGAGAGAACCATGTTTTGAGAATAAGCATGGTGAGGTGTACCCAACAGCATCACCCCACGAGCAGCACAGTTTCCTGACCAAACGCAAAGTTTGAGTGACTTGTGCTACTGTCCTAGATATCCGGAAAAAACAAACCCCAACTTCTTGAGTCATCTAGATTCATCTAGATCTGAAATGAATTGTACAGGATACCATCTCAAAGTTGCCCCAAGAAATGGGATGTCTCAGCCGCAGCCCAGGCTCCATCGTGGTGATGCGAGGGAAATCCATGTCTTGTGCATAGGTCGCGTCACTGACCAATTTCAACTCCAGCAGTGGTCGCTTGACCTGAAACTGAATACACTGAATCACCAATTCTATCCAATTCTGGGATCCGCCAATGGCAATGCAAACTGCAACAGGACCATCCCTTAATTGCCGTAGCACGGCTGCGGGTGATCAGTATCCCACTGGAACTCGAAATCTTGCTGACGGTCACGTCCATAATTGTCTATACTATATACATATCTGGTATCAAAACCAGAATTTAAGTTATTATACCCGAAAACTTGACAGCAATGGGTATGTCTGAAAAGTGGCGGCAACAGGTTTCCATGAAAATCCAGTGAAGTTGTATCATCTTTTATCCTGATGTTTCCCATTGAAATGAGATTGATATCCATAGTTTATCCATAGTTTATCCATGGTTTATCCATAGTTTATCCATAGTTTATCCATGGTTTATCCATGGTTTATCCATAGTTTATCCATAGTTTATCCATGGTTTCCCAATGGTATTTCATAATGAATGCTATAAAAAAGTGGGCCATTTTTGGATATGCCAGCCTCGCTTTGCAGCGGTAAGGCTTGGCCTGCTTGACCTGCTTGAGCTGCTTGACCTGAGCTATTGATGGCCCAGTCGAAATGGTGGATTTACCCCATGAAAAAATGGTGATTTTCCATAGCTATGTAAAAGTTTACCAGAGGCTATCTTATATTATATCTGGTATATAAGATATATATATATACTAGGTACAATATAATCACTAGTATATTTGTATATTATACGAAACTCATCAAAATAGTCATGGTGATTATTATCATCGTTACTATTGCAAAGCATTGCAAATCATTGCTAGCACATTGCTATTACAGCTATCATCAGCATCATCATCATCATCATCATCATCCTCACGCATATCCACAAGATTCCAGAAACAGAGTCCTACAAGTTGCGTGAGTCACTTCCCAGCTTTTGTCCACGCTTCCATAATCGCTGCGTGCCACCTGAGACTTCTCCGTCTGCCAAGGTCCGTAAACGCTTATCCTCCAGCGGCAGCTTTGGAGCAGTTGGATTTCTCCAGACCATTTGGGAAGACCACTTTGTTCAACATATATTGAACTAGAGTAGGGGGGAACGGAACTAATTGGTATATCCAACGCTTATTCTTGAAGTATCCCCAAATGGTGGGGGGTTAAAATGTTAAAACCTAATTTGTCCTTGTTAAAAGATAAACTTATATAAGTATAACCCCATGTTTGGATGCCCACATGGTGGGCTGGATATTTTCATGTTTTCATTGGTTTGATGGGATACCGGTGTTACTTCCACTGTGTTCGATCGAGGAAATTTGCTGGAGCTGTGTGTGTTTTTGTTCCTTGGTGTCCTTTCCGAAGAAGCAACGTTCCCTTCAAACGAAACGTTGAAGGAAGCAAAAATGTAACCATACCCGGCATGGATCTCAACATTACCCGCTCACCCTCGGAAATCCGCACCAGATTTTCACCGTTTCTGCATGAATCTCATCAGCAACTCACCACAACACCGTGCAGAACCAGTTTTTGAAGGCTAGAGGGCAAAACCACAGACTCCAAGTTGTATCCAAATGATTCTGGAAGGCTCAAGCTTTGAAGATTGCTTAGCAAGTTCACATACTCCAGACCTTGGCTGGATGCCTCACCAAACTGCAGGCACTGGAGGCTGCTTGGCAACTGCACACAGCGGAGGCTTTGGTTGGACCCATCACCCAAACGCAGGTCTAGGAGGCCGCTTGGCCAAATCACACGGTCCAGGCAGTGGTTGAAGGTGGGGCCCAAAGTCAAACTTCGCAAATCGGAAGGTAAGGATACCCCTTCAAGGCTCATATTGCACGTCAAGTTTCCATTCAGTCTCTGATTAAATTGAATTCCAAAGGTCAACATTTCAAGGCATGCTGGAATGGCCACGCGGTCCAAGGGCTGGTTGAAATTGTCAGGGCTTCTGAGGCTGCTCGGCAAGGCCACACCCTCCAGCTTCAATGCTTCTTGGCAGCATCAGGCCGACCAAGCCCTGATTGAACTGCTGGCCCAAAGTCAGGCTTCGAAGATTGCTTCTGGCGGAAGCAAGCACCAAAAGTCAAGTTCCCAAGGTTTTGTGGCAAAATCACACGGTCCAAAGGTTGATTGAAATGATCACCAAATGTGAGGCTTCGAAGATGGGTTGGCAAACACAACATGTGCTGATTGAAGTGCGCGCCAAGCGTCAAACTTTGGAGGCTGCTTGGGCAACGTCACTCCATCCAGGCTCTGATTGAAATTAGCCCCAAAGATCAAACTTTCGAGGGTGCTTGGCAAGGTCACGTGCTCCAAGGGCTGGCTAAACCGATCTCCAAAGGCTAGGTTTCGAAGATTGCCTGGCAACGTTACGCCCTCCAGGCCCTGGTTGAACTGCTCGCCAAAAACCAAATTTATCCAAATTTTGAATGCTGCTTGGCAAGGTCACAACCACCAAGCCCTGATTGAATTGCTCAACAAATATCCAGCTTCTGAGGCTGCCCGGCAACGTCACCCCAAACAGAATCTGATGTTGCAACATCCTGTCAAGCCGCAACGGTTCAGTCCCCTTATGGAGGACAAGCTGTGATCCTCTCTCAAAGGCGATGAAGCTGAAGACCAAGACAAAGTGAGCCCGTCTGAAAGCATAGAGAAGGGCCAAGGGCATGTCAGGACAGCAGCTGCTAGCAAGGACAAGAAAACTAATCCTTGCCAGCAGCTGCTGTCCTTCTCTATGCTTTCAGACTGGCTCACTTATGGCAATTTTATCTATGGACAAAATGGAAGGTTCCAGCTCCCAAATGCTGCAACTGGCACGCAAAATGCTCAACGTCAATCCTTCGCCTGTCAAGCACAGCACCTGAAGATTGATCCTTTCAGCAGGTGCTTTAGGTGATTGGCCCACCTTCAGCAGAAGCCGAAGATGATTCACCCAGCCCTCGGCCAGTTCCCTGCAAGCCATGGCCGACGTGCACGCGACCCGGTCACACGTCGCTTTCATGGCGTTGCAATCAAATGTGCACTCGGGGGATCATAGATGTCACATCCCCAACTTTTTGGCCCTCTAATGGATGCCCGCTGCACTGAGTCAACGAAGAATGATTACAGTAGCAATTGGGCTACTTAGCCAAGATATGTTCATGTTGACATTGCAATCAAGAGTCAAGATGAACCCTTCCCAAATGAAGCACAGGGGGCTGTTGACTTGTGTAGTCACCGCTCAGCCGCGATGTGTTTTGTAGGTGTTGTTCACAAGTTGGGACTTCCCTAGTCCACCCTATCAATCCTAACATCATAAAATGTTCATAGTTGTTCTAATCAAAGATAGAATAAACTATGTATATATATATTTTTTTTAGCATATACAGTATATATAATATATATATATATTGTATATAGAGAGATCGATGGATCCCATCAATTCCATCGATCCTTAAATCCATCGCTTCCGCCACCTGGTCCGACTCCAGGGCGGTCTCCGCAGGTCTCTTGGTGCCGGTCAGGGAGCCTGTCAGCGGTCGCCATGGGGGACTGGAGAGAAGTGTCCCCTGTGGAAATGACCATCCATATTAGGAATTCTATATATAGTATTACATATATACTAATATCATAAATGCATGGCAAAAAAATCGTGGATGGATATATTATTATAGATTATTCTATATTATTGTACATATAGGTATAGTATGGATAAATTAGCATGAATCTGGATAGAATTATAGGAATAATCCGGATATAACTATGATCTATCACATAATCATCATTAATTATCAATATATCATTCAGCATGTATATATCTGGATAAATGTCACCATATGTCACCATAAGAATTCAGCAAACTGGAATGAGGCCCACATGACCAGGTCTTCAAACCCCACAAATTCATCGACCGACAGGGGGATGGTGACTATCGTGACTACGATTGGCAAAACAAAAGTGGCTATTGGCAATTCTCATGACTAAAGCAATTTCAGGTACATGGCTACGAATACTATCCCATCCCTCTGTACCCAACAATGAAACCACCAAATAAAGTGGTTATATAAAGTGGATCCCAGGAGAAAATCTTACTACTTACCCAACTATAAACCACAGTGATTGTAGCAAGCCCCAAAAGCTAGAACCTGGTAAGATCCTACCAAACTAGTGATAAATCTAATCTGTTTTGCATCTATTTGGGGGGAAAAATGTGAACATCCTCATGTTTAATAGGCAAATACACTAATGGTTATCATCTAGAATTGGGCCATCGCATCACCATAGCGGTAGCAACAAAGAACCAGAAGCTATATCGCCATTATCCACTATTCATCCATGATTGTTGGTTGTTGTCCCATCATTAGCCATTTTTCCCCATGTTTAAGCATTATTAACCACAGAAAAAACAAAAAAAAAAACTTCATAATGGTGGATGACTAATGGCTAATATTATGGAAAAAGATTGCTAATGATATCTAATGATGCTAAGTGTTATTGTTTAACATTTGTTTAACCATCATTATTCTCCTTAAAATATCCACAGGAAAAACAACAACAACAACGACAACGACAGGCCGTGGTTTTCTCGGGGCTTCGTCAGGCCTCGGATGGCCACCGCCTGAATGGCGAGCCTGGAGCTTCTCGGTAAAATGGGTGGCTTTCACGAGGACTTTTCATGTTTTCTAATGGGATCTAATGGGTATATATTATGGATATATGTATATCTAATGGGTATATATGTTTTTTACTTTTCACTTATATGGGGATACTAACCATTAAATCATTTTCATATTAATGATTTGGGTGTGGATTTATATCATGGGGATTGCAACCATTTAGGGATGATTTAATGGTGATGATAGCGGGATATAATGATATAGTCATGATATAGTGCATATATAGTGCAATTGGTATATACCCCCAAGCGGCCATTCGGCCATTGAAATGGGGTTCTCATTCAATGAGGGGTAGCCTATGGGCACTGATTTAGCAGTTAGGTTTGGGTGAAACTAGAGTTTATAAAACCAACAAACATCATGTTTTTTTGGGGGGGCATTTTTGGGCCCACTAGGTCACCGGTCACCTTTGAAAGACACCCGGATACACCCGGCCAATGTTGTGGGTGATCTCTATGGTCAAGTGTTGAGGATCCCTGCTGCAGTTGCGGCATCAGACTTCGGATGTCGATGTTGGCCTAAGCCATGCGGAACTCAGGGACTTGGGATCTGTCAATCTGGCAGTGTGTCAAAACCTTGTACCCCTGTAGTTCACATCAAAATAGCTGGTAAATGGATGTTCATTCCCCTAAAAATAGTATTAATAGGTATTGATCCATACCCATCTAAGGTGGCCATCCAACATCATCCAGCATCCCGTGTTTTTTTTTGCTGAGAAATTTCTCACCAAATCGGAACCACTGGGGACAATGTGTAGCTCGGAAATTTCTGGCCGCACCTGACGAATCAAGCCCAACTCATCCTGCGCCGCAGCTATTTTGAGTCCAATCAGCTGGTCACAAATTGCTGGTCTGGATCTGGATGTTTTTTTTTTTTGACCCATACGGTTTTGGAAATTGTGTCACCCCACATTCTATGGCCCAAAAAAATGGGAAACCTGATTTCCAACCCATTGGTGTCTGTTTCCCATTTCAACAGCATACCCAAATTGATTTGTGGCTCGTTTCTGCGTCGTTACTTCATCCACCGGCCATCTGGCGCCGATTTCTCCTCGGGCAAACGAAGCAGGTCACTAGCACGGCCGCCAACTTTGCTACTGATGGCCTGTGTCGACTGGGATATATCACCAACAATAATGCTATGACTGGGTGTGAAAATGGGAATATCATGGAATATCCGATTCTAAAATTCCATGGTAGATATTAGACCCCTAAAAATGCATCTTTTTGAGAGCTACAATTTCGGCTCGTCATTGAAAATGAAATCCATGGCTTTTGCGGGGTTATAATGAGGTCTTGAGATGTTCCCAGTTCTAGGAACGAACCACTCGATCCACTCGTCTAAAATATAGCATTGAAGCACCCGGTTTGATCAATTTGGGTCCATCACTCTAACATCAATCATCCAGCACCGGTCACCGGCGATCATCAATTCTTATCAATTGTCATCAATGTTCATCCATCATCAGGCATCATGAAAGGGCAAAAATCGCAACCAAAGCCATGCAAAACGTACCAAAGAATAGACCAATCAAATCTTATGGATTCATGTGGCCCAATATATTCCAATATATTCCATTCCAACATATAGTATAGATGTATCATAATCTATCCATCCAAATATCCCATTGAAGATTCTCACAGAGATCGTTCGCCAAGGGCCCTTCTTGTCGAGCCTCGAGCCCTTCCTGAAGCGTCCTGCGGTAACATGGAAAACCACATAAAACTACCATTCGTGATGGGGAAATAATCTTTGCATAATTTTGCATAGCTGTGTCAAATTACCGGAGGGTATAAGAGATGGGTCCTGGTCCTAATCAAAATTGAGTAGCAATGGATCCACAAAATTGGTCCGATGTTTGTTCTATACCATTCTGTTGCTGGGTCATGTTGGGTCACCATTGACTTTGCCCATGCCTAAACACCAATGTTCGTTGATTGCAGACTTGTTTCAGTGCTGCAAGTGACCCGCGAAGCCAAGAACCCAGAGTACCCAGGTCTCCGCTCCTTGAGCCCTGCTTCATTCCGCTGGTCAACATGCCTCTGAAGCCGTTGTTGGCCTGAGGTTTGGCCTGTTGTCCATTTTCGATGGCGGGTGGCGAAAACTTCTCCAAGACCTCATGCGGTTGACATCCCATCAAATGTTGGCAGGAAATTCCTTGGCAGAAACCTACCTCTTTCATTCTCTTCAGTTTTGACCATCCATCTCCAAAAATCGTAGTTGTTTGGTGGTGGCAAAACATGTTTAAAAAAATGCGTCCCATCCCCAACTTGAAACTCAAAATGGAGCGACATGGGACGTGCGCCAAATGTGAAAGCGATATATCGACCACGAAAGGACACACATATACTACACATACCCATAGGATCCATGGTGCTGCTATATATGGTAACATGGATCCCATCAATATACCCCCTTTATGTTACCATATATAGCATACATGGATCCTATGGGATATGAAAATCACCCCAAAAGTCTTGAAAGTTCCGGATATATCCGGATATCCCAAGAATAAACACCATGATGACTGGGGCCACTTGCCCGCTTCGCGGAGTTTAATACCCTCGCGAGCTCAGGAAACACCTGCCATTGCATTGTTCTGGGATGGGGCAGAAGATTTCAACCAAAGCAGGGCAGAGATTGACCAGAATGTTTCTGTTGTTTCAAAGGCTGAACTTGTTGAACTATGAAATATGATGCAATGCCACATGTTGAGTACAAGTGAGAAGCACTTCAAAGCGGCAAGTCACAGCGATGAGCACCGTCAGTCGACGGACCTGATTCGAATTAAAGACATAGTCCCGATCCTGCAAAGGTTTGGGACGGTGACATCATACAATGCAGAAAAGGTTTGATAGGCGACCTTGGTCGTTTTAATGCATGGCGTGTTTTTATTTCCTCCTTCAAGTGCAATTACAGTCCTCCTGCGGGAGATTATCCGAAAAGGTCTGGATGGACTGCGTCACGCTCTGAACGTTGAAGGCAAGGTCGGACCTGAAATTCCAGGCACCCTGGGACCCGGCGCCAATCAACTCCAGGTCAACATGGCCAAACCATTCTAAACCCACATCTACAAACTTTGTCGAGGCTTGGCCCATCTCTTTCAAGATGCATGGGCTGCGATCTTGAACAACATCGGGCCCCAATTTTTTGCAGAACACCAAAAAATAGCTTTCAGGCGCGACGCAATTTGCGTCCGGTTGTCAAAATTTCAGCCCAAAAAGCCACCCTTATAGCCTTGTTCTGTGCTGCTTTTTGCTGATCTGGAAGGGCGACCGGGCGACCCGGTGACCGGAACCAAGCCCAACAAACTCAGCTTTGGGCAATTCTTTGCCCTTGTCCTCGTCGCGTGACAGGATCTCCCCGATCCAGTTGGCGGCCTCAAAGAGGCCGAACCTCGGTCTGAACTGCCCATTTTCGCCCAACTCGTTTCAGGATGTTTCAGGCGCTCACTGGATATCTTAGCCACCCTTGGCAGGTATTTACAGCAATCCCTCAATGCAATGCTGGAGCAGCAAACTTCAGATGGTGAACCGCGTTTACAGCAGCATGTTCCACTGCATGTGGACAAAGAAGTTCCGATGAATCAGAATCAAAATCTTTCCTATTTAACCTATTGACCATTTTGGGGTATCCCGGAATCCCGGTATCCTCCATTTTCATACAAACCCTTATGTGACATTACATATGATGGAAGCAGCCCTCCATTCTTCAGCTGAGTGTGACAAAAAAACTTCTCTGAGACTAGATGCCAAAGTGTAAATCGTGGGGCATACTGGCATACCGGTATACTATATACTGTATTTCTGGCCAAACCTATATGATGTCTAGCAACCTCAACAGTAACCTCCAAAATCATGCAGAAAAGTACAAGTTAGCACTATTTCTGTATAATAAAGGATCTTGCCAAATTCTATCCTTTGGGGTTGCTATACACTGCTGTAGTCCAAAAGGTCCTCATCCAAGCTCTCCCACAATGTCTCCATGCCATCAAGGTGGCCGATTGGGACAGAAAGTTCGTTGTTTGGCTGACAGGGGATGATGGGATCGGCCAAACAAAGGCAATCCGCCACACCATGTTTGTTAATTCTTGGTTTGATAGGGATTCCCAGTTCATGGATTGGGTGATAGTCATAGTCCCCAAATTGATTCGATTGTGGAAGCCCCAAAAGAGAGAAAAGTAACATCTCAGCAACATATTAAACAGTAACATTCACTTTTCGTAACCCTCTATAGTCATCAATCAACATCGTTTTGAACCTTGATCGGTTCATGAAGAGATCACCCAACTTGAGCCAACAGGTCGACGTCAGGTGCCCTTGTAACTGTGATGTTCGGATATCACTGATATCACAGTAAGAATGGAAAGTGAAACATCTTTAGCCCAGCAACCCCCAGCAACCCCCAGCAACCCCCAGCAACCAAACATTGCTCAACATGAAATCCCCCCATCCCTTCGATTTTGATGCTGATTCGCTAACTTTCACATTGAGGGGCCACCAAGAAATCTCCCCCACAATGCCTCAGATGCACTATAAGTCCATGACCATCATATCGTTTGCTGGTTAAATAGCGTAAATAGCGATGTGATGGTTGAATACCAAAATTCGGTTGAATGATTGAATAGCAAACACTTTTTTCAACTCCACGCACGCCGTCTCCTCACATCGTGAGCAGCTCGTTCTCCTGCATGACTGGCTGGTGGTGCTTCCACCAAAAAAATGTTTGTCGGTTGGGATCATCACAATCTCAAATGGGGATAACAACTTGAATAATTTAGTGATGATGAAATTGGGGGATGAAAAGTATATATTATATATTACAGTAGTAATAACCGATGTCAGAGCAAGTTCCAACGGACAGTTCGGGTGTCCAAAGTGTTCCATGTCTCCAAGCTGAAGCGTCACCCGACGGCTCCTTCAACAGCTTTCGGATGTACAGAGCCTGTTTTTTTTTCGGATCTTCGAGGTCCATTCTGGCTGGTCACTACTGTTTGCGAAGTGCTAGAGAGCTGAATTCTCATGGAGAATGTTGATCATTGGTCCAATGATAACCCTGCTGAAACATGTGGAAGCCATAAGCCAATAAGCCATTGGTGCTGAAAAATGTTGGAATAACATGGAATAACTGACTATGACCATTGAACCTTCCATTCATTCGTGGCTGATCTTAGAGTCACCTTGAAAACTCAAAGAAATTCCAAGCCGGTGTGTCACTGTTTGTTCCTATCCAAGTCGTGAAGAAAATGATCCAGGGATACACTTATCAAACCTAATATTTACTGTACATGTCAATTGTTATAAAATATGGTTACAATATGATTGTTATATCACACTTAGCAATGGTTAACAATATGTTAACATATAATATTGGATAAGAATTTTAAAATATTTTAAATATGTTCATAGATGTTCACCATATAATATTTCATAATACATCATATTGAATATGTTTTGCACATGTTTTCACATCTTGCCATTGCCTGCGTAGCGGCCCACCTTCGCATCATAGTCCAGGCCTTTCCACGCAGTCGCTTGGACCTGGAAGGTCTCAGATCAGGGGATCATCGAAAGCATCTTTTGGCACCATTTCAGACATGTAAACATCTGAGAAAACACATTTCGTTCATCTAGAAAAATATAGACACATTAAGATAGAAATGGTGTTTCATCTAGGAAAATATAGAAAAATCAAATTAGAAAAAAACAACTAGAATTTAAACAGAACAGCGGTGCTGGATTTCACCAAAGGTCGACTTCAGTTCTTTCAGAACGGTACTCTGAGGAAGTGACTTCGATGCTCCGCCAACCAAGGGCCTGCGAATCCATCTGTGTGGAAAATGATGATAAGCCGATAAGCCGATAAGCCAGGAAACATTTTGGGGTATATAAGAGTACATACATGTGTATAATCATGTATATAGTGTATACATATATTATGAATTATATTATATTGTATTGTATTATATGATATTATATTATATTACATTATATTAATTATATTATATTATATTATATTATACTACATTATATTATATCATAAATTATCTTATATTATATCATGTTATATTATATTATATTATATTACATTATATTCATTATATCATATTATATTATATTACATTATATTATATCATATATTATATTATATTATATTACATTATATTAATTATATTATATTATATTATATTACATTATATTATGTCATATATTATATTATATTATATTATATTACATTATATTCATTATATCATATTATATTATATTACATTATATTATATCATATATTATATTATATTATATTATATTATACTATATTACATTATATTAATTATATTATATTACATTATATTATATCATAGATTATATTATATTATATTATATCATAGATTATATTATATTATATCATAGATTATATTATATTATATTGTATTATATTACATTATATTATATCATAGATTATATTATATTATATTATATTATATCATAGATTATATTATATTATATTACATTATATTATATCATAGATTATATTATATTATATTATATCATATATTATATACTATACACACACACACACTATTTTCCAACACAGCCATCTGGTGAGAAATTGCTATGGCTATGGCTTTCAGAAAAAGGTGTCGCCTCCAAGTGCCGCTTCTTGCGAGCCACGGGGACTTCAACCATTCCGAAGCGCCAGGATCGCTCCTAAACGGGCGATAGCAGGGTGAGATATTCTATGGTAAACTAACATAGCTATGGAAAATCACCATTTTTAATGGGAAAATCCACTATAAATGGCCATTTTCAATAGCTATGTTAGTTTACCGGAGGGTATTCTATGGCTGTGACTTTCAAAATGAAGAACATGCAATAAATCAATGGATTGGTTTGTTGGGGAAAATCGAAACCGGAAACCATGGTGAAAAACCATCAAATATAGGGGTTTCCTGTAAATTTTCCCGTCATCCAATTCTGTGAATAAATAGCAATTCTGATTGGAAAAATGATAATAAACATGCCAAATTTGGCAATTCTATTTGGAATGATAATGACAAAGGGTCCTCTTGGGGCCAAAATGATCAGTTGTTTGAGAACAAAATACATGAAATTACTCCAAGGAAAGGAAAATGGGGTCAAGTATGTTAAGTCAGCATTAGCTGTGTGCTCAGCATTTCAATGTCTTAGATATCTTTGCAAAAGGTAGGATAGCAAATGAAAGACTGTCATGAATGGACTCTGACTCGAAGAAACTGTACAAACCATCTCCACAGATTTGCAATGTGTGGGTCACTATACCATTCCCATTAGAATCATCAGAGGTTTCAATGGCTTTCCCATCCCAGCCTCCACCGGTTCGAAGTTGATCCTCTCCTCTGGGTCGCAAACCTGAAAAACGCCCGGCGCAATCACAGATCCGGCCTGAAGAGTTTGCTGAACCTGTACCTCGAAGCTCGAAGCTAGTGATCATGTCTGATATCATCATGCTGGTCATGAAATTGGGATGATGGAATTGGCACGCATTGTGGTAACAAATAGCCATCTCCATGTCGCATCATCTCGCCCTGCCTTCAACGCATAGGGGCCCAGCATTTTTCGTTTTGCCGGAAAACCGTGCTTCCGCAGAAAAAATGCCAACTGGTAGGAGAGCGTGGTGTCACGACCTGCAACAAATTGCAGGTTGCTGAATCTTAGGTCATGTAGCAACTCCAATAATTGGGTATATCAAATTCAAATGATGTATTGTTAATCCCATTCTCACTGGTTAAGGCCACCCATCATATGCCAACATATTGCAAACAATATCAAGCAATATTTCCAATCGTTGGATGCTGCTGTGGTACGCTTCACTACTGTGGTTCATTCTCTGAAAGAAATGCTTTTCGATAGCTCTGAGTTGTTCGTCGTTTTTTCAGGGATTTTCCATGTGTTCATGTTCTTTCCACCCATTTCTGATGGTTTTTTCAGGGTTTTTCCACTCATTTCTGATGGTTCAACCATGGTTCAAACCACACCGAGACTCCCCGCGAAGCTCGCGGTCGTAGAAGCGCAGATCGCGGATCAGCGCCAAATATTCGGTGACCTCCGGAGGGAGCTGCTCCTGGCGCCAGAGTTACAGAGTCACACCCCGCAACTGGTAACCAATAACAGTAATAGTAACTAACAGTAACAGTCATAGTAACTAACAGTAATAGTAACTAACAGTAACAGTAATAGTAACTAACAGTAATAGTAATAATCAATAATCTACCAATAGTATCCAATAATAGTAATAGTAACTAACAGTAATAGCAATAGTAACTAACTGTTGGTACTATAGTATTAATAATCGTAACCAGAGCTGGTTGGTGGTATACCTACCCCTCTGAAAAATATGAGTTCGTCAGTTGGGATGATTATTCCCAGTATATGGGAAAATAAAAAATGTTCCAAACCACCATCTTTGTCCCATCTTTGTCTTACGCACCGTCAGGGTCCAGCGCTGACGGCCCGCGATTCAGGCATCAGACCGATGAAACAAACACAGGTGGCAGTCTTTCATCCCTTGCGGCAACAGGAAGTGACTGCATGACCTTCGACGTCCTCCTAACACCGGCGGGGCATTGAGAAAAAAGCCATTCATCAACAACCCTAAGTCTTGCGGGGTCCCAAGGCAGGGCCAGGCAGCCCGTGTGGAGCATGAGTGCTTCCGATGCAGGTCTGCAAAAACGGTAAACACATTTCAGCTGCAAATGCCTAAGACTTTCCTTCAAGACCTTAGCCAGCCAACGTGCACGAACATGAAAGGAAATCGCAAGCAAATCAACCTCCGGACAATCAGTTCCATTCTGCCAACCCTGAAGATGCAAAGGCCCAGATTCACCACACAACATGTAATCCAGATAAAGTTGCCACTGCGAGACCCAGATCACCGGATGGTCTCGTCCAGAAACAGCAAACCAAAACCAAGATAAAATAGTGCGAACCATGCGATCCCCATACCATCTGACCGCAGCCTGTGGTACAGAAAACTGCGGCAAATGAACCCATGCATCAGTTGGTGTAGGCGGCGAAACACACAAGTCCTCTCTGGGGACAGCATCAATGTCCTCATCCTCACGAACAACGTCCTGACTGATGGCAAGGAGGACCTGCTGAACTTGCCTGGAAATACTCTGACATGCCAAAGTGGTTGAGACATGCAATTCATAAAATTTCCAGAAATCAACAGGTCGATCCCACTGAGCACGACTAGCGGCCTGGTCAGCAACTTGGTTATGCCAGAAACACCATTCTTCCAAGGGTGTGTTGGCTTGACAAATACCTTGGTGTGCTTTCACCTTAGTGATACAAACCTGCCCAGGACGAAATTCATGGAGTGCTTCAGAGACACAGCACCACAAATCATAGTGAGCACCATTAACTCGCAGCTCTCCTCCCCGCAGCAAACGTCGTGTGCGCAACAAAACAGCTTTGCAATCCGTCCAGATGTGAACAGAGCCTTGATGCTTGCGTGCTGCCACAAGCGCGCGCCACACAGCATAAATTTCTGCACGGTATGAAGACTGAATCAGGCCAGGAAGCGGCCCAAGGTCAACAACTTGCCCACCACTCATTTCATTCGGAGCTGCACAAACAACAGCCCATGAAGCAACTCTGCAACCTGGGGAGGCTTGATTGAGGCAGCTACCGTCTGTAAACAAATGAATATCATGGTGCAAGGGTTCCAACACAACCAAAGGAGAGCAAGGAATTTCAGCAAGCATGCGATACCACTGCAACATTGTGTGGGGTCGTAAACTCCACCCATACCCGGTCAGGAATTCTGGCAGTGAAGGTAACAAAACTTGCAAATCATGAGGCAAATGTGCTCTACGGTGTGCAAATCGTTCACACTGCCAGAATCGATGGTACCTACTGTCACTGCACTGGCAGTAAGGACATTGTTCTGATCCTCCTTCTTGGCAGTGGGATTTCCCATCTTGAGTGATATGACATCCGTTCAAACACTTCTGGAAAAGGATCTGGTCATCACAAGGCAGCTGTTTGAGCCAACATCTGGTATCCACAGCATCTGCAAATTGGAGATTGAAAAAACCCGGACGATGGCTGACTTTTTGTGCAACAACCAGTTGCCATGCCCAAATTGCTCGCATCACAATCTCTTGCAGAGACACCTGGAATAAGGCAAACAAACCAAACATGTCAGCGATAAGGCCATCCTGAGCAACATGCCATCCAAGACTCTGCAGGCGAGTCAGCAAGGTCGCTGTAATGCCATTTTCTGGAAGACTCGTGTTTCCAGTGGTCAAGGCAACAAGTCGAGGCACGACTTGATCTGGTTCTCCGCATTCGCGGATGCATCGGATGGTTTGTATGACCGCCCAAAACTGGGGGTCTGCTGAAGGGTGCTCAATGAGGCCAAGTTGTATCCATGGATTGCTTCCGGCTGAGTCTGCATCCAACCCTCTCATGGCTCCACTTCGTAAGCTGTGAAAGGCAGAGTCACTGAGGCATGTCGCCGCAACGGCGTGGAGAGCTCTCGGCCATGCCGCCACTTTCAAAGCACGGATCTTCACTGCATACCTGCAAGCAGAAATGCGCAACTTGGGCCATATTGATTGCATGTTTTGAACTCTCTCCATGAGGGAAGAGTTTGTGTGTTTCCTCGATGTTTGAATGTGCGCACCCAAGTTCTTGCCTGCCAAAACAACTCGGGTACCTTGCTGTCTCAGAGCATGGCGTCCTTCAGCAGACAGGGACCATGCGTAGCACTTACGGACATCCACAATCAAATCCATGGCATGAATGAAACGGTCAAGGCTGGCTTGCGCACCCTGGATCAGGGAATGGTGGCTGCATAACAGCTGCCAATCATCAACATAGGACAAAGCTGTGCAGAGCGGAAAATAGGCCTGTTGCCATTGGTGGAAGGCAGCATCTACCAAAACCATTGCAATACAGCTCAACCCGCAGCCCTCGGGAAAACCAGTAACACTGGGCACTCCTTCAGAAAGCGAATTCCGAATGAGGAAGTGTCTATGCATTTGAGACAGTGCCCCAGCCCAGCCAATCAACACATTCATCGGGATGCCGACATGAGCAGCGATCTCAAACACCGCAAGGCGCGGGAGCAAGTTGAAGGCTTTTTGCAGATCAAGCACCACCCCTGACAGCGCAACATCATGCTGGTAGGACCACTCAATAGCCCACAACAACTTGGACCACAATTGGGTGGCATGGCGGCCCTGTCTGCTGCCATATAGCGTGTCAGGCAAATGCGGCTCAAGTGCCAAAAGGGCTTTCCGTGAATGAAAGGAACTCCAGCATCGATACAGCAACCCAAAAATGGTAATAGGCCGAAAGTCCGAAGGGCTCCCAGGAGTCGGGACTTTGGCCAAGCTCACCACCTTGCCGTTCACAAGTTGAGACGGCCACTGTCCACTGGTTTCAGCCGTCCGAAACATGTCACAAAAGGCTTGGTGGACCCTCACGGGCATGTTGCATAGATCCGCCAGTCTCACTCCATCCATACCATGAGCAGAAGACTTCTTTTTGGATTTCACAATTTGCTGAAGTTCAAGTGGTCCAATTGGATCCCATTGAAATCGGTTGGGCCTCATATGTGCTTTGGCAAAGTCAATGATTGTGTTCCACCTCTCAGCTGGGACATCTGCATGTCGCATCCATCGTTTCTTCCAAGCATCGATGAACTCACGAGAGAGCTCCTCATGAGTCCCCAACATCCGTGTTTGGCATACTGTGGACCCAACTTTGAAATGGGAAACATCCTCAGTCCAAATGGCATCCCCTTCATGATGAACAACTGAAACTGGCATGCCATCGCAAACAATGGGACGCTCAGGATGAAAGTCACACGGCATCGCCAAAACAAGCTTTTGCTCATCTTCACAAATCTCTTCAACTGTGGTTTTGATCGGCTGCAGCAATAGTTCAATCCCAGGAATTGCTGGGGGCCGAATATCAGCAAAAACCAAGTTAGGGTTTTGGCACCTACGGAACCGAGCATATTGACGGGACTGCTTCATGAGCTGCTTTTCAAGATCCCTAACTGCCATCGACAGAGAATCAAACATGGCCCATGCAACATCTTCATTCGGCGGTCGATCTGGGCATGTGGCGGGAGCGCCATCAGCACGGAACTGCAAATCAAACCACCAGGCAGAGAAACTTGGATGGAAACCGCTACTCCTAAGGATGGCACCCCATGACTCCGCCCTTTGAATTCCCGCATGGTCAGACCTGGATGCACACAGTCTGGCAAATGCTTGCAAACGTCGTGTCTGACGTATCCACTGAGCATGTCTTCTGGATGAACCAAAAAACTCAGGCTGAAAATCGCCAACCCTACCAAGCTTCAACGGTGTGTTCTGCGGCAACTTGGTTCGCTTCCGGTGCAATCTTTGTGCTCGTCCCAATGACTTGGCAGGGACCGGGAATGGGCACCTGGCAGCAGCACTATGCTCTATGTGTTGCCACAGTTGTTGATACGCTTCTGTTGGATTGGCATTGTCTTGCCATTGAATGTCGTGTCCAAAATCGTGAGGCCATGGAAACACAGCCGGGGTCGGCCAAGTGAAAACACAGGGCATCGCTTTGGGTGATATGAATTTAGCAACCAAGACAGAGTGGTCCGGCCAAACATCATGGAGCACATCAACTCCAACCAAAATGTCCTGGAGTTCAGGGGACAAGTACACGAAATCCTTCCTCGTTTTGGATTTACAAGTGTTCTGTACAGGAATTCCCCAACGCTCAAAACCAAGGTCTTGCACCTCACGAAACCCTGCATTGGTCAAGATGTCAAACGCAGGCAATGAGTCCTGGCTCACATTCCAGTCCCCTGATACATACCTTGGACCATTGCTCAGGTGACAAATGTGAGACGCCACATGATGCAAAAGAAACTCAGTGTTCCGCAAATGATTTGGGTGCCGATGGCCATCAGGTTCTCCGTAAACAACCCCTCCAGAGATCCAGACCTCGGAAAGCAACGTCGTGGTCAAGAGAGCACGACCTGAATTAGTGACACTACTTGGCATACCTGAAGGCAAGGCTCTAGTCGGATGCTTGGACATCACAGCAACTCCCTTCCAAGAT